ATGTAGGCCTCCAACCCATGGCTTTACAATGAGTGAAAAGGGAGTAGGAAAAATCGGTGAGGGCTGCAGAACAAGCAATTAGAGCCATCTCAACGGAACGAAAGAGAAGGATTGGTCGTGGTCAGGCTTAAAATTGGGCTCGTAATTAAAGGCTATTGACTCAATTAAGACTCCGAAAGGACTGCATTGTCCGCTGATTACGGACAACGACTCCCGGGCCACATGGAACATCGATATGACGATGGTTGTTGTGAGAAGAACGGTGTGGATCTCTCCTTCCGCTGCTCGCACAAGATTAAATATCGATTTTGTCTCAGAATAGAGGCGAAGCGATGAATTGGATATCCATCCATCCATCCTCCGCTCCCCTGCCCACCTGCCCTCTCAGTCCTCCCACCCACCCACCGTCTCCTCTTCTTCCCCACCTTTCCTCAAAGTCCCGTCATCCACTCCCATCTGTCCAGTCCGTCTACTTCCACGCACAACCACCGCTATTTAGTCACAGCCCAGGCGTTACTTAATTATTCCTAACCCAGAGACCCTTGCACACCACAGTCTTATTGCACCAGCCAAGACGAAGGTGAAAGGTTGAACTAATACAAAACATGAATTCTGGCAAATGACGGCGATAAAAATGCTGCATCATGGGACGACAACATTTTAGTGCTAGTTGTGTAGTTTGAGTTGATAGATAGTTAAGAACTGTATAATATTTCACGGGATGGTGCTACTGGAGAAAGTTGAGGCTTGCATATGGACCAGATTCCATTTTATTATCGCATTCGATGGAAACACGAGGACCACCTGGATGGAGAGCGAGTTGGCTGCATCCCACTCAGCCCCAAGGGTAAATACATGTAAGACTTGCACACACATGTTCGCCCGTCGTGGAAATGTAGTGGTGGGGCTTTTCGAGTTCTCACCGCTTTCACTCTGCCACAGTGAGGAAGTCACTCAAATTCGCATCTCTTAAATCCCACTCCTTCTCCCACCACCACCACCGCAAACGACGAGAGTATGTCGCCCATTGATCGAGAGATGCGGACAAGCTCCTTTCCAGAATCACGTTTTCATCCCAACTGTCAGTGACTGAGTGTGCAGAATAAGGACACGTGTCGTGCGTGGAGGTAAAAGAGTGAAGGAATCGCTTCATTCGATATCACCAAATTTGGTGATGCGTTTTGTGATGAGGTAATTTGGCTGTTTTGAGGGTTGAATTACTAACATGTGCATACGTTCATATTTCTTTGTGATGGATGTGGATGAAATGACGAGGGGCAGATTCATTTTGTGCCTAGCTGACTGCATGTGTGATTGGTCGACCCGGTTATTAGTAGAAAATGGGACAGGTGAAATTAGAGCCAACGGAATGGGTCGGTCTCACAGTGGTGAAAAGCTGGCTGGGAATTTCTCCTACCCCGTCGTCACTCCTTCATTATCTTCATCAAGCAGGGTTTATTTCGTACATTTTGGCAGAAATAGCCCTTCTACCCGATACTACGTAGGTACTTGATCCTGAGTGCACCACTTTCGTTCCAGCAACCTGCTCAATTTTATCTCCATATTTCTCTGGGAAAAATCTCGAAAGTCACATAGGCGCGTATCAAGAGAGAGAGACAGAGTCTTGGGATTAACGAAAGTGGGATTAATGATTAGGATTACGGATTGATTTTAAAAAATTCGGGATTGAGGATTGAGATTAGGGATTAAATTAACTCGGGATTAAAATTAATTCGGGATTAAATCTCTCAAGTCATTCAATGGGATTAGGGATTAGGATTAATTTAGTCCGATTTTAATCCCGGAATGGGATTAAAGTCGTGTTTATCGTCGATCACATTTATATCTAGTTAATGTTTCTGATGTCTTAATTAAATTGTTTTATAAGTCTTAACAGTGCGATTGAATTTGAATAACCTAATGACCATATAAATAATGACCTAAAGTGTGAGTTGTCGCTTAAGTGACTTAAGTCCAGTCTCCATTTGATTAACATTCAAGTGTGAATGAGTGGGCATTACCACTGGCCACTCTAGGTTATTATTATACGGCCACAAGAATATGAAGTGTACAGATGAGTGACATAAAATAAGTTTACTTAGTCATCAGTGAACTAAAATCAACTTTAACAGATGAAGTCTTATCAAATGTTTTTAAATACATGAACTATTTGTTGGCATGCATTTAAAGCCTCTCCAATTAAATGGGAAGTACCCTCCAAATATTCTAAAAGTACCCTTCATGGATACCTGCCTCTTAAAGTTATTTTTGAATTAGGATTTCGGTGGCAAACTACCTCTTAAAATAATGTACATATCTACAAGCCATAATTTTATCATTTTATGTAAAAAGCGTATTATTTATATACGATTAAAGTTAAGGCTTCCATAAAAGCATGCATTTTTAAAAGGCACATGGTACTCAAAACTGTTGTGAACTTAACAGGTCCTCCACGCTTACGCTTGGTACAGGTTTTGGGTGCAGGACAATATCGAAAAATTCTTTTATAATTGCCAGACGAATCTTTATACAGTACCAATTCTTAAAAAAACTGGTACACGTACAATGGTACACCGATTTTTTCTCATCAGCTCAATAAAATCGAACTAACTATAGAGTCGCGATTTTCAAAAATTGTCTTCAAAAGGTGAAATTTGGCGCAGTGAAATTAGCGATTAATACCTAATCGCTTCCCACGAAAGAATATGAAGTTACAAGTGAGCAAAGTGCAACCAGTGACACTATAGGGTCACTATGCACCGTTTTTAAAAGTTATTATTTTTATCTTAAATTTAATATGGAGGGTAAAAACCACTCATGGATAGCACATACAGCCTAGTAATTTAGCCACAAACGTGCATTTTTTGATAGACTTCAATAGGTTTTTTTTTACATATGTCAGCGATTTTTCCAAAAAGATATATTCTTTTAGAGATATCTAAGAAATTCGCAATACATAAATAATTCCATTCATTTATGAGCTTTCCATGCGCACTTATATCATTGTTAACAACAAACACTTGGTTTAAATAAAAATCAGGAAGATTCCATTCATTAATGTAATATGAAACCAAAGCATGTGGAAAGCTTGTTATTTGTAAGTGTGAAATATTAAGCTATTTTTCACATTTTTGCAGTCAAACAGAATAATTTTTAAGCTATTCAAAATGAATTAAAAAAATGTTTTTCATAAATACATCTGTTGGGGATCTGAGTAAACATTTTACATGAAGAGTTAGGGTTTTTAAGAACATATTCAACCGGACTCTGGTAGTAAAACCCATCACTGATACGAAATTTACACAGATTTGTGATATGCAAAATGAGAGGCTACTTCCATTTAAGGGGAGGGAAAATTTAGAGCATTAAGAGGTTGCTTTCCATTTAGGTAACTTCTTAAATATTCGGAGGGTAATTCCCATTGTTTTGGAGAGACATTAAATTACTTCCCTATTTGTTTAATAATATCGAATTTTTGTTTGTGAAATACAACGATGGAATTTCGATAGTTATGGCCCATAACTTATGGGAAACATATTTTTAATTGAAACAAAAGGAGAACTGGCAAAGTCTCTGAGAATTTTCAGCAGGTGGAGCTGATTTAATCCCATTTTAATCCCAAACTTGGATTAAGATTAATCAATGCGCTCCGGGATTAGGATTAGGGATTAATTATTTTTTCAAAACTTTTTGGGATTGAGGATTAGGGATTAAAAGTCAAAACTTGCGGATTGAGGATTGGGATTAAGGATTAATTAATCCCCAATCTCAATCCTCAATCCGTAATCCCGGATTAACCAGACTCTGGAGAGAGAGGGGATAAGAGATTTGGATTTAGATTCGTCACCACTGCTCACTCAAGTGTCGTCTCGTCTACTTCATCCACCATCCGATTTGGATCCTTTCCTTACAAATTCAAGTCGCCACTTCCTTCCTCTTTTCCACGGAATGTGCACCAGTCTCTCTCTCTCCAAAGGAGCATAAGCAAGTCCCGATTAAATTCTTAGTCCTCGGCCATGTCGTGGTCTAAAAACCACGCACGAGTACCTGTGATATGACCTCATGATGGCGGATCAAGAATTTATTCGCACGGAGGTATTGGATTTGTATTGACTCGGCAGCTCAAGTCAGAGGTCTGCCCTTTTCCAAAGAGCCAGGAAGGGTATTAAAATTCCAGGAAGGGATAACTCGCGATCTATTCATATTTTTCTACGTGGGCAGCCTATGCACATACCAAAAAGAGAGCAAGGTGCAGAAATGTGTACGTATTTACTGGGGATGGAAATGTATCCATAATGAAATTGAGAAATTTCGCACGACTCAAAATGTGGATGGAAGTTGAGACGTTCCTTCTCTGCTCACACAACACCTCCGAGGAGGAATCTCTGTACAATAGTTCCCGGAACTTGGTGGGATAGAGAGCAGTCCATCGAATTACACTGATTTCCGTGCTCTCTTGAGCTGAAGGATAAGTAGAATTTAGGTCTTTTTAAATCGGATGAACCTTGATGGTATGACTGAGCTGCTCTTTTTGCACTTTTCGCAGAGAGAGAATCTTTATTGCCAAAAGTAAGGGCGGTGCAGCTTTAAGCATGACTCGGGTGCCGTACATTCGTCAACACTCTCAGCCTCGTCCCTTTGATTGGGACCTCAGCAGGTAAGCAAACTCGCTTTTAGGTGAAGTGAAGCACAAGCAATAAGAGCACAAAAGCCTTGCAGAAGTGAAACTTTATCGAATTTTGGCACGCTTGAGAGGCAAAGGTAAACAGGCTCCGTGCTCAGAAAAAGGTACGCTCTGCATACACATGAACGTAAGAAAGCAGCCCAGGGAAAATTTTGAAAGCAGTTCTTGGTAGGTTCAATTTTGAGGGGATTGGTGGAGGGGGAGGTCGTTCAGTGTGGTGGCGTCATGCCAAGATGTGAGTTACTCGAACTGTGGGTGGTCCCACGTGCTTACTCGCTACTGACTACTGTACGTATAACGGAGGGCATATACTCACCATTGTCATCCTCGTGGCAGCATCCTCGAACGGCATCCGTACATCTGCCACAGTTGAGTTTCCGAAACATTTTTTTCCTCAGCTTCTTCAGCCTCTGTTTTTGCACTGGGGTGAAAGTGGGCAGCCTGCTGGAATTTGCTTGGGATTCTTTCACACGCTTCAGTGGAACAAGTTCTCTAATGCTCCCGGTCTTGTTAGTATTCGCTGCTTCTTCGTCTCCCTGCTCTTCTAGTGTCAAGGAGTCGCCTCCGCCTTCTCCTCCTCGGCTCACAAGGGCAGTGTTGACCTTCTGACACTCGAGAGCCAAAAACTCCTCAGACTCCAAGTCCGTGTCTCCACTCAGCGTACTGCTCCCAGCACCACTGCTGCTGCTGTTCGAGGACCAGATGAAGCTCTCCTCCTCCTCCTCCTCTTCTGGAGATGATAAGTTTGTGGGTGATGATGAAGGATTCGCACTGCTCAAGTTGGTCGTGTTTCTCTGCACGAGAGAGGAGACTGTGATGAGGGGCAGGCGTGAGGGGGGTGGAGAAGACAAAGCTGTTGAAGAGCGACCGAGTTTCGTCGCAGTGAGATTGGAATTGCTTTGTTCCTTTTCTTCCCTCGCTTTGTCTACCGTTGAGAATCCGTGCTTCCAATGCTGCTGCTGTACTTCATTCTCGATGTCGCCGTAATGGTTGTCGTCGTCGTCGTCAGAATGATGATGATGTTGTAGAAAGACGAGTGGCGACGCTCGAGTAGGACCACTCTGCTGCTTGGCTTCTGCCTTTAATAATACAGTTAAAACACAAAATCAGACTCACTTGACTATTTAATTTGGTCTTTGAGAAGAAGAAGAAGAAGAAGGAGAAGTGTAATTGTCAAATTTTAACTTTGCTCAATGCTCAGCAGCATCCAATTTTCTATTCAATGGGGTTTTAAGTTTTGGGTCTGGACGTGAAAGTAGAGAAATCTCTCCGTCTCATTCACTCGACGAGCTGACACTGCAAAAAACTTTCCTCCTTCCTCAATACTTTCACCCAATTCAGCAATATTTAGCTGCCCCTTAAATGCTCGCCTCGAGTAGGAGACTGGCTGGCTGAGCTCTGGTGATAAGTAGCGCGGCGGTATTTAGTTCATACGTGTGGCACTGGCACAGGCTCACAAATAATCAACTGTTCTCGCCACGAACAAATGTTGTTAATCCTCTTAGAGAGCACTCCTCCTTCGTTCTCCGCGCTCCTACCACTTGTTAAATCAAATCACAAGCGAATCAGAAACAATCCAATTATATCTTGTCTTGTGCAAATTCCCGAGTTCCCTTTGTTCCCCATACAAAGGGGAAAATTACTCACAACAAGGACACAAAAATCTTGACGTTGTTGTGTAAGTCACCCTAAACGATGCCACCAGTCGGCCTGTGAGACAACACGGGAATGAGATTTCTGGAGAGAGAGACGGAGACAAGGAAGGTGTAAAAATAACACTGTAATCCCCTCTCTCTGGCCGAGCTTTTATATTCATGGGATATTGAAATTGGAAACCGTTGAGGAAGTCAGCAACCCTCCTCCGTTCCTCCCGCTCCCCTTTGACGATGCTCCTGCTGCTACAAATGGTTGGGAGAAAGTCGGATATTTGTAACTCTAGAAATGAGAGAACCACCCAACTCCACCCAACTCAAAACTGTCACAATAATGATAAACAACAATCCCGCAAGAAATAAAACTTCAGATGATCATGATGTTTCCATCCTCGATCTCTGCTCAATCCAGGTCGGGTTATTGCCAAACAACTTTTCTTAATAATGCCGTCGTCTGGGTGGCCCAATATCGTTCCTGCACTTTGTCCTCAACTTATTTCCGTTGGTCCGCCAGAGGAAAAGGCATATTTGCCAAACAAGGTATTCGATTACAGGTAAGTGGCCAGAATTGTGAGGAGGGGTGCTCCTCAGAGAGAGATGGATTAGCGTCGTCGTGTGGTTGTGTATACTTCCGCCGTGGTTGGCAATATGGCCAGGACGTGTGTGTGGAAGGGAGGAAAAGTGTGTACTTCTTGTGGGTGAAAGGAGAGGAGCGAATAAGAAGAAGACGGAATAAAGAGCGACTGGTGAGAATAATGGAGTGTTTTGGACTCTAACCCTGCTTTCCCCCCGGCTTTCTTCTTTTGTTGAAATGATCAAACGAGATGATTCAATTAGGGAAATGAGACGACCATCCGATCGTAAGCTGACTTGGGTACAAGTCGAGCGTGTAATATAAATAAAGTATAAAATGTCAAGTCAATGATTTCCTCGACTCTCGAGCAACCATGCACAATCCAGGGCGGAGGACGACTAACGATCAAATCCACTGCTATAAGAACTGCTCCCCCCACGATGCGATGGAAGGAATCCCAGAAAGGAAGCTTATTGATATTGATGGATTGCTCAGCTAACTCCTTCTTAAGGACGATTCCATCAATCTCCGCTTCCTCCCAACCTGGGAGGTGATGCCCGACGTGTATGTCTTCCAAGCAGCTTCGTCTTCACCGCCGCGATCCGATACGCGTCACCACAAAACAACACAAATTGATCTCGGCTCGTGAAACAACACCCAGAAGAAGACACAGTGTGTGTGCTTCCCCAGACTGCACAAATACGTTCCTGTTCAGCAATATTATTATGACTGGCCACCAGTCATACGAACGTACATATTTCGCTTTCATCCACTTTTATTACAACATTTTCTCTCGGAAGGAATCATTTATTTGATGCAGCTTCAGCTTCACGTGCATTAATGCATCCATACCGACCCACAGTGTCGACCAATTTATTACTGCTTTTATGAGATATGGAAATATCCGCCGGGAGAGAGAAGACCTTGATGGTGCATGGTCGTGGTGCAAATTGGGCCTCGTCCAGTCTCCTGCCTAGATGGCCAATTTGTCTAATTACAAATTAGTGAGCAAAGGTCAGGCACAATTTGCCACTTGATTCGTGCTACGTATGTATAAGGAATGTGCATATCTGCCTATGAATCGGCTGCTGTGCTCAATGCCGTGCAACTGCAGGAGGTGTGGCGCAGTACTAATCAGCCTTACAATTCATTTACGATCGCAGTTAAGCATGCCACTCGACCAGTTGAACAGATCCATATGACCGAGTAGATACATACGTAAGACAAGTATCGGATGTGATTACTTAATTGTTTACCCGCATACTTAAATACGTATCATACTGCATACATGGTATAATCTGTTAAGTGATAAATGAGGTCACCAGAAGGCAGGGATCAGTCCATTATGCATAATAAAGCGTGGTGTGGTGAGGCCAAGTGGCTGGGAGAACGGAAGTTATGAGACATTTTGACAGAGACGAATCAATCAATCTCTTTGTGCAATATCCCAAATTGTTGGGATTACCCATCACGATCGGATTACGCGACCCAGGCGGAAGGAGGACTTCTCGATGCCAGTGATGTAAGTACTGGCGAGGTATTAGGAGGAAGGCAGGTAGCGTGAGGCACAGGAGAAGCACAAATAGAACACTACTACTAACTAACCACTTGGCATTTATTTTCCCCTATTTTTACCACTTTTACATGCCTGGGTTGTGACAAAAGCGAAGGTTACAAAATTTATTGGTCACGTCAAGTGGTCCGATATCCAATACTCCCTCTCTCCCTCTCTCGTCGGTGTAGTAATCAAAAGGGAGTCAGTTTCCCGATGACGTACGCAACGCGACCAATATTTACGGAATATAATTAAATGAAGAAATGTATCTGAATTAGGGCATGAAATGGTATCATCAGTAACTTTTGCTGAGGACGATTTACAATCAAGAGGCCATTTCAATCTCAGAGTATCGTCACTTTATTACGTGGAATGTAGGCCTATATGTACATATTTATATCGAGCACGAATTTTATCCCATGAAAGTCTGTCTCCGTCTGCATAAAATGTATGATCCTTTGACAGTCGGATGAATTATGACCTTGGGCTTATTTGCAATACGCTATAAATATGTGAAATTCACAAAGTGCAAAAATGTGTGCCCCATTTCATCCCAAGATTTTGCATTGTTTGCCATGTAAATAAATAAGAAGTACGTATTTGTAGAGGAGAAAGAGAAATCCCGAGAACACCGAGTCCCAAATTCAATACGCTGTGCTGCACAATTCCAAGGATCCTGCTCATTTCTACTCGACAAAAAAATCCGAAAATAAAGCTCGTGAATATATTAACCTTGTGTTGTTGATTGTGAAAACAAAATTAAATTAGTTGGAATTGTGCGTCGTCTTAATTTGCGGCATATTCAGCGCATCAGGATGATGTTTGGGTGGAGGACCATACGAAAGCCATAAAATAGTTGTTGTCGCCCTTTCACCACAGTCCCACCGTAAAGATCCGTGTTTGTGGCTTTCTTTTATTTGAAAGGTCCACAATGACGTCTTTCTGTCGAACAACACATGTCTCTGTCTGCAATGGCATCTTTCAACGGGGGCTATTGTCATGTTTTAATGGTTTCAGTTTCATGCGGCAATAAAAATGGATCAGGCTAATCCCAAAACGTGGCAATGAAAACGGCAGAGGGATAGAAAGGATTGGGCCCAATTCAATTTTTAATGCAGACAACACAGACAGTCGCAGAATCGAAAATCGTGTGCTTGAAAACTGTACGGGATTATTTGTGGAGTTTTCCGTGAAATTTTATCTACTTGCTTATCTTCGTACTTATCGATGCATATGCAATTGAGGTCAACTGGTTGTAAGAGCATTTTGTTTCTGAAGATTTTCACGTATTTAACATGCAGACATTTCAATTCCTTGCTGTTTCTCAGAGAATTTCTCGTACATCATTGTGTATAGAAATTCAGCAAATGGGAACCCATCCAAAGTATGAAAGGCAAATATTTTGCACAAATTCTGGTGGTTTGCTGGCTTTTCAGAAATCCGAGCGAGGATGATGAGTCGGATTAAAAGTCTCCGCACGTGTACTTTTTATTTTTAATTAACAACTTTTAATAAGTTTGGGTCCCATTTGCTCGACTGGCAGCCCATGCAGCCCTTGAATTCCGTCTCCTTTCACCAATTCCCTACCGCCTCACCTGACACCAAATCCCGTCCTGTGCGACTAGTGCGCCTTGGTTCCAAGCCTTTAATACGTCCAACTAATCCTGCCCAGAGTTCTTTACGAATGAGCTAAATACCGTGGACAGAAGGGTTCAAAGGTTGCTCTTCTTGATGATTCCTCCAGCTTCGTCTGATGAGTGCGAGGAAAATAGTGGACAAAAGTCTATCCTCCGTCTGTACTATCTGTCCAACCACTAAGCAGACCACACATGAGTGAAACACCCAGGTTTGGAAGTCCTTGAATATCAGCAAAAGTTTCGTTAATTACTTTTCTCGCTCATTCCCTGCCTCCGCCCCGCGTATGTAAGTTGTACGTACATACGTATGCAGCTTCTGATTGAGCCATGATTCATAAAGTGAGCAACTTTTGATGGATACAAAGGTAACATAATGCAGCCCATTTGGAATTAATTTTCCTCTGCTGAATCCTCTCCATTTCGATTGGGAACTCCATTTCGACTGAAGAGGGCCAATTTGTTTCACTGACTGGCTGAGGACACACAAAATAACTGACACTCACCTCGCCTCCAAATCCGGATCAAAGCCATGGATGGATTGAAGGCAGGCAGGCAGGAGGCTCGTGTTTGGGGGAGGAGGAGCAGTTGAAATGGTGATGAGGCGACTGAATAATCTGTCAAAGGTTGCTTTTAATTATTTGCCTAAGCGGGATCGGATTTAGAATTTCAATGAGCAATCCTCTTACGAGGACGACGACACGAACGCCCTTATCATTTAAGCTTGAACCGACTCTACGGATGTGCAGGTACGCACAGATGCAGTGCCAATGGTGGTGGTGGTGGCAGTAGCATTCTCATCACAACTGGTGATGCAACGACCTTTCACTCTCAATGTCTTAACTATTTATCCTCTGATCCAAAATCCATTTTGAAGCTCTAACAATGAGTCAAGAGATTTTTTGTGCATATTCAGCGAGTTAAGTATGTCGAACTCGTGCTTCGAAAAAGGTATTCAACAGAACTTTCCCTGCTTTCACCTAATTCTTGTGCTAATTAATTAAACGAATCTGGCAATGCATGCAGCAAAACGACTGTGCAATTGACGTTGACGTAAATTGTAAAACACTTCACTTCAGCTTTGGTTGTAATTATGTGCACACATTTGATAGCACGTGGCCAGGGCCACTTATATTTGTGCAATGTAAGTATTAGGGGCCCTATATTTCTTGTGTGTACATATGCTGTCAAGCAGACATTAATATTTATTCTGATGAACTTGAAACGGGGGGACACATTCAGATTGTGAGGTAATTGTGCAAGCAATATGCCATCATTTCATGCACAGAGTCACACTGCTCGGCCTGGTTGATGACATGCACCTCAGGAAGGGTTGTGTGTGTGATTGTGAAATGAGATTCAGCTCACTCATCAAAGTGAGACGTGGAGTTGGCGTTCGCAATAGTCACCTTCCTTCCTTCCTCTGTTTGCCAATTGTCACTTTCTCTCTCTCTCAAATTCCCTTTGACATTCACCTCACTTTGTGGACTCCCAGTCCGCACCAGACCCATTCGGATTGCTATTTAATTGCTAATGCTGCGATTTTACGAGTCGAAGGGGAGAACAAAGAGTTTCAAGAATATCCCTCCTTTTGAGTCCTCTCCCTCGACTTTGTGTAGTGCTCCAAATTAAACACGATGACATGGAGCCCAATATAATAGGCAACATGCAGATAAATTAACACTGTGATGCTGATTATGACACCTAAAATTAGTGTTCTGGAATAAAGTCAAAACATTTCAGGACATTTCTTTCATGATGATTGAGCAATGTTTGAATGGCGTAGCATTTGCGATCGTATTTTGTTATGACAAGTCGTCGTTTTCCCTGCTACTTATTAAGAATGCAAATAGAAATGTTCTCATTACAGGTTCCGACTCTCGCATCTCTTCGTAAGTATTAGGTCATTATCATTGTGCAGTTTCAAACGCAACTCATGCTAATAAATCCCCCTTGGACAAAGACACAGATAAGTATAACAGATGCATAAACATAAACATGTCCCATTATTACCAACTTCAGCCGCATTAGGATTTGGCGAATGAGACACAACTCACGTTAGGATGGTCCGCGAGGAGGAATAAAAGGCATTCGAAGAGGAAGGGGAGCTGAGGAGGAAAAGGAAATGTTGTGATCTCGCCAAGAAAACTCGATTAAACGGTTGACATTTACAACTCGAGCCAAAAGTTGGAATTTATTAAAACGATGAATGAGCTAAAAATATTGAGTGTGTAAATAGCAGCATTCGTTCGAGTATAAACAGTCCTCGCTTCTTGTTGTTTGTTATTATCATGAGCTGCTCGAGTGGTACGAAACCGTTTTTTTTTGTCATCGAATGAGCACAAGTAGGTGCAGAGCAGCAAGTGAGCATTAGGATTTTATTTCATCCATCCGAACAACCCCATCTCATCCAATTCGAGTAATCCCTCTACAAATAAATTTGAGTACAAATAATAATAACAAGCTCAGCTAGGCTTGCAAATTTTGTTGAATACGCAAACAAAAATGATCCACAGGGAATGGTTTAAAGAGCTCTGGAGAATTTGTCCATTTGCAGCAATAAAATAATGACGGATGGATGGAGGGGGTAATAGTTGCAATGTACAGCTTTTTAGTAGCACGTAGCCAACGTGGATTGAAATGTTCCACTTTCTCTGGGGATCCATGAAAATACTTCAAACTCTGTATCAATTATTTAAAAGTTGAGACGGCTCTTGGAATAGTAAGCCTGCATGAAAAAGTTGTGGCTTTGAGAGTCAGCCTACACACAACAACGTGCATGCCAAAGCAGTATAATTCATAAATGGCACTGGGGTGGACTCGAAAACCACTCCTCATAATACACGCCATGACCCAAGGCAGTAGCAGACAGAGAAAATTTAAACTTTAAATTGGCCAACTTTTTTCAAAAGACTTGCAAACACAAATATCATTTGATGTGTGCCAACCCATTTTTTATTTAACCCACTTGTGAAGCCACTACTTTTTTGCACACCTTCGTCAGCCCATTATGTATGTACATTATTATCGGTATTTCTTGAATATCTTGAAACTTGGTTGCTGTTCAACCATAACGACTTTAATGATGTCCTCGCAAAAGACGGGTTGCAAAAAAGTTTCCCAAAAAGGCAATAAGAATGTTGTATGGTAATTGACTTGCCTGCGAAGAAGTGAAGGAATTGTCGTCCTTAGCCGAAGGTGTGGCGAGTGGAAATATCGATTTGCATAATTGCATGATCCATGCCTGGTAGTTAGCCATGTTTCATACTGTGTATCAAATCTTTAGCCCGAACCAGGGCTTATGTAATCGTCATGTCCGTCCGTCCGTCAGGTATATAATAGGAAGAATTGAGGCTCAGGAATGCAAGAATTAGTGCAAAATAGTAGCACATAATTTCATAGAAAAGTGCTGCCCAACATGGGATTACCAACCAATGAATCCTGGTTCGGGCTAAGGAAAGCAGGAGCTGAAGAGAGGTTTTTTAGCGGACAGCAAGTGGATGCCTTGTGACCACAAGTTGTGGTACGCAGAGGATGGAGAAAGTGGAGGAGTGAGTGGGAGAAAGTACCCGCTGCCGAAGTAGCCAGCATGCAGCACCAGCAGAGATGGGATGGCACGCTTTTTGGCATGGCTCAAACCCAGCGAGCCCATCATCTGATCTGACTCTCTCACTTTCACCACAACACAACCTGCTCCAGCTGCACTCGGCTCAACAATTTGGTAATTGAAATATTTTCCAACGACCTCAATTAAACCTGCACTATTGTCCAATCATCTTTATTATTGGAATTTAGATTAAGGTGGTAGTATATTTGTGCGACTTTATTATTTTATATTTTACCAAAAATATGACGAAACTACAGAGCGAAGTCAAGGATCACTAATTTCACGCTCCTAAGTCGGTAAGCTATACTTGACGTGAAATCCCTTATTATATCTATAAATTTTCCTAGTTAACTTAGAAAACGTCTACATTTTGTACGAAATCCTCTACTTCTTTACGTGTGTAGTTAAAAATTAAAGTGCAATTTGAATGAGATTGATAATTGACAGGTAAAATATAAACCAGTCCAACAGAGAACAAATTTATGTTGCATTATCGAAATATATGTACATTCTTTAAATTTAAGGTATTGGTGGCTGCGAGGTTTCTATCGTTTGACTTTGTTGGAATGGAATTTTAGCACTTAGGTTTTACATGTACGCACAAATTGCAAATTGTCATCATAATAATACAGGATCTTTACGATTTATCGAGTAATGAACAAGGTGTGTGGGGTAGACACACACAATGCATTTAAATATCACTCTGGTGGTGCTTCGAATATTCCATGATAAGATGAAACAAACCATATTTGTTCGTACGTACTTAGCTGAGGGGTAATTATTAGTTATACTGGCATTATTCATGTGCATCTATCCATATATACATAAGTTGTAATGAATGTTCGATATATCAACTGTCAACTCTAAATTACAGCTCGAACCGTGGTGCTCGATGCACGTTTTGGTCAAAAGAACAGGCCACCAAAGTATTGTCAGCCGCTGTAGTTGCGGACATCATAATGTTTGCCAGTCTCCGAGAAAAGTTTTACAATGTTCAAGAGGAAATTACCACCAGGTACGTATATCAACGCTAACAAGGACATCGAAATAATACATGGTTGATCATGTAAATTTATGCAAGCCAGTATAGTAGTAATGTTGTTATAATGCTAATTCTCATCGTCGTAGTATCCGCAACCTCAAATTGGACCGACAGAGCAGCAAAGATGTCAAGAAGCAAGACAATTGCAACTATGATGCGGGATTGGAAATTTTAGAACGCTATCAAAGTTTCTGGACCGACATTCACAACAAGACGGAAATTACGGCGATGTGTGCTGCGGTAAGTTTTCTGAGCGTCATAATAGCTGCGTGGGGGGCTGTGCCTCTTTGGACGATGCAATCAATTCACGACCCAAAGTTTGTTATTTAATTAATTATTTGAATGAATACCAGGAGGTTGACGAAATTGTGCAAAGTCTTCACGATAACTATGAGGAACAATGGAAGAAAGTTGGAAAGTTGTCTACTGCCTTAGCCCTCATCCCCCAAGTCATTCATGGAGTTCAAGAAGTTTGTGATACCATTTTAAATTTGCAGTGTGCCTTTGACGAAACAGAAGATGCGTTATTAACACTGGAAGACATGATTGAAACACAAGAGCTACGTGAAAAACAGTTGGATCACAGGTTTTGACCTTTTCATAAATTTTTGCCATAAATTTTTCATAAATTTCGAGCCATTTGACACACAACTCCAATGATACAAGTATAACATGTGACATTAGTGCCCCTCTATCAATTTATAATTCTAACAGATTTCAACTAGCGCTGTACCAAGAAAAGCGAATGTCGGAGCTAGAAGACCTAAAAGGTAATAATTCAGAATCATGAAATCAAGTATTATTTTATTTTCGTGTATCTTTTGGTGGGTAAAATCACCACAGTCGACATTCGCATAATTATTCCATGATTCTATCTACTGATAGCATAATGTGTTGTGGTCCTTTCCCTGTTACGACTTTCCTCCTTGTCGAAATCTCCAAACAAAATTATTCTTTGTAATGATTTTATCGGGAGTAAAGTGGAAATACATTTTACTCCAAGCCGTAGTTGATAAACATGTTCCGAAGGCAAAGATGGTTACAACAGGCTTAAAATATATAGAGAATAAAATTATTGTTTATTTTATCGTCTATATTATCTTCTTTCAACGTGATTTTATTTTATTGCTTGCAGTACAACTCACTGACGAGCACCTTCATAAGATCCGAGAATTTGAAAAGAAGCGAGCGCCTTCATTAAAAGAACGACAGGCACACTTTCAAGAGGCGTTTGACAAAGATCTCCTGCACTACAAGTCACAAGGCATCGTGCCAAGTGAGTAATCTCGTTTGATGAAATTGTGTTACAACGGATATCGAATTTTTTTTCACAATGAATGGTGCTTCAAAGGAAATTTTAGAAATAAAATGTGCGAATTTATGACAATCGTATTTTCTCATCAGAGCCAACAAAGACAGCAGAGTCAACACCTAGCCTGGAGGAAATCCTGCTCGACGAGGAAGATCCCTTCGAGTTGGAAACATTTTTGGCTACAGAAGAGGAAGAAGAGGCAGAGAACTCGTCGCCTAAACCTGGCTCTTCTTCTGCTGAGCAACAAAAAGATCCACTGCAGGATAAGCCAGTAAATGAAAAGAGTGACGCTCATCCCACTAGCAGCAGTAACTTGGGAACAGAAGAAGCTCCCAATGGATGATGATCTCTCTATTCTATCTCCGCTGGGAGCATTATTTTGCAAAATCCTACAGATTGGTGCATACAAACCATGTTGCCTTTTCTAAAATCTTGACGAATGTAGACTTTTTCCCTTAATACATATGTTACTTACTGTACTGTATTTGCGTACGCAATGCAAGGCACTAATCTTGTCCTACATGTGTTTTGACGAATAACCGGTGCTTGCTGTGCGACTGGTTTAGTATTATCACAACATTCCTTGACAATTTAGTTTCAAAAGTATGGCATTCGATTGTGACAATTTAAAGCAGCTCATTATAGTAGGTATGACATATACATACGTATGATATAGTTACCTTAATAATTCACTTACCATTTTTGACCAATGAATCACTTCTGAGCCTATGCACAAAAATAAACTCACTTCAAAACGAAATTACTCTTGGTACTTTTTCACTCGACTAGCACGACAGCAGGCAGAAGGTTGGCGTTATTTAGTAGTCAGCGCTCCCTGATCGAAATTCATATGTTTATGATTTTGCAAATAAACCTGCAGACGTCATACAATTTAATCAGAATATTTTATATAGAAAGATTCGGACATTAATTGCCCCACTTTTGCGTGTGTGTGAGCTACTTAATTATATTACACTGGCCAATGAGTCGTGCATCCTCCTTAACAGTGAACAGAACTCGTTGCATGACGCACTTTATGAGAGTGAGATCATTATAATTGAATTCATTAGAATACACCGTTTAGCGATGTAACGTCTTAACTGCATATGAATGTCATAATATTATGCAATGGCATTCAATTAACGTTGATAATGATACCACCGCATACGCTTATCGTGTTTGCTCTACTTATCAAGGATTCAGTGAATTAAATGATCAGTGTTTAGCCGAACCATGACTCGTGCAATCATAATGTCCGTCCGTCGTCCGTCCGTCTTTCAATAACTCTAGAACGTGTTGACCGAGTTTGGCCAAAGGTACAAACATGTATGTTGCAATAGTTACAATGCAACAACAGAAGAGTTCGATGAAAAAAGATTGGGATCGATGTGGGTCATATCAGTGGTTTTGGTACAGAATATTCGAAATAGTGGTAAAAGGCTGAAATTCGGCACAACGGTCTCTCCCAAGGGGATATAAATTCGGAATATACAACGACTTGACTAATTGTAAATCTTGACCGGAGGAACTCATCGATTTTTAGAAATTATCTAGGAAAGCTGAAATTAATGGACTTCTGCACAGAGATGCTTGCATATTTGTAATGGCCTCTCTGCAAAAGAATATAGACACACCAAAGGTCGCAAGAGTGAAAACGACGGGGGTTACCCATACCGATTTCTAAAAATTACTATATTCGGGTGAAATTTGGTATGAAGACTAAAAATGACTCATAAGTAGTAAATACGACGTAGGAGTTTTGAAGCTTTTATAGGGGCGACCCCACTTGCCCTATAGTCGGCAAGAGGAAGGATTAAGGTAAACTTGGAGAATTTGGGGCCAGATATGCATATAATATGAAGAATTGGCGCTAATTAATGCAAGATTTAGTCCAAAATAATCCAATTACTTATTTAGTCAGTCCTTGGTGGTACATTCGTATAATTTTATAGAAAATAAAGATACATGGTGAACAGTAAATCCTGGCTCGGGCTTTGCAAAGCTGTACTGACAAGAGAGGTTTTTTGGTATCCTCAAGTTTGGCATTGGCATTCCAAGAATAGCGAGACGAATTTCTAGCATAGCGAATAAATTCCATTGCATATATGAGTCTCTGCAATGTGAAGAGCACTTTCGATATTTGGAACACCACGGACGGTGTTCCAGGCACGGGGCGGCCTGGACTAACAATGGAACCTTTTTTCAAGCTACACGAGATAAGCTTAGTGACCTGTGCTAAAAAATCAAGCTAAAAATTAGAAATGACGTGGTACTTATCTTTCCGTTGAATGGGCACTTGGAGGTCAAATATTTGAGGGCAAAGTTCAAGGTAGCGGCCTGTTTTTTTCTCAAGCGTGCGAGCGGAGGAGTGAAAATTTTCTCCTTCGAGGTCACTCCGCTGCCTTCACTCTCGCACGCTCGCACTTCATTCAATGCATATTATTTTTGACAAAATTTCACAATCTCGTGAATTGGTGCATAAATTCATATAATTTTATAATTGCTTTTTAAAGTCCTACTATCAACTATCCACCGATCCGTAATGAAAAAGTGACGATGGGTTCTATAAGTTATACATAAGTGCGTCTAATTAATTAGTGTATTAATTAATTAGAAATCATAATCCGTAAAGTTGACTTATTTTTATTGCCACATTTCGTTGTATACTTTTGGAATTGCATATTGATTGCATACTATTGATGAACGAAACTAGCGCGAGAGTGAAGGCAGCGGAGTGACCTCGAGGAGAAAATTTTCACTCCTCCTCCGCTCGCCCGCTTGAGAAAAAATCAGGCCGCTACTGTGAACTTTGCCTTCAAATATTTGACCTCCAAGTGCCCATTCAACGGAAAGATAAGTACCACGTCATTTCTAATTTTTAGCTTGATTTTTTAGCATAGGTCACTAAGCTTATCTCGTGTAGCTTGAAAAAAGGTTCCATTGTAAGAAATATTTCATTGCGACACCAACAAAGCATTCTGGAGACCTTTATATTAACCTCCACCACTGACCGTGTCGATGGATTCTAACAAAGTTGGGTGCCATTATTTAAAGAGTCACACCCGTCGTTGTCATGCAGGGGTATAAACACCCCATAAATATTCATTACCGCGTTGTGAATATGCTACTTGACTGATGACTCTCCGTGAGTGAGACAAACAATTCTCCGGCATAAAACCGTAATAAAATCGCTATGTGAAGTGCATGCAAATTAAATTGAGACAAAAATTTGTTCAGCACACCACCAACACGACGACTGTAATATTTACATCTCAACACTGACTGAGTCAAGGCGAGAAAGGTCGCACTCGCTCACTTATTAGTAATGAAATGAGATCACAAAAGTTCCTAAAGCCTGATTACAAATTCATGAAATGGAAACAAGAATCAGCAGCAGCAGAAGTGGAATATTTTCCAAATGGGCTTTTCATTTGGGCGTTTTGTACGCAGCGTACATCTCTCGAGGACTATGACCCTTTTGATTCAAGGGGCTTCAATGAGTCGGAACCGAGCGTCCGAAGTGGCTGTCCCCCAGGCCTGCAAAGACTTGTATTTATTAAGAGAATTACTCACACAAACGCAAAAATTCTACATGTGCAAAGCTGTAGAAGCAAAAGCGAAACGAGAAGGTAGGTGGAAGGCTCTTTGGTTAGTTGGTCACTCGCAAATCTCACTCTCGAATTACGTGGTAGGAGATGCAAGCGTGAGACTGCGTGCTCAAAAATTCATTTGCAATCTCCAGAGAGCAATTTGCTATGCAAATACAAAATCTAAATTTATTCACGGCTTTCTGAGGAGAGCCGGCACAAATTGGTCTGTGAAATACTTTTTACAGGAACATTTGACCCACGCTGAGGGGAATCTTTCGTGTCCTTTCGTAATCCTTTATCCCCATCTCCCCGTCGTGAAGAAGCTGCGATTGGAAACAAACAACAAATATATCAGCTAATATATAATGGGCGTACTCACGACAACTTCTTATTTCGCATCGCAACTCATTTAGCAAACTTGCGAAGATCAAAATATTTCTGTCGTGAGGGGATTCGCAAAATATGAGTTCGCAAATCTCTCTAATCTCGCAAATCTATTGAAAACCACCAATTTTGGTATTGTTTCCATGGATTTCTTTAATTTCTCCTGCTGGAGATGATGAGATGAGTTTGCGAAATAATTTTGCGAAATAAGGACATGCTCAATTGCTGGGTAAATTTGCGGAAAAAAATCCCATGGTTTTCCAGCAAATTTTTTGCGAAATCTCGCATATCTCGCAAAACTTCGCAAGTTATGTTGCTATGCTCAATTTGCGAGATATGCGAGATATGCGAAGGTTGACGTGAGTACGCTCAATATATAATATATAATAATATATATATAATATAATATATAATATAACAGCTTAATTATACCATAATTATTATGGTACATCAGGCAGGAATAACATAGGAAATAGCCACCTTGTTTGATACTATGGTACAGTGCTGCAAAAACGGCTCAGACATAATCGTCTGTTTCGTGCATATTACATAACTTTCCAGGAATTTTTCATGCTATTGGTTCCATTTTCTGTGTTTCTAAGCGAAGGAAGAATTAGCTCTCAGGGCTCTCAGGTCGACAATTCCGGTTCCCCCTCCAACCCCGGTGTCCACTCCTGAAGTATGTATGTGTGAATGTGTGACTACTACAAAAATATTTTCACTTGCTATTGAAAATAGAAATTATGTCCCACATATGTAGTATGCGAATAAGGGTCTTGAACTAACATGTTTTGTAAATAAAATTTCATAGGACCCTGAGAAAGAATGGTTCCGAGGCCTATAACGAGGATTCCTTGTATATTCCTTGAATATTTATCGAGTCACGACAAGATTGCACAAGGAGGAGGACCAAGGAAACTGAAGCTACCGGATTATTAAGGTTAGGCTCCAGTGCCATGGCTTCCTCAACTTCATTATATTCAGCCACACGTTCTCTGGCGAGGTCCTCATACAACTTCCACATAGCTCTGCATTCCTCTGTCTTTGGGATGAAAGGTCGAAAGATTGCCTGCGTTTGGAGAAAACAACTGGGTTCGAACGGATTCCATCGAGCGAGTAAACTGGAGAGGAAGGTGAACGTGTCCACATCTTTGGCAGGTGACTATGGCTCGCTAAACGTTTCCGAGTACCAGATTTGATAGCGTGGGAAAATCTTGGGCGTGGTAGGAGCAACGAGGGAGCAGTGTCGGGCCAGAATGAAGGCAAGGGAAACGAGCTCTTCGTTCTGAGATTGGACGCATTCTCGCATTAGAATGTTGATCATCTTTTTCAACACGGAAGCCGCCTCGAATTCCAGCCTCCCTATCCAAGCAGTGATCAAGAAGAGAATGTTGTCCCAGTTTCGGCTGCCATTTCTAATTGATGTTGATAATGCTTGAAAGACATCCTCGGGTAGCATGGGTTCACTAATCATCTAGATAATTGGCAATACAACAACAAAATTTACAACCCAAAAAGTAAGTAAGATTCACACTAATAATCCTGCTAATAAATACTTATGTAGAAAGTACTCGTCATACCACATGAATAACGTCACTTAAAATGGCAACCCTATCGTCATTTTTTCTGGAGCCCTCTGCGACTTTCTCTTGATCCTGAATAACCTCGTCGAACGTGTAGGACTTGGCACCAACATCGCTGCTTGGTGCTGTTAAAAGATGGTTCAATTGGTGTGACAAATACTTCTTTTTCGCCGAATTTGGTACGTGAGCTGAAATAATAACCAGTGTATTATCATTATCCAATTAAATGTAGATACGCGGCAAGCTGCTTGGACCTCTTGCATAGTATTGCTGACCTTCCTTGATAACTTCAAGGATGAATTGGCGATTCATCTCAGAAACCCCTTTTGTACTGGTGACCAGGTTAGTGCTCACCTGGAAGAGGATCTCAAACACGGTGGCTTGAAGAGATTCCAAAATACTTGGCCGTCCAGGATTACAATACCCACAAATGAGAAAAGTGTGGAAAAATTGCTCAAGAGCGCACTGATAGCGATCTCTTGTGCAAAAATTGAAGTCCACCGAGGGAGAAAAATGAAGTGCCAAAAGTTGCCGTTGCACTTGTGTGGCGACTTCAACCAGATGTAAGAATACTTCATTCATTTAACATTAAAGGTAGATTTATTCTCGGGGCTCCTACACACCCCAAGAACTCGGGATACCCAAAATCATCCTAATCATGGCACCCTCGATGTCGAACTTCTTCTGACGCCCTTGAGATTGAACACCATTTTGGACATGACGGTGCAATGAGCCCCTTATAGAGCATTAACGAACAATTGAAAAGTCTGAATGAGCAATGACTCGAGCAAAAAATGGATTTTAGCAAAAAATTGGAATAAAAATTCTAAATCCAAAGGTACGAATCTTCTATGTTGCAGTTTATATAGCAAATTTTTCAATACTATTCAATGTACATACAGTTTTTGCGCCTTATCATTAAAACATTTAGGTATCTACTTCTTACTTTGCTAGTATCCAACGTCAATTATGCAAAAAAGTGGTCTAAATACTAAATACCCACTACATAAATAAATATAATTAACAATTAATAAACTTGTAATTGCTGCACGAGTTGTCGAGAAGTCTTTCCTGTTTTCCCGTGAGGAAGTTGCTGTGTACATGAATAGAGTATCAAAAATGTTCATTGAGATGGGTTTGTACCATTTTCTTCGAATACCTTGACAAAGTAGGCACCTCCACGAAAATGCTTATAATTTGGTAATTGCCCTGCCACAAAATAAGAAAAACTTAAAAAATTGTGTCCATATGTGTATCAAAGAAGTGACGTACTATTTGCAAACTCGACGATTTCTTCTGCGGTACAATTGACATCTTGCATGTTTTTAGGAACTATGAAGCCTCTGGGTATCATGTCTCCGCCTTCAGGATCGGGCACTCCCACAACGCAAGCTTGAGCAACATTTGGGTGCCTGAGCAGAACATTTTCAAGCTCACTCGGACAAATCTAGTTATGATTACATTCAACTTATTCACATATTTCAATTTTCTAAACACGCGTTTGATTGCATTACGTGATTATTGAAGTATTTGAAGATCTCCTTTATCCGATCCTTGATGTAAATAAAACCTTCTTCGTCATAAAATCCTACATCACCAGTGGGAATCCAATCATTGTGGAAACTATCCTTTGTTACCTGCAATAAATTATTAATCAAATCAGAGTGATGACATGGCATGGACGTTACGTCATTTAAACAAGTCGGACCTCTAGTGAATTTCTAAAATATCCAGCAAACGCATATGGAGACCGAAAATAGAATTCGCCAATTTTTCCTGGGCCTAGGTCTACCCCAGTGTCAATATCCTTCACTCGCAGCTCATTCCCAGGAGCTAGTTTTCCACAACTAAAGGCCGGAAATTCTACATGACGATTTTTAATCGAGCTTAAAAATTTGAGAGAAACGTTTAAATATTTCCATATAGTATTTATATTGTAAGTAAATACCATTCAGTGCTCTGTGCACATTGTGCTGATGCAAAGCGCTCCAGTCTGCATTCACAGATATGAGTCCAATTTCCGTCATCCCATAAATTACGTACAATGAGGTCAGGGAAGAAATTGCTCGCACGGATCTCACGAACGAAGGTCCAACCACTTGCCCTGCGGTGACAGCGTACTTCAATGAACTCATGTCATGATTCTTCGTCTCTGTCTCAGTGGCAAGTGCCAGAAGGAACTTTGGAAATGCGAGCAACCCTCTGACCTAAAATTTACAAATGTCTATTTAGATTTCCAGAAAAGCTTACAATTCAGTTGCTCTAAATAATAACCGTGCCTTGTGCATGATAATGTCTCCCAAAATATTGTTCACGGTAGGCTTTGGGCTGATAAGGATCCTGCGATTTGCTGCAAAAAATGCAAGTGGAATTACACTTCCTGTAAAATGTGTTAATCGTGATGTGAGTAAAAATGGGTCTCGTGGCTCATCAGTGAAAGGAATTTGCTGGAAAATTACCTGAAAAAAATCCATTTTTTTATTACTTTGATGATGAAACGGTCCGCAAAACGCATATCTTACAATATTTTTCAAGAGGCGATCATGCGTGTAAACGGCCCCTTTGCTCTTTCCCGTCGTTCCACTAGTTTGAAGGATGAGCGCAATGTCATTCATGGTGGCCGTAACGGTACTCATCAGCAGTGATTTGTGTCCAGCGGCTTTCGCTGAACCAAAAACTATTAGTATTTATATTCCAATAATAATGTGTCAGACGGCACACATTTACCATCCTCAGCCTCGATCTGGAATATGTCACACAATGAAAAGCACTCATGCAATGGGACCGTTGAATTGTTGTTGGAATTGCTCAGTCCAGCAACAATGACATGAACATCCCATGGTATTTCTCTCACTGCCTCCAGGTTATTTGTCACGTATGGCTCATCACATAAAATCCATTTGACATGAGATTCCTTAATTCTCTCAACCAGTTCATCTGCAATTTTAAATAAAATCAAACCATTTTTCTAGGATGCGTACATGCAAACTGAGATTTTAGTTGACGTGTGCCAACCTACCACCATAATCTTCGGGATAAGATGCCCTTGCTATTCCACCAACTCGCCAAACTGCAAGTAGAAAAATGTGCAGTTTTGATCCGTCGTGAGAAGAGTAGAGTACAGTGTCTCCATGACGGAAGCCCTTCGTGATAAGCCAAGTTGCGACTCGGCGAGACAATGGCTCCAGGTCTTTTTGGAAGTAATTGTGTTTTTTGAATGATACATGTTGTTAAAAAGTATAAACCACCTGGCATCAAATTGTGCATATCGTCTGCGTCTGAGCATAAACTAATATGTAAGTATTCCAAAATTGTGAATATTTCAAAATTTGTATTACTGCATCAAACTGAAATTCTTTCCCTCGCAAGATTACTTAACGATTAATTAAAATGTGCAATATTTTATTTATAGTTGGACGTGGGCTTGTATGATACAAATTGTCATAATACTCTGGTCAGTTTTTTTTGACAAATTTTCTGTAATTTTTAAATACTTGAACTCTGCAATAAACCATTTAATTCACTGGTACGAATAAATATGATTTTACTTTCACTTGCACATATTTATATCTCCATGAAATGTCTATCCAAACATACGCGCAAGAAATGAAACGGTAACAATTTTAACAACATATATCATTCTGTGAGCCTGGTCACTTTGACTTTGACCTTTGTATTTGAAGACTTCATCAGTGGTGGAATCACCCTGTTTTTTTTTACAAAAACTATGTAAGTGTTATTTATTATTGCATGTTACCTATTTACAAAAGCAGACTTACTACACACGGCAGATCGCCACCTCCACGTTTGACAAAATAATCTACTTTTTCCAAAATGTATTGAGCAACATTTTGTTGAACGTTAGAAATGGGGAACGTAGTGTCGATTTCTGACTTTAAAACGTAATTTGACATTTTCGGAAGTATTATATAGCCTTCTTCGTGAACTTGTGTTGCATATGAAGAAAAAGAAGACATTGAGTGAGCATTCATTATTGAATTATGTATGTACATGCATTTCGTTTTCTGAAATTAGACATAACGGTGCATAATGTGTACTGGACATGTCAATAAGTTAACGGTGAGTTTAGTGCGTGCATTGAGAAAATGTGACAATCTGCTGCGTATATAGAAATCGAATACTTTATATCAGCCCCTTAATACAGTTTGAAAAAAATGTGGTTGTGTGTGTAGAAATTTGAATATATAGGTATACGCATCGAGGTACTGAAATGGAAATCTTTGGACCCATTATCACTCACTATCTGTATCTGCATCTGTTAATCCGATCAACCTACAAAATATAAATTGTAGCCCAATAATAACACGCGTAACATCACACCACTGTTAGAAAGTGCTTCCCATTATCCCACCCACTTAATCAATGACATGGAAAATGAAGCACAGTATTTGACTTTTAATCAGGGCATGTCTCTTTTTGAAGTTAGAATTGCTGACATTTTGACAACAGGGTGGCACGAGCTGTTTTTTGGTCACAGCCCATGCTTTCTATTATTCACAACATTGTTACAATTTAGCAGGTCGTACATATGCCCTGCAATTGCCGTCGTGTAACATGAAAGTCATTTCGTGTTACTCTTTACATTTTTCTCATTTCAGAGTGAGCATTTTTACAGTGAGGTTCCTTGTAGGGTTATAAAAGCCCTTTTGCAACAGTTTCCTCGAGGGACAATAAAAAATACTTATGTACTAAATTTCATTATGCTGGAGTTGTGCAGTAGCTTTTTAAGTGTATTTTGTTCAAGTGTGTGACAACCTGATTTGACAACCATCTCACTAATTCATAGATACATATGTGTACAGTCATGTATGTGAATCAGCTTTTAGTCATGGTCAAGTAGACAAATCAATTGCACATAAATTTCAGCTTCTCAGACTAACAAAGTAATTAACCTTGAAATGACGAAAGCCAGGTCGGAAATATGTAGCTGAGGAAAAATGTGTTTCATAAATTACTTTTGCTCCATATAAAAAATATGAAATTCGTACTTATAAAAATAATATTTATGATAATGTATTTATAATTAGAGGTGATCTCTACACATTCATAAGTACCACATTTTACTCAGAATAAGCATGAAATCATTTGATGCACAAAAACCCAACTATTTGGATTATTTAGCCACTACTTATCTCGCCACATCTTGGAAATTGTCAAGTGTTGCGAATGATGAACGATGACAGGGAGCAAGACAAGAGAGATTGCATTCAATATCTTGGCAAAAGTGTGTACATCATACTCGCTTGGGCCAGAAGACGATGGCTGAGGAGGTTTAATGTCGACGGTATTCTAGAGGTTAGCCAAATGACAGGCAGTACCAGTCACGGAGATTTTCTGTAAACGTGCAACTAAAAGCTGAATGCATACAGGGCTGTAGTTCTGGTTGAGAACAATTATCATTGCCATTCCTGCTGAAATCTTATCTGTCTGCCAGTGCGCATCCTAGCCAAACGTGTTGAGAAGAACAACAATGTCGTTCCCAATCAGGTTGTGCATATCTGTATGATGATACCACCAAATGCTTTCTGCTCATGGCCGTGATTCTTACCCCGTTTCTTTCTGCATAATATCATGCCTTAATTCAGCAAAGACGTCATTTCGTGTTATGGAAGCCATTCTCATGTATAAACCGTTTACGCAACTTTTGCAAAATTCCCTACTACTCCTCTCTTTTTTAATAAATAAGACCAGTGCCTCAGATACTTTTATTCTCTCAACTTACTTAATTGATGCACATGCATATGAGAATGATTCACAATGGTCAAGACAGAAGAATCTCAATGACATAACAGTTAGTCTAATATAATCAAAATAACTCAAAATTTTACTGCGAATTTTGGAGCCGAGTTCGATTGTAAATTGTGCATACATACATGTACACATATAAATTCTACCAATTATAAGTTGCCAATCCACAAACCAATGGTTCACTCTACAGGTTTTCCTTCTTTCTGCGCCGCTCCATTTTCCTGCTCACACGAGATAAATCTAACCCAGAGGGAACCGAAAGGTGTAAAAATCTATTTAATAATGAAGTTAAGTGGTAATAAAAGAGCAACTAACTTTGACACTAACGATGCATTAGCTGAGAGTAAAGAGCAACAATCAGAAGGATGGTTGAGCTGGTGGAAGGGTGGATGGAAATGTACAACCAAGGGGAATATAGCCCTCCCACGGCAACCCACAACGACGACGACGACGCCAACATAAACCGACCCATAACGACTACACGAACGCTGCTGTGGATGAGAAACCAGCAACAAAAACTGTGATTGTATGCATCGAAAGGAAAGCAAGTGGAGGAGCAGTTAGCTAATATGGATTGATGTGCTGCAACAAGTAGCAAAATCCCAATCTCATCATCAACTTTAATACAAGTCACTTTTCATCCGGTGATTTAGTTCCACTCTCATCTTCGTTAGGTGGATACCACGCCAGCCTCGACTCAGCATAAGTCGTGTCGACAAAGATACTAGGATTCAGACGAGTCAAAGCTCAAATAATAATAATAAATAGCGTGTGCAGTGAAGCACATTAACGGGAATATCGTGCTTCTTTCGTCCTGTTAACTCTTTGTGATCAACCCTTCCTGTGCTCTCAGCTTTCTTAAATCTCTCGTAAAGTTTCTCCAAGTTTAAATATTTTGTGAACCTATTAAGCACAAGTTGGTGAGATAAACAATATTAAACCAACTGCTACGAGCGATACAAATCAACCCTTTATTTGCAAAACAAGTACAAACTCGGCTGTGTGCGTTAAGGGAGAATTCATTCTTGCCAGTTTATAAATTCATACTCGTGTGACAATGTTTCATCCACTTTTCGGATATTCTCTTCAAAAAGGTGCCAAAATTATTGCAATTGCAGATTTGGTAAGCATCAATCAATAATAATTTGTAGTTTTTCCTTGTGTCCGTTATAACGGTATCGTTGTAACGAACGCATTAATAAATTGTTTAATAATAAAATGGATTCATTGCATTTTTAATCGTCATATTTTTCAGGTTATCGTATTTTTGAGCACCACATTACGATTCGTCGTATACGACGTCCAGGAGTTTCAGGAGTATGAAATTGAGACGGAGTACATAACCACAAATGGTGAGCAACAGGCTCAAGTCAGCCAGTTAACAATAATTAATGCGATATAATGCGATATATGTATTATTATTGTGCCTAATTATTATCATCACTGAAGGTTGCTCTTGCCAGAATAAGTTGGTTTCTTTCAATTGGCTGCTGAAAATATGTACTTTTTGCACAAGTTTTCACATGCAATGCAATGTGTGCTTCTTGAGAACTTTTTGTGAAAGAACGGAGTGAAATGGAAATTCACTTTTTATCAGCTAAACACTATCCATCATACATGCTTGATATGGTTTTCTGGACGTATCAAGTACTCAATGCTATGGATGTATGTATGAAAGTACGTACGTATTTGCACACATCACGAACTAGTAAAGTAATTGCTACATGTTGTCGATTGACACTTTACAGTAGTCGTTATAAGTCGTCGTGAGAAATTATTTAGTCAAAGTTGGGTTGCATCACGTTAATCAGCCCGCACGTGGTATATTCTAAACTGAGGAGTGGAAATGAATGGCTACTTGAAACACGAAATATAGTTTTTGCTTAATTTGAATTGAATCAGAGACCGCAGCGGATTCGCAGTTTAATGGGACGGAGATAGCGACGCATGATTCAGCCGCAGCAGCCAATCTGACGGCTCACATTTTAGAAATTCTAAAGCAGAGTAATAAAGCAGTGGAAGAACAACATGGTAAGTTTTTCCCATTAAAACTCGTAATGAGAATACGAAATGCACACAATAAGCCCGCAAAGATCTTCTTGCACGTCGTTGTGTGTAATGATGCAAGGAAGGAATCGTGTTGTGGTGCTTTCATTATGATAAAATAAGCACGTTAATTGCCATCGTGGTAATCCTATAGCTTCCTGCAACTCGAAACTCCTAGGGTTTCAAAACAATGGGAGAAATTTGAAGACTTTTGCCTATTTTGTGGCAATTATCCACGACCATGGCTAATGGATAAATGTTTTTTTTGCGTATTTAGAGCACTATCTGGCACTCACAATAGCGACACTGGTTATCACAGGAGTTATCTACATTCTTTACATGTGCCTAGAAGTTTGGCTATGCCGCCTCCTTATGAGAGCGTCGAATAATGTGAGTTGACCATTATTATTTTGTTACAAAGTTTAGGCTAATTAGCATTGTTTAATAATTATCGAAATTAGGGTGGAAATTTATTTAACAAATTTTCCTATGAATTTCAGAGAGATGGGAGTGCTTGCAAAACCTGGTTTTGGGTTCGCCTATGTGTCACAATGGTCATTTTAATGTTTAGCATCGTAGGAATCGCCACTTTGAAGCATGATTGGGTGGACTGGGTCCTCGAACCCCTGAATTTATACAGAATCTACGAACTGATTGTGATAAATGGTATTTCTTAAAAGTCTGATTTTTTTTCACTACAGTGAAGAAGTGAGTTTAAAAAATCATTTTATTTAATCTATTCACTCAGAATTCAAAAGAGAAATCGCAGCGACGAGTGGCCGAGTTAAGTTGAGAGCATAAATTGTTGCAATTTCGCCAACGCATTTCCGCTCATCTCATCATCATCGTCACCAAATCTCGACTAACTAACGATTCCTTCCTCTCATCCACCAACCAACCAATCTCTGGTTCACATGCATAATCAACAGAATGCAGTTTCCTTTCAATGCTGTGAGGTCCACAGTCAGCAACAAAGATGAAGTCAAAAGTGGAGTGAAAAGTGGATGAACAGTGACGGCGATAATTATGATTATTATTATTATATGATTATACATAATTCTGATTTACTCTCACCAGATTCTGGTGACAATTACCAAACACAAATTTCCCTTCGTATTATTGTTAATCCGTTTTACAATGGTTGGATAAGTGTATATTTGCATATTGCGAGGAATAATTTGAATTGCGAATAAAGCAAGAACTGAAATCTAAGCAAACGCGTAATCCCAATAAATTTTATTCAGATTTAACAAATGCAAAAGTCAGTAAAGTAAAGAAATGTTTATTCCAGGAATTGTAAACACTTTTGTGTTTACAAATTCCTTGCACGTTAAACAAAACACGAGGATAAAATGCATGCATTGTTTAAGGAAATGGGCGTCAGTTCACTCCCCTTTTCCACAACAGAGCACAACCAAGTTTCATTGTTCATGATCTTCAGAGAGGACATATTCCTTCTAAAAGTTGTCAATTTAATTCCAACACTTGCATTCCGACATGCCCAGGTTTGACCCTTTATTTGGACTCGTCTCATTCGAAAAGGCAGCCAAATTCATTGCCATATTCGATTTGGTACGTCATACACATGTTTCATTCGAATTACTGCGAAAACAGTCAGGATATGTATGTACATGTATAGGTAAGTAATTGTAGGTCCTTTGTAGCTTGTACATCTTATCCCATTTCGCTGGCGGAGGTTACATATACGAAGAGAGATCAGGTAACATTTACCAGAAAACTGCCACTACTAAATCAGCGAGTGCTAAAATTATGAGGATTTAAATTGTCATATTTTCAGAGGAATACGAAGGTGAGCTGTCTCGAGCCGTGACGGAAAAGGAGGATGTTCAAGCGTCGGGAAGCACTCCCACCCCAAATGAGACTCCCAAGCCAAGCGGTTCCATGAGCTATAAGGACTTTAAGAAATTAATGGGAATAGGAGTGCCCTCTGCAGGTGTGCTCAATTAAATTACCGCCTATGAATAATGATAAGTTCAGGTTTGACTCTATGGATTTGTGCATTTTTTATAGACATTTTAATAGTTCTGTTGCTCTGCTTTGTGATTTTTGCCATCGCCCACATTTGCATGGAGGTAGACAATGTTTTTAACACGTTAGAATTTTTACGTTCGGAACAATGTCCATATTTGCATGACCTTAACTTAGGTTTGGATGTGTCGACTTTTGTTGAAAGCTGCTTCACACGTAAGTTGTTTCCTAATTTGAGATAATTCCCAATTCCAATCTCCGCCAACTTAACCAGGCAAATAAATTGTATTTGCAGAAGGATGGGTCCGCATTGAAGACCTGGTTTTGGTGTCGTTTGGGCGTCACTGTAATGTTCACGCTTTACAGCATTGTTGGAATCATGAGTGTCAGGTCGGACATTGTGGACTGGATTTTTGAAGCCATGAATATTTATAGGATCTACACGTTGTACATTGTTTACGAGTTTAAGTCCTACGTTTCTGCATGTGTCAATGTTGTCAAACCGATGGAAATGTAGGACAATTGAACTACAGGTTCCTATTAGTGGTGAATGATTAGTCTATTTTTATTTGCTCCACGAGTTGTCGAGAAACTTTCCCTGTTTTCCCTTTCGGAAGTTGCTGTGTACATAAGTAATAAATTATTAAAATTACGTAATGTCCATTGTTTTGACTACCTTCACAAAGTAGACACCTCCTCGAACATGTTTAAAATTCGGCAATTGACCTATTATCACAAAAATTACATTTCATTTTGTAAACGAGTTGCACCAAAAAGGCTGAGAATATTATTATGAGAGTTATGTAACAAACGCACCATTTGCAAACTCGACCACTTCCTCCTCAGTGCACTGGAAGTCTTCCAGAATGACGCAAAACGCTCGTGGAATGTAACCACCTCCGTCAGGATCGACCACTCCCACGACGCAAACCTGCAAGATCGGTCGGGATGATAAAACGGTAAGTTAACCACTTCACCCCTGAGCGACGCATATTTTCATACCTTTCACCCCAGGGCGCATAAACTTTTTGTTGTCCGTGGTTTCTCCTAAGGGGGTGATGCAGGGATGAGCATTTTTTCAAAAAAATTAAAAAATTAAAAGTTCGGGAATTGCATGCAATTTTGCCATGAATTTGGTTGGTTACCATGGCAAAATTGCATGCAATTCCCGAACTTTTAATTTTTTAATTTTTTTGAAAAAATGCTCATCCCTGCATCACCCCCTTAGGAGAAACCACGGACGACAAAAAGTTTATGCGCCCTGCTTTCACCCCTAGCAACGTGGAATTTTTTCTTCCCTTGACCCCGGAATTTTCACCTACTGCATGACGTTAATTACTAGGAGATGAATTGAAAAATGGTGTTCCCACCGGAATTATTCTGGACAGTTTTTTTATGAAAGTTGATACGAATAACCATTTGGGAACGGATTTTGAGTTGTAATTTGCATTTGTGCATTTTTTCGAGCACTAATGTTTATAGCCGAAAATAGCCAACACGCCGAATTTTAAAAGTGATTGTAATTGCATGGAAAGTTAAACAAACATTGAGTAATACTTACATAATAGTACGTAAATTCGAAAAAATCGATTATCGCGCCTCAAGCGCCCCAAAAGCCGATTTGGGCGGGAAAATTAAACTTCGCAAATCTTGCTTTCAATTCGTTATATAGGCTATAATTAATTTAGTGGTTACACTAAAACATGTAAAAATTGTTTCTTGTACATCTAGCTTGCATAAAATTTACGCACACTTTGGGAGGGAAGACCAAAAGTTCTTGAAATGAGTTTAAATTGACAGCAGCGGGAGTGATTAATTGTAGCATCAACTTTTCTAAGCCAGCCTTTGGTGAATAGAACTCAAACCTAAGCGGGAAAATTAAATGCTATTAATTCCGGGCAGTCGCTTAATTTTCCCGCCCAAAGAAATTTCACCAAGTCCAGATGCGTAATAATTAATTTTGACGTATTTTGTCCGACTGGCAATATTATTTGTAGCCTATAATATTAATTTCATACAATTCACCGAACGTTTAGTTTTCCCGCCAAAAACGCCCGTTGGTGCGTTCCAAATCCGAGAGAAACAATTTCTCTAATCTTATCGGATAGCGCTGTTGAAATAGGTGACGAAAATCCCATCAAACAGGAATTTTCAAAACAGGGCGTATAGGCTAGAAATAGCCACATGGCTATAAATTGTTTTTGCCATCATTTATAACACTGATTCCGAAGAGGCAATTCATCTTCCCGTCCAAAAAAGGGTTATTGTCTCAAAACTATACTTTCCTGGACTTAGAAGGGCAATGACCTAATTTTTTTTCGAATACGACACATAGTCGTAGGCCGGCGTGAACGGAAAATACGCCACATAGTCGGATCCGTTGTCAAGGGTCAATACGACACATCGTCGTATTCCGGTGCCAAGGGAACTTACGCCACATGGTCGTATTCGGTGTAAAGGTCAAATACGCCACATAGTCGTTATAGGGGCGAAGTGGTTAATTATGTCAATGTTAACAGCAATGCAAAGTGTGAGACACTGACTTCTCCTACGGCCGGATGGTTGTTGATGACATTCTCAATATCCGTTGGTGAGACCTGTGTTGTTAAAATGTGTAGGATTGACCCACTCGTTGTCAAATCCGAGAAAGCTTACGTGATTCCCGTAATACTTAAAGATCTCCTTTGCTCTGTCCACCACGTACAAAAATTCGTCGTCGTCATAAAATCCTACGATACATAAATTTCATATTCAGCCTTGTTAGTTGATAATATGCGGTGTGCGCTGAAATTCAGGTTCGCCATTTGATACATGATTTGGCTCTCACCCACATCTCCCGTCCTAAAGAAACCATCTGAGGTCATAGAATTCTGTGTTGCCTGGAATAAAACGTGATGCCATTAAAAGTTGTACATAGGTTTGCTGCAGAAGTCGATTTGGTGCGAACCACTGGATTTTTATAATAGCTGGAGAACATTCCTTTGTATCGAATGTATAATTCCCCAGTTTCATTTGGACCTAGAATTTGTTCTCCGGTTTCCAAATCTCTAAATTGAGCGGAAACTCCACGCATTAGTTTTCCAACGGAATTTTCTGGAAGTCCTAATTGCCAAAGGATAACAAATAACGATGCAACCGTTCAGGTAACACTGTCGCAATAAGCGTAATTTTAAATAAAATCGATCCTACCAGGTAGTTCCCAATCAGGTGGTGCATTGTCGGTGTCAAACTCCATTGTGCTAAGGACAAGTCCCACCTCGGTCGTACCCATAATCTGACTCATAAAAAGCGTATTAGATAAGTAAACATATATCTATAGGGATGTAGATGTAGCTTGTCCTACATCACGTCTAACAAGAATATGAATTTGTGCATGCTTATTGTCTCTCTCACATTGAAAACCTTCTTCATATTTGGAAGGGATAAAATTATCTTCACCATCGCATGCGTCACTAGAAACCAGAATATACACAAGTCACAAGTTATTGTAAAAACTATATGAAAACGAATTTTCTGAATTTTCTTACATGGGGAGCCGCCAGTGCTTGCCCACTGTAAACAAGAAAAATCATACTGTGCAGCTAGGGGGTGGTTAACAAGGGCCAACAGCATTCCTGGAAATGCGAAAATATGTCGAGGCTGTAAACCACCAGAGATTTCTATCAATGGACGCATTACATAATTCCATTTAAGCATAATTCAAATGTCCTAATTTAAACCTGGTACTTTTTGATGGCTTCAAAAACATTTTCTGGTCTAATTGTGTGCATGACAAGGACGTGGGCTCCGTCGACAAACCCGATGGCTGGAATGACGCAGCCCGAAATATGCGTGCCCTTTGTAATGGTCAAATTCGGGTTTTCCTTGTCCAAAGGTCGATTCACCATGGACAATACGACCGTAATCAAGGCTTCATGCGACAACACTGCTCCTTTACTTGGCCCACTAAAGGTTTACAGCAAAGGGATTAGCAGTCATCTAAAGGGTATGGAAGTTTTCTAAATAGCTTACGTTGTCCCACTCGTGCTTAATATAAGGGCAGGGTCGCTAAGGTTTGTGCATAGTTTTGGCATTGCTGTAAGTTTTGCATGTTATAGCAAGTGTTTTGAATGGAAATTAACAGAAATTAGCAGGGTAACAGTAGGCCTACCTGATCCGTCGTCATTCATCAAATCAAAAATTGATAAGCAACCTTTCGCCTGTCCATTTACAATGACATCAACGTCCCAATAAATTTCACTTGCAACTGCTAAACATATTTCTGCCATCTCAGGTTCACAGTAAATCCATCCAGCTCGAGATTCCTTGACTCGATGTAAAAGAGTTGCTGTATGGTTGAACGTGTCGAAAAAGCATAAAAACCATATTTACTTTGCATTACACAATACATTTTGTAACCATAATTGTAATTAATGCATAAGTAATTCTACATCATTACCCTCGTCGTCTTCAGGATAAGAGGCTCTTGGGATGCCGTTTGCTCGCCAGACTCCGGTGAAAAATATGTGCAATTTAGAAAGGTCATAGGTCAGATAAATTACAATGTCCCCAGCTCTGAATCCCCGCTTGTAAAGGGCACTTGCTACGCTTTGAGTGGTTCTGTCAAACGATCCAAAGTCATAGGATTCTCCTGTGATTGTGTCGGTCTAGACAAATCCAAGTCATATGTACATGAAAATTTTAAAAACCTGGAGAGTACATTATGAACTTAATCCATTTAGCTTGTAATTACTATGCATGTCGTCTTCCCTTGTGCGGCGTATTCATTAGCCTTCTCAACCAGGTATGTCGGCAATATGGTGTTTTGGGGCAGAGGAATATCCTCAAATGGCGAACTTAAAGTGTAGTTCTTCATTTTCGAGAAGATGTGATGTGTAGCAGAGAATTTCCAGTTCGAAACTTCAAGCCAAATTGTTAAGCACTTGTTAGTGGAGTGAAGTCAGTCAGTAGGCCACTAATTGACAATATCCTTGGTCTCACAGTGCCTCTTCCAGTCTCGAAAAATCTCTAGTTGCTCGTGGAATTGGGGACACACTTCCTCTGAACTTGACTCGAATGAGAAAAGATGCACAAATTGTTTCACCAAGTATTCCAGTTTCTTAGTAGTTGGTTATTAGTGCCGCTGTTGGTATCATATCAGTCGACAGGGACATGCATAATTCCAAGCCTGCAGAGTGAAGCAAGGTGACATAAAGTTGATGAGGGAAGGTATTCTCAATTATTCATTTGACACGGTTTGGTTTCAAGGAATGACCTAGAAGTGTAGTATTTAATAGCTAGCTGGAAGCCCGCACGTCAAATCTCCTTGTGTCAAACCGCACAAGACAGGGAAATTTGCAGGTATTGATTCGTCCAATGTGAAATATGGCAGAAAGTCAATCGCTCAAACGAAGTGCATGCATGCCAAATCAATGTTTAAATAATTGCTGGGATATTATACGTATCTTTAATTGCACAAGGACAAAATAGAAGTGTAAAACAAGCTAAAACATGAAAGTAATGAAAACTAAATAAAGCAACCTTTAAGTTTTTTTAGCTCTGAACGTCTAAGCCTCATTCCAAATGTCGTATATGCGAAATTGCTTTATTTACTCGCGTTGTAAGAGCATCCTTGTATTTCCAAATTGTAGAATCAGGAACTAAAGAGTTTTCATAGTCGTCACAGTTTTTCAAGTCTCGAACGCAGGTCTGTCGGTAGTGTTGCATTTGTGCAATGTCAACATCAACTTGGTGAATATTGCATGGACCGTCGATACACTTTAGTGGAAAATGGTTGTGGAGCAGCAAAGTGTGGGCTGTGGAGTGAATGCATTTCACGAACTTTTTCGGAGGCGTATAGTTCCCTGCACGATATATGTGCTGCAACATAATGAAAATGAAATGCAAATTGACTGGGCCTCATAATTCACGAGTCATAAACAAGGAAAGGAAATGTTGCGTACTTTCATCATGTGCAGGTGTGCTGGGACTGGATCCGCTATCTCTTTCTCCCAGGGAGGAATGGAGTCGAAGAAATAAATGTTTCTGAAACAATAGGAAGTTATCGGCATGTCACGTGTTGCATTATGTTGATTAGAAAGTTGCTCATCAATCTCTATAATTAAGTCCTCCCACGTGTTGCCATTTTTCGGAATTATGACCTGCAAAAAGACTAGTCCAATCGTTCGTCCTCACAAATGATATCTACGATGCATATATGTATTTACCTCGTCTGTGTCCAACAACCCAATCTAGAGGAATGCATACACGAGTAATTAATAAGTAATACAAAAACAATGGGAAATACTCCGGCTTTGTAACATTTAGTTTTAAATGCCGGGTAGTATAGCTAATTGATTGATTACCCAATCAAACTGGTTCAGGTTTCGGTACAGGCAATCGTTATACGGAATGACCTCATTTTTGCGCTTATTGGTCGAGTGTCCCTGAAATGTGTATGTTTTTTAATTTAATTTTTGTGACATGCACATTTCAACCAATTTAACCGGATTTTTCGTATTTAGTTAAACTATATATGATGTGCATGCATGTAATTTTACCATGTTTGACAAAAATAAGTGCGTCAGGCCAGGCTCATTTGGCAGTGTGCCAGGCAAGGTTAATGGAGTCACGTCTACTTTCCCAAGTTTTTTGTAATAGTCCAAAACATTTTTCACGTTCGGGTGGACTGAAAACTCGTAAAAGAAAATCTTTTGCACCCCCAGAAGCAGCAGAAGCTCGATCCATTCGATTAATCGGTACGATTGATCATTGTGAAGAAAGTCCAGACCTTTCACACACACGCCGAAACGCAGCTTCTTTTTATTTGCTACTGAGCCGCCTATGTCGATCGGGTCGGCTTCTTCAAAATCTGAATCACCAATGTCGTTGACTAATTGTATTCCCAAGTTGTTGGTAGCATTATCACAAGCATGGCCCACCAGCGATACAGAAATTGGAGGAACCTACTTTCACAAAAACGACAGCCGTGTAGATAATGCCGGTAAATTTTTCACCCATAAAATATCAAATGAGAAAATGTTGTACCTTTTGAATACCTTTTGATTCTGGAGTAGAACAAGTTAATTGATATGCTGTATATTTCCCCTTTTTGCTCCATTTAGTGAACCATACTTGAAGTTTTTGGTGGACAGGAACAATTGTCGGCCTTTTATTATCGTACTGATACCAAAATTGGCATACGGGATGAACATTTAAGAGATTATTGGGTTCATCCACCATAGCCAAGATGCGAATTAGTGGTCCTGCTGTTCCCTTACTGGGGCGCTTGTCAACATACGCTCTGTAGAGGTAGAAGGTGAGATTCCCAATTCTTTGAACCTTTTCATAAGTCACTTTATTAAGTCTTGAAAGCTTAAGAAATTATGTACAAACCTGCCAATGCAAATTACTGAATTCTAGACGGAATAAATCCGGAAAATTTCCACAACTTGAAAACTTTCCTGAACGTCCTTTCAATATGAAATTGCGATTGGGTAAGTTTCCAACTTGTGATAGTGCCAAAGCCGTTAATTCTTCTTCCATTTTGGCGTTCTGTTCATCTTTGCTGATAAAATGGTCCAAAAATAATTCCTCTTCCGAATCAAATTCAGCTTCAAAGTTGTCTCTATTGAGGTCAGAATCGTTAAAACGGTGAGCTGCCTTGTCAAGTCCTTGCGAAAGTAGCTTCACGACCAGGCCAAACACAACCACAGCCGCAACAAACCCCACGAACAGGCGTCGGTGCCGATTTTTCGGAAATGCTCGCCACAAAACCATTTTCAGGGACATTTTAATATTTTATACGAGATTCGTCCAGTGAACGCATGTGAATAATTATTACGGGGCAACTACATTTCTCTGGACTTAGTTGATTACCTTTGCGTGCGTATGTATATGTATTGATTAATACGGCTAAGCGAGGATTTAGATTAAACTTCGCTTTATCTACAGCTTAAATTTTAACTAAACAAAAGTGTATAAACCTCAGTCCAAGTGGTCATCTTTGTAAAGAATGCCAATGCAAAACGGTTTAAAATAAATTCGTCCAAGTTAATATAAAGAATATGTAAACGTATATATTCATACATTCATAATAAAAATAATTCAAAACATGTATTTCGCAAAATCGATTTACGCATGCTGGTTCAATTATTCCTCCAATGCATGCTATTTGCATAATAAAGTCAATATTACAATGATCCACCAGATACGATTCAGTGGGCTACACATTAACTTGAATAAATAGTACAAACGAAATTGAATCATCTCACAAAGGAGTCATCTGAAAATGCACAAAGCAATGAAAATATTGAAAATGCATGGGAAAGTGAGCTACAAATATTACTTTGAGACGAGATTACCCCAATGGCAACGAAGCGGCCTGAGCCGGGCTCGTCCGTTGTTATTGTTCCATGCAAACAGAAATAGAATTTACTTCAGAATCCACCAAAGAGAAGAAGAACGAGCAGTAGCGTTTTCTTTTTTTTGGTTTATTTCCGTTCTCTTAATTTTTTTGTCCCTCTTTTGGTTCATTTAGTCGACAGTATGGCGGAACAACCCATCAGCCCACAATTACAACCAAACATTTCCGACCTTAGTGACCTCGCTCTCAAGTTGGACATTCTTTCCTTGGGCGACGATTCCATCATTGCAACGGACAGGACTGCTATACTATCCGAAGAAGATGAGGAGGACAAAGAAAATAATCCTCGTAATTCTGTTGGAGATGCTCCTTTGGTGTACGAAGTAGATGTTATGAAGGACTCGTCTATAGTACTTAATTCAGGTGATGCAATGACTTCAATAAGTATTGAACCGCCGTCTAGTGAATCTGAACGGCCATTGCAAGTTGGGGCTCATTTTGTCAGTGGAATTGACCTTGGTAGCGAAATTATGGACGAAAACCAATGGATGAATGCGTCAGGTAAGTCAAGTTTGAAAAAAATGTTGTTTTATTCGGAAGATATTGTTTTATATGCGTTTGGTTCTATATGTTGCAGATTTTGCTAATGTTCAAAATCCTACCGAATGGGACATGTTGTTGACAAGGGGTTCTGGTCTGCCTTCTGTGAAAGACTTGGCCAGGGATTCTTTGTTTGTCAAGTTTGATCCTCTTGTCCCACTGTCACGAGAGCTTCCGCCTCAGCCTGATCCGGTTATTGAACGTGATGAGCCGTCTGGTGAAGTTTTTGATTGTAACCTAGAAGTTGGCGAAAATGGCAATGAAAACGAAGGATTCAACAATAACAGCGCTGTTGAAACTCCTGCAGAAGCAGCTAAACCTCCGGTTCCACTTTTCAACGATTTCGCCATTCCTATAAGCAGACCAACAACCAAGACTGAAGATGAGCACGATTGGGTTAGCGCAACAGGTACAAAGTTTACTTCTTTGTATTTTGGATACACTATAATAAGAGTTGTTTTTTGTTGAAATTTGTATAGATTTTGCTACTACTCAAAACCCAGAAGAATGGGACATGTTGTTGACAAGAGGTTCTGGTATTCCTTCTGCAAAGAACTTGGCCAGGGATTCCTTATTTGTCAAATTTGATCCTCTTGTCCCAGCGTCACGAGAACTTCCGATGCAGATTGATCCTGTTACAGAACAGGCTGCTGAGCATGTCAACAATACATCAGGTCGCATTTCCGACAGCAATGACATTGGAAATGTCAACGAAAACGAAAGGTCTAACAGTAACATCATTGACCACGCCGTTGTGGAAACATCGGACCAACTTGTTGACGCTGGTACCCCTCTTGATATTAATAAACCAGATACTGCAGAATTGGACGCACAGACCGAGAAAATGAAACTCTTAGAAGAGAAAGTTCAAGCAGCAATGAAAGAGTATCAAGCGTTAGAATTGGCTTTAGAAAACTCAATCCAATCAAATCAAGAAATTAGGAAGGAGACAATCTTGGCCAAAGAAGACTTGAGTGAAATGGAAACAGCATTCGCCGAAGTGTTATTGTAATCATTTGCCATCAAATTCGATTATCTCCCCAACTTTCCGATATGATACAACTGGTTATATTTCTATTTTCAGATGTTATGAAAGTGGGAAGGTTTACCAGAAGAACTTTGAGCTTAACAAAAAAACTTTAACAGAACGTATAGCACAATTGGAAAAGCGTGCGAGTCGAATGGACGAGAAGTACGAATACACTGATTCAAAAGTCCAGGAGATGACAATAAAGTAATAATTTTATACGTTTACAGTATGATCATTGTTATCATGATTTTGTATATTATTTTTATTACCAAATTGTCACATTATTTTTTGTGTAAAGGGTGAAACAGGATCAAGAGTCAAGACTGAATATTTTGAATAGCGAAAATTTCAAACTCAAAGCTTCAGTCAAAATGGGTGAATTAAAGATTCAGAAACTCGAAAATGAGATTGAACATATGACAACGTCAAATGGTAATCTGCAAAAGTTGTGCGACGAAATGATTCAACAATGCTAAACGGTCCTTTTCATAAAATATTAAAAATAAGTTTGCTTGTTTTTTTGATTACCAAAGCAGTCCAGTCCAATAATTCTAAAAATTCCATGTCTGATAAAGTTTTTATACTTTTGTAATGTTGCAGGGCATTTGCAAATACATTTTGTCTTAATACTGTAATACAAGTGTTTGTAATCTGCCCTTCAGTCTGGCAATAAAACGCGAATTTTACACTTTTCTTAATATGTCAAGTTTAAATGAAATCCACTTTACAATTTTGTACATATCAGCTAAAATCCACTGTCATTCGCTCACTCATTCACCAACCAACCACAGATTACAGTATGCAATAATATGTTGTTATTTAGCTAGCTTGACTCGGAGGAAGGTGATGTTTGGCATTTATTATCCCAACTCCTCTGAGAAAAGGTGATAGATTAATTACATCACAATCCTCCTAGCAATGCAGGCACTCGTATAATCTCATCTTTTTCAAGAAGACGGGTCTCTTACTTACTTCCTTACTTACTCTTTCTTCGACTCGCTCATAAATGGTGTTTAAATGCGATGGTGCTTATGTATAAAGAGGGAGAATGACCTCCTCGCTAATCCAGTCGGCAGTCGACCTGTCTAACGCTCCCAGGTTGTTCCTTGTACGTAACAGGGAAACATTTTTTTTGTGATTTCTAATCGTTAAGAAGTAGAAATCATCTGTCAAGAGCAGTTTCATATTCCTAATATTTTCTAATAATTCCGGCAACTGGTTCGAATATTCAGAGTGATATGCACTGCACCACACACGCCACACGTCAATCCAAAATCAGCATGGGTACAACAAAGGCCTCGGAATTTGGACATGTGCGTCTCAAAATTGTGTATTTTGCCATTTTTCAATTGGCGTTAATCCATAATGCTGAGTCGTACTCGATTGAAACGGTAGGTGAAGTTTTACCTCATCTTTTCTTGGGCGATGTGCAATACATTTTAATATTGATAATATAAAAATGATCCAAATTTTTTATACCCAACGGAACATCTTCACCATTGTGCACTTGTCATGGGCAAAGAAATTGGATTCTCGTATTATTCGATCGTGTCTGGTTTTCGCAGGTTTTGTTCAATTCCCAAAAGTCGAGTTGTTTGTTGCATTCCTGTCCAAAATGACATGTTTATGTGACAAGTTGCTTTCAGTGATGCGAAACCCGGTTTATTCTCCCCATTTTTACGACTTTCATTAATTGTTTCGGCCAAATTTTACTGCCATGATCTATGCGGGTTTGATATACAACATTTTACGCCTCATTCCGTGATCATTTGCATTTCGAGTCCAATGATCTTTTAAAATTAGTATCAATTTTCACCGTTTCGCTAAATATGTATGTATGAATTATTAAATTAGCTCATCCACCATCGTCATAAATACATCCAAATGTACTCAATTTGCTTTTGTAGGCAACTGATTACACCATCGACCCTTCCTTTGTTGCTCAGGATGATACTTTTTCAGGCAAGAATTATAAAAATGACTTGAAAATATCGTTCATCGTATGAAAAATGTGTTAGAATAGTAAATACTTGGCTACAGCGAAAAAAATAAATTGCTTATGTTAGGGATTTTTGACCCCCGCGTCCCTGCCATTTCCAACGTCGACTATGACCAGCAGAATGAGATTGATAGGGAAAAGAGGGACGTGGATAGCGTGACGGAGGTGACCGAGCCAGAGGGGACGACCTTTGTCCCCTTCAGCGACAGAGACGCCCCACTGCCGTCCACCCCATTCCCACGCCCAGACGCCGACTACAACTACCCCACCGTCAACCCCATCCCCGAGGATTTTAATCCCTCAAATTTAACGGACATTGATCTGTCGTCAGGATTTATTCAAAACAGTCGAGCATCTTGTCGTAAGCTGAAATACGGCCAAGAAACACCTTGATTCAAAAATCTTTGTTAAATATGCAAACTTGAATATCTACGACAGAATGTGGGAAACCTTCCAGAAGAATTGTGGGAGGTACTACGGCTTCCATCAAAGAGTAATAAATTACAAAGTTAATCCTCATCCCATCAGCATGATTTTACACAAGGTTAACTTAAGGCTTACCCTCAAGCTCGGAGGAGTGAATCGGGTTTGGAGCAATATCCCAGTTTCAACCTTCTCTCTCGCTTTGCGTAATGCATTGTAGTGCCTATCTCGAAACTTCGCATCGACCCTGTGGGGGGGAGGAGTCGACCCCAGGGTTCATAATGGAATATGTTGCACTCGTCTTTCTGCGTCTGATGGTATTTTTTTCAAATTTTTTGGACTCGCGCGAAGGGCTGCAAATGGTTTACCAGTCTACATAAGGTTACATTACTTGATGGTAAACCATTTGCAGCCCTTCGGGCGAGTCCAAAAAATTTGAAAAAAATACCATCAGACGCAGAAAGACGAGTGCAACATATTCCACTATTATGAACCCTGGGGTCGACTCCTCCCCCCCACAGGGTCGATGCGAAGTTTCGAGATAGGCACTACAATGCATTACGCAAAGCGAGAGAGAAGGTTGAAACTGGGATATTGCTCCAAACCCGATTCACTCCTCCGAGCTTGAGGGTAAGCCTTAATGACATGACTTTAGCTACCCCTGGATGGTCGGCCTGACCCGTGGAGGTGGACGCCCTTACTGTGGGGGTATGTGATCCATCCTTCTCTTACGTCACATAAGATGTTATCTTAATTATAATTAACCATAATTAATCTAATTTAGGCACTTTGATCAATTCGAAATATGTGGTCACTGCCAGTAAGTCCTAGTTATACGTTCTGAGGGTGCCAGGGTGGAAAAAATTTATATATGAATATTCAGGTCACTGTGTTAATGGTCAAACTGCCAGTCGCATCACGGTTGTGTTAAATGAGCAAGATTTTAGCAGCAGCAGTGATGGAGCCAAACCAGTCTCTATTCGAGTAGAGTCAATCAAAATGCATGAAAATTACAACGGAAACAACATTGGTAAATCCTCACTATAATTTTTAATCTATCGCTACGTTGTCTTATTATACATATTTAATTTAGACAACGATATTGCTTTACTCAAATTGGCACAATCTGTCCCACTCGGGAATGGATACATCCCAATCTGTTTGCCATCGGCGAGTACAAATGATTTTGCTGGAATACACGCCACTGTCGTAAGTGATATCAGTAACGACTAGTAATTCATGATTCATGTTAAAAGTTAGTTATTAATTGTCACCCAATGTTGTATTTTTAGACGGGCTGGGGAGCAACGTCGCAAGGTATTTCGACAGATCAGCTCGCCCACGCTTGGGTGCATGTGTATGTTAGGGTTTGGCATGAATAGCTTACAAAATATGTCCAGAGTATTGCAAGGGGTTGTAATAAATTTTGAATTTTTAAAGTTTTGGAAATACAATTTAAAAAATGAAGTTTATATGCATTTTTCAGGGGGTTCAACATCATCCAATTTGCGACAAGTCACCGTTCCTGTTCTTTCCAACTCTGAATGTAACACTCGGTCGAAATATAATGGGAAAATTACCAAAAACATGTAAGACGTTTTTACACCAAACATGGAGATATCACATCTTATATTGTAACTCATTCCAGGCTTTGTGCCGGTCTATTGGCGTCTGGTGGAAAAGACTCGTGCCAGGTAAGTCGTGCATCCGCTTTTCGCAAAAATAGAGTAATCGCAAAGTAATGTTGTTTGTCATTAACTGATTTTTAGGGCGACAGTGGTGGTAAGACCTATGAAATTAACCTGTATGCATGGATGCTATAATAACTAGAAAAAATCATGTTTCTTTCTAGGTCCGCTAATTATTGATAACGGTGGAAGGAAAACTTTAATAGGTCCGTTACGACGTTACACGTGGCAATCTCCAGTCCAGCTCTGAGATCCGGTTTCTAATAATTATATCTTTTATTTTTTCAGGAATCGTATCTTGGGGTATAACAACTATTTTGAATAAATTTAGCAAAAATGTGATGCAGGTATGTGTAAATATTTTGCGATAACTAATTACCTTTAGGATACGGCTGTGCCCAGCCCCAAAGTCCAGGTCAGTCCTGATTTTATATGTCCTCATTTTTAAGTGGATGTTGTTTTGTTAGTTTAATTAACCCATTGAAATTGAATTATCCTTTTCTAGGGGTCTACTGTCGGTGAGTAATTTTAATTTCAAAAATGGCTTTGCTGAAAATCGCGTGGATTTTATCATTGTTAAATTACTTGAACTAGTGTTGCGAATTACCCCGACTGGATATTGGCAAATACAAGGGTACAGTTGATAAATTACTTGAAGCATACCCTTGAACAATATGAAATTATGCGAGGGATCTATTTGGTTTTGCAACAGGGTGCGGACTGGTGCCAAGGCTGATTCCCAGGAGTTTAAACTGGTTTGACCAAGAAAATGTGTGCAACTGATTATTTAATGCAGATTATTATTTATTGTACATGATCCCAAATTGTGAATTGATTGAAGAATAAAACTTGTCAAGGAACTTATTATTGTTACGTTACCCAAAAGTTGATTGAACTTTCTTCACAATGTACGTGCGATAAATATTCGAGCTGGTGAGTCCACCTAGAAATAAATTGATTGACAGATTTTCAATCGTGGTAAAAATTTATTTGCACGATTCATGAAATTCGCAACTGGGTTCCTCCTAAGTAGGCATAGCAAAATTGAACCTTTCCCATCGCATATATATACAAGTAGTAGTTCTACAAGTAGTTACATTTTCATATACATATTTGCAAATTAACCTGATAAAATTAAGGCGAGGTCGGAGTAATTCAAGTCGGTATGCATAATTCCATGTTAGGTACTTCCCTGACCTGGCGGGCGACGGTGTGTATCTACTTACATGCAAAAGCCTAAAATAATTTATCATGTACATACATCTTCACACCACCAATTTCATATGCACGCCAGGCTAAATGATTTCGGATTTACTAGTGTTACTTAAGCATTAGATTTGCTTGGAGGATCGAATAGTGTATCCTTGCACTTTGGAAAGACAAGATCTTCAATATTTTGGACCGTTCAATATATAATTTTGAATTTAATAGTGTCGCATCATGCAAATACATGTCAGTTTTTTGTTCATTGTCTTCTTGGGAGCTGTGGCAATTTCGACTGCAAATCCACTTGAGCAACACGAACGATGTAAAAACGAAATTTTGACAACCTTTCATATTTTGATGGGACCTATTTCGAAAAATAAATAACTAATCATTTTTTCGTAACAGGTGCAAATGATGAGTTAGAAAAATCAAACGAGTTCCCAACGCCAAAACCGTTTCTTGACGAACCAGAAAGTGACACGGAGTCAGAAATGCAAGATCAAAATATCGTCTACATTCCGCCCAACTTTGACATTAACCAAATTAAAGAAATAACTGGAATCAAAAGTGATGCTCACAGTAAAATCGGACATTACGTGGGACGTAGTGAATGCGGTACAAAACTAACCATTTTCATTTTTTTTTATTTTATGTCGAATTTTAAACGTCAATAAATTGTCGATTATTTATTATGTACTATTAAATAATATTTGAGAGTGTGGACGGCCTGGAGAACGCAGAATTGTTGGTGGAGAGGTGAGCTTTTTCATGTAACTTTTATGAACAAATTCTAGACATACGTATGCTGACATGTATGTAGCTACATAATTATTGTTTCAGCCTGCAAAAATTAACGAATATCCGTGGTAAGAACTATTTATTGTACGTGCAAGCTCCCAAAATTTCCATCATTAGTCTTAACTTATAATTTTATGATTAGGACTGTCGCCCTCCTTCGTAAGTGCATAATAATCACCAAATTCCGAAGAATCTTTTAGATTATCGAATTATGCGTCTAGGAAAAAACTGGCTTGGAATTGTTAGCATTACTGCTTTTTGTGGAGGCACACTAATAAACGACAGGTATAACGTAGCAAAGTTAAAAAAAATTAGTGTCACATAAGACATATTGCTTGCTTATGTGGCTGATAATGAAATTGTGCTTTATTTAATGTTGTCTAGATATGTCGTAACCGCGAGGTAATAGTTATTCCAGCTTAAAATTTGGTATTCATGTAACATTCTCATGATGCGGGATTTCTATTTGTCTTTCCGATTATCCTATATTTATCAAAATATGCCCAATTGGTAGTCATTGTGTGGATGGGTGAGTTCTATTAATTAAAATTCAACTGTAGCAACGCTGTAATGATGGATCAATTAGTATTCATGAATAATGTTACTTTTTAGCATGAATGCGGGTGGAATCGTGGTCAGCCTTCATGAAGAAGATCAGTTTTCCACCTCTGAAACGTCAGCCGGGTCACAGAAATTGACTGTCGAAAAGATTACCAAACATCCGAATTATAACCGAAGAAACATTGTATGCCATTGTACCAACAATCTCTAATTTTAGTGGATCAATCAATAGTCATAAAATTTGCACCTCAATTTCACAGGATAATGACATTGCTCTGCTAAAGTTAGCTACCCCAGTTCCTTTGGGCAATGTTTTTGTTCCGGCATGTTTACCTGCTGGCAACAACTTTACGTTTGAGGGCGAAAACGCAACTGCTGCAGGCAAGATAAACCGCCGACACATGCAAAATCATAATTGTACACATTTGTATGCAAATTGTTGAATTGAAACTTTATTTTGAACAATTTCAGGATGGGGAAGTAAGCACGATAGTAAAGTCGTTATTTTTACAGTGTGGTCAAGTGACATAAATATTTTTGGAATGAATAGCGACTTCTGAAGGTGGAGCAGTATCTGGTGTTCTCCGGAAAGTAACTGTCCCAGTGATGTCCAACTCTGACTGTAATACAAAGACAAACTATCAAGGGAAAATTACGGACAACATGTAAGAGCTACATATGTATCCATCTACTACTACTACTAAAAGGATGCTTATTATTTGTCCCTCCTCCATCAATCAACACTCCCTAAAAATTCTGTTGATCTATTCTGAAGGCTTTGTGCTGGAAACCTTGAAGAAGGTGGAAAGGACTCCTGTCAGGTCAGATTAGTGAAAATTTGTGTATTTTCCCTGAAATTGTAAAACTCACTAATGTGTTTGATTTTCAACAATGCAGGGAGATAGTGGTGGTAAGACGTATGAAATCAGCCGGTATGCATGGACGCTATAATAACTAGAAAACAATTATGCTTCTTTCTAGGTCCGTTAACAATAGAAAATGGTGGCCGAAGGACTCTAATTGGGGTCGTTAGTTGGGGGTAATTATGAAATATGAACTCATTCAAAATTTCAATTTGATTTTTCATAACCGTGCTTTCCCTGCAGATACGGCTGTGCGAAGCCCAAGTCGCCAGGCGTTTACACACGCGTAGGACGATTTCCAGAATGGGTACTCCAAAACACACAAGGTAAATTCCCTCCTAGGATACCTCGCAATTTAAATGAATATTTAACGGTAAATCAAAAAATACTTGATGATTTATTTCATATTTTAATGTCATTCAGGTGCGGAGTGGTGCCGTTTGTAAATCTGACCAGAAATATATCTACAGTTAACTCTACTACTAAAATATTGTTACATTTTAAATAAAATGTTCATAGTTATGCATATCCATTACTTATTTGTTTCATTAATGTGAGATCAAATTTATTATACATATCAAAGAGTTTATGCATGAGTAGATATGCATATACCTCACGGTTTGCATGATTATCAATTGCAAGAAATATGTATGAAATTTTAAATCATAAATAAGTATTAACAAGGCGAAATGATGGGTGACAAAATTGCATATATTCATATCTATATAAATACATTCATGCATACTTACTAACCTTAGAAATACATGAGGTACTTTGCAAGTCATGTACTGACCAAGTCTACACACTAGCCACCTACCTTAACCATCCCTTGCTTAATGCACAATTCGCAAATGTCACAAAGACCAGTTTTCTCAGATGATAGAGTCAATTTTTGCAAATCTGACTACCACAAGCTTAACACATACATACGTGCATTGCTGCTGAATATAGCACAAATTGACACTTTTTGTCATTGCATGAATGTAAATATGTATGTGTGTACATGTCTCTTTCCTTTGTTTCAACTGCATGCCAAACATCACTTCGAATCTCATTAGGTTATCATGGTTGACCGATGCAAACGGCCACCTCTGAATCTATATTAGCTGCAGATTGTAGTGGAACGACATAGAACCACTGCAGAGGTCGATTGGATAACATGGAGAAAATAACCATCGTACTGCTTTCAACCGCTTTGGTTGCTTTTGCTGGATCCATTTCCACACCCCCGGATTCGGTAAGAGGCGTAGCACATTTTATAATAATATGTAGAATGAAATTTATTTTGATAAATTATGAATTGCAGGATTCTGGAATTCATAATTTTGCTACCATTGAAGGTAAAGTGAATTGAGTTTTTCATAAACCAGTCAGAAATTAGCTAATATTTTTGGTTTTAAAGAAGTTGAGCTGACCAAAAGTTGAGCTAGGTCACCTCCAATGATAAATTTGCATTATTTGTGCGTAGACTTGAGTAACAAAGTACAAGACGAAGAAGTAGAAACTCCTCGACCGTTCTTGCTTGAACCAGAAACCACAATTGAAGTAGTGGCGCCACCCCCGCTGAAAAATGCAGTTCGAACTCCACCCGTCGAAGGGGAACGACATGTCGTCGGAAGCGAAACTTGTTGTAAGTAAAATATTCCATACAACGAGGTAAAATGATTAATGTTCAGTGCATCATGTTTCTAACTACGTATGTAATTGCAGTATGTGGAAGAAGTATAGCAAAAATTGTGGGTGGAGAGGATGCGCGAATCAATGACCTGCCTTGGACAGCATTATTGTACAAGCGTGGTTTCTTCGGAGGGCGAAGTCCATATTGTGGCGGAACATTGATAAATTCACTCTACGTACTCACGGCTGGTAAATTATAATTACTTAATTAAACAAGTCAATTCGTGTCCATGCTGTATTTTTTCTGGGGATTTTTTTTTACTATTTTCTTAAATCCTGCATGTTAAATAGCTCACTGCGTGGATGGCATGAGCAACCGCAGCATCGAGGTCGTTCTTAAAGAAGAAAATTTGTCTTCTACTGTTGAAAGCAAAACATACACCTTCAAAGTCTCGAAAATAATTCAGCATCCGAAATACAGTCGACGCACGATTGACAGGTATTTATTTATAGGTCTTCTCTAATCATTATCTTTTTAATTTAATGCGACATACTTTTCAATACAGTGATATCGCGGTAAGCCAACATTTCATAAACATTTGTAGTGGATGAGACCACACTTTTCATGTCCCCACAGCTTTTGAGATTGAGTTCTCCAGTTGAGTTGTCCGCAAGTGGTCCGTTCGTACCGGCCTGCGTCCCCAAGAACAATGAGCAGACGTATGAAGGACAAAATGCCACTGTGGCTGGTATGTATTTCAACCCAATTTAAATAGAAAATTCTCACTTTGACTCATCTTGTTTGTGTATTTCTAGGTTGGGGTAAGCGAAAACAATGCAAAAAACAATTGTAGAAAATATGACATATTTATGCACATATTTGCATACGATGCCTGAATTTACTTAGGAGCTGTGAAGCAAGGCGGAAGTGTATCCAAAGTTTTGAAACGAGTAGATGTGCCCATACTCAGCAACCAAGCGTGTAACATGACCAAATACGCTGGGAAAATTACGGACAACATGTACGATTCGTTACCCAATTACATTATGCTTTGAATCATGTTCATGATGAATGCATAATTGTGTGCATCTCAGGCTCTGCGCTGGGGACGTGGAGAAAGGGGGAAAAGACAGTTGTCAGGTACATACATACATAATTCGCAATTTGCAAATATGAGGCAATTAGGTGAAAGCCGTCTTGTGGACATTAGGGTGATAGCGGCGGGCCATTAGTCGTGGATGTGTACAAGAGGAAGATGATTGTCGGCGTTGTTAGTTGGGGGTGACTTAAAATATTTTTATGATGAATTTGCTTATCCTAATCTTGATCAACGATCTGCTTTCATTATTTTGTGACAGATATGGATGTGCAAAACCAAATTCTCCCGGTATACTAGTAATTATTCTTGTTTATGGAAATATGGGCTTATTAGTTGTGTTTTATCCGTTTCAGGCGTTTACTCCCGTGTCGCAAATTTTGCGGACTGGATAGTATCTCAAACCTCAGATGCGACTTATTGCAATGAATAAATTATTTAATTCCAATTTTGTTCATGTATTTGTTTCCTATTTAAAATAAAATTTTGTTCACATAAAACGTATGTAAAACATTCTGCCTAAAACCTTAATTGTTTAAAAGAGACCTTAAATAAACACACGTGCATAATTGACACACGCAGAAATACATTTTACTACTTAACATGTAGTAGTGACACACAAATAAAGTTGTCAATGCATAATTTTGTAGGTTAGGTCAGGTTGGAAAAACAATGATGGACGCGTTTCCTCGATATTAAAGTGATCTGTCCAGTTTTAGCTACTAACACACTTTCAAGATCGACATTAAAATACGGATCTCATTGTCTCATAATTTATCCTAAATTGAGCTCAGCTAAGTAGTTCGTCGGTGAGCTACCTGCACAGTGCACATGTCAGCACAGATATGAGATATATCTGGCCACTTGTGCTTATGCAAAGTGGCGAGACGAGACTTTCTTTCTTTGACAGATTGCAGATGTCACAGACCCAATTTTAACTGCCACTTAAATCACAAACGAGGCTTAGATTTCAGAATCAACTTTTCCTTTTGACAAGAACTTTATCACCTTCGTCATTTGGACAATGTGGACGAATGCATTGTTAAACCACCAGAAATCCTCAATACGAGTTTTTCCCCAAAGTATACCTGGTTTTGCACGATTTCTACTTTAACCAACAAGACTTTATTCGCATTAAAAACTAAAAATTAACAATCTGCGTCATGTATTCCTAGCTTTTATTTGATCTCTGGGATTTTATGCTCAGTCGATTTTGCGAGAGCTTCCTCGACGCATACTTGAAAGTGTCCAGTTTATTTTATTAAGGGTACGACGATGAGGGTTGCGGTAGTTAGCGTGGGATTTTTGGGTCTCGTGTCGCTGTGTCTGGGGTCGCCCGTGGTACAAGTAAGCTCTTAAAGATGACCAGTAAATTTATCTAATCCTGATTTCCTAAACTCCAGCAGGTGGAGACGACAGTGCAGCCAGGAGCGTTGGAAAATGGTACAATACATAAATCTAAATTTCCTAGAATGGTACTCTTAAATTTTCATGCGTCTTACTGTAGAAATTTCATTTGACGAAGCGACAACGACGGAAGTGGTGTCAACTAATGAAATTGCCCGCAGTGATGATGCCAGTGACATCAAAAACTTCAAGTACCCCTTGGAGCCTGAGCAGGACTTAACTGCAGAAAATGAGCGACCGTTGGAAGACGCCATCCCAAAAGATTTCGACATGAGCCAAACGAATCTGTCAGTTGTCGCCATGAAGGACCCCGACTCGGAAATCTTCTCGGGACGAGCAAATTGTCGTGAGTTGTAGTACACTCTCCAAGATTTCGCTTGTATTTGTAGTAAATTTACAAACTGATAGCTTGTACTTTTACATGATTGCAGAGTGTGGAAATCCGGGGGAGAGAAATTTGCCTCTTCGAATTATTAATGGGACAGTCGTCCGAATTAATGATCTTCCATGGTACACATGCCGATGATTCAAAATAATTAATTTTCTTGACCGTTATTACAAATTGAAACTGCTTTGACAGGACGGTTGCCCTTGTTCGGAAGGTTTGGTATGGAGAACCCACTGGCGCATATTGCGGTAATTGAAAGTTTTAACCGTTTTCATAAAAAAACTGATCTTCCCAGAACAGTTCAAGAGGAGCAGTTTTTTGAAATTTAGAAAAACTAGTTCTTATAAGTGAATAAATAAATTCCACCTGGGTTTATCATAAAAGATTGTCATGCTGGCTACAATTTGTAGTTTACGCACAATATCTTACATGCATGTATAATTTTACATAAGCTACACAGGTTTACAATTAAAATAACATATGTAAATAACTACCCTGCAGGTGGAACCCTTATAAATTCCAAGTACATCTTGACAGCAAGTCACTGTGGTACGAAACTCAACCCAAACTAAAATTTTACCGGTGTAGAAAGATAGCTAACGAAATTGAAATTTAGTTGACGGAATGTCGGCCAGAAATATCGAAGTGCGAGTTCATGAAGAGGACTTTTCCAGTCAAACCGAGGTTGATGGTGGGACACAGAAATTGGCAGTAGAGAAAATTATAATGTAAGTCTAGTGATTTGCATGTCAATCTGCAGTAGATAGATAGTTCATAATTGGTTTTTATTAAAAATCTAGGCATCCGTACTACGATAGAAAAACCATCAGTAAATTTCTCATACAACATGAATGAATAAGTGTTGGCGTGAATTAATAAAATTACGATGCACAGATAATGATATTGCTCTGCTGAAATTGACCGAGCATGTGCAACTGGACAATGTCGTCGTTCCAGCCTGCTTGCCTGCCAACAACGACTACTCATTTGAGGGAATCGAAGGCACTGTTGCTGGATGGGGTAAAAAATAATATTACGTAGCAATCGAAATTCACCTAATAACTCGCTAATTATGTTCAGGGGCTACCACTGAAGGATCTGGCGTGTCATCGACCATCAACAAAGTGGAAGTTCCGATCATTAGGTAATTACAGGCAAAAGATGAGATGAGACGATGTTATTTATCCCGTGACATAATAATTCATTTTTTTACAGCAATGAAGATTGCAACTCCAAAACGAAATATGTTGGTAAAATTAGTGAGAACATGTAAGTCTAGTAATTTGCATATCAATCTGTAGTAGATACTGGACTGATAATAATATTAATTGTTGCAGGCTTTGTGCTGGGGACATCGAACAGGGTGGAAAGGACAGCTGCCAGGTACGTGTCTATACATTGAATTGAAATTTATCGTTCGAACAACACCCTAAACGCATGACTTTTTATGAATATAGGGAGACTCTGGTTTGTTTTGTGACCCATCGAGATTGAAGATCGCTTCTACTTAATTGTAGATTTATCGAACTGTTTTAAATTTTTAACAGGTGGACCGCTAACCATTGCGAATGGAGGAAGAAGAACACTGGTCGGAATTGTGAGCTGGGGCTATGGCTGTGCAAGACCTCTGTCTCCAGGTTAATTTTTGTAATAATTTTTACAACGTCAATTATTTTATTATAATTTCGAAAATTTTGTTTCATTAATTTAGGAGTGTACACCAGGTATGCATATTTATTAAGTAAAATTGGTTTATTTACGCTTACACATTTGCTTAGAAATATAAATTTCTATGTGTAAATATCAAATATCAATGACTTTGTTAGAACGGGACGATATTCACAATGGATTGTTGCAAACTCGAAGGGAGCCAAATGGTGCAACGCGTAAAACCTGATTTTTCAGCTTTATATATATTTTTCTGTAATTTATTGGAAATAAAATTTAATTTATTGAAAAATAAAATAAAAACTCGATTTGAATTAATACTTTAACCTCGTTTAAAATTGTTATCAACTTACTTACTTAATATATTTAATATGCAGCACAAAAGTTTAATCTTGACCCAACCTACTCTTCTCCTCGCTAATGATGCTAATTGAAAAATGAACTGTTAATAAAGCAAGTATTTATCCAAGGCATATTTGAATGGAGTCAAAATTAATTTATGATGACAGTAAAAAATGCTACATATTATTGTACTCGTCTGACCCCAGCTAAACTGTTCCAAAAGAATGCATGCTAACGGTGGTTGTTATGCATCAAGGGCTTGAATCATTTCATTTTCATTGTTGAGTAGCCACTTCACGAGGAGCATTAATCATTTGCCTTGCTCGGAGCGAGCTCATCAAATATTGCAAAAGTGTTTCGTGATGATTGAGCACCAGGAAATCTCTGCGCTGCAAGTAACCGAATGCAAAATTGCATTGAACTGCATCTTCTGGTTGATTAATTATGGTCGAGGGCTCCGTTATGCAGTCATCTGCCTTCCGGGAGTATTCCACTACACACGTATCTACGAATGCACATAATTTTTGCACTGCAGCCACACAATGCATATGCAAGCACACGAGTGCAGAAAGTCTATCTTGAGAGGTACCAGGAATCAATTTCAGTTTTTGGGTTTGAGAATATTAAAATTCTTGTACGGTCATTGTCAGTCAGTAAATTGAGCAAATATTTGTAAAGGCCATTCACCAACCTTATACGTATTGATCTGGCTCGTTGAAGGAATTCAGATCACTGACATTGGCAAAAAATAAATCCCAATCAACGAGTAGGCCAAGATTTTCGATTTCATTCCTCAAATAAACCTAATTTATGTAAAAGGGTGGCAACAATTGGCATGGATCAGTGTGTTTGGAATAATTAACGAAATTGATGAGAAGGTGATGATCAACATTGTAAATATTTTTTGAGTCCACGATTCGATCGCGAGAGCAACAAACAAGACCTTTGTGGATGGCTTTGTATCCTGTCTGGGCTGCGCGGATGGCGCCTGACAAATATTTTAATGATTTTTAACGCCGGTCGTGTGGTGTGTACTATCTTTCATTTTACCTGCTCACTTATTTGCAGTCCTTGTTGTGATACCTGTTCATTCACTTACCTACCTTTTCCCATCTCGGCAGCACCAGGAGCCAATAATTCGATGAGTTCTTGACGATCTATGCAGTGCCAATAAATAGCCTCGATTTGATCACTCTAATTCAAAAAGAATTCGTTCAAAAAAGTCAAACGGCTAATTTATTCAGAAATCAAAATACTACGAAACTATTCATTCCGTTGTTTTGAAAATAAAAACCTCATTATTTTCTCGTAAAGTGTCATCCACCACGTGGAATTTTCCTCTTAATAGATGTCTTCTTATCACTTGAGTTGAGACTCGTCAAAGCCAATTTTCAGGTTTTACGAATAAATGAACTGGTTTTACTTCCCCATCTCAGCCAAGAACTCGAAGAAGAAGAAGAAGTACCTTTCGTTGGGGATACGAGAGAGGAGAATGCATGAGGTGAATTGGCATTCATGCAAACTATTTGCTGTCTATGCATTCGAAAACAATATCAAGATCAAGACCACCGACGGCCCATCCTCACGTTTGCCAAATATGAAATGCAATTGAAAACGCTCCTCGTTCGTAGTAGTGTGGCATGTTTCTAAATTGTAAATGTTTGTTATCTCGGGAGAGGATCTCCTCTGAGGAGTGAAGTGCGAATAGTGGCAATGTTTGTGATATTGCATTTGGGTTATGGGTTAGGTGGACACTACGACCATTCCTCAAAAGCTTATTCAGCAAGTGCAGTCTTCGGAGCATATTTAACTACGTGATGTAACCAATTTGCCGTTAGTTGCTTTTGATCTGACCAACGTGAACCTTCTCGATCCGATCAGCGTCAACCCTCCTCTAATTTATTGCTAGTTGCATTGTTTTATACAAATCTCTAATAAAAATGCGGGTTATTTCCATCATAAGTTTTACTATTGCTGCTACCATCTTCACTTATTTGATCGGTGCAACCCTGGCTTCCCCTGTTGGACAGGTATTATATTTTTTCGGAGAAAATTACCCAAATTTTTGTCCATTTTCACTCAAACTGCTCTAAATATGTCGTGATCCTTCGAATTGCGAGTTTGTAAGGTATTAAATCCATGTTCCAATAATAATATGATTGATTGGCAGGTCTCGGACGATGTTGTGACCACCGTAGTTCCAAGTGTCCAGAGAGACGATGCTGCCGATGATGACGCGACCACACCCGTGGTTTTTGCTGACGAGCCTCCCGTCACTGGAGAGAGCGTGACCCACAGGGCTCGTCAGGACGGGGACGATGACGATGATGACGATGCGACCACTGTGGGGCCCGTTTCCACCACCCGAGCCCCCGTCCTCCCCCCACTCCAAAACGAGAGCACCGTGCTCACCGAGTTCAACTTCGTGGCGCAACCTGTGGACGTCGTGGCCCCCGTCGCCACCCGCGTGACTGGGGAGGAAGAGGACACACCAGCCGCCACCTCCGCTCCCCCAGCCGTCCAGGCAGCAGAGGACAATGACGACAGCGAGAACGAGATTTCCCAGGATGAAGCTGGAACCACCTACAAACCGTCGTCCACATTTGCGGTTGAATACAAATACACGGTGGACAACTTTGGGAGCAACAACAGGGTATAAAAATAGGCGGAAGATGCTTAAATAATTGCTGGTCGTACTTTCACGGAAAAATATCTAGATGTACTATTGTCTTTTGGCCAATAATGCACACCCTATAATATATCTTTATATATTATATAGAGCTTAATTCGGTTCCCCATTCGTTCCTCCTTTTCCCGAATTTTTAGTTTAGTTATGACTGGAATTGTTGATGGATGTGTAATTTATTTTGAATGATTGGGCTGATTGATTGTGACGCTAAATTGCAATAAAAGTTTCTACACCTCTTTGTAACTGCATGCATATTTACATACTAATTTAAGAAATATTTTTCGAATTCATTTGTGTCCAAAGGATGACGTGATTGACGATGCCACCACCGTCATTCCTGTCATCACCAGCAACGTCTCCTCGGCCGAAGACGTTTTCCAGGGCCAAGGCAGAGCAGGATGTGGTGAGACTATACACATCCGTCAAATGAAAAAAACACTAATGCACGAATGCATCTTTGCTTATCAGAATGTGGAAAACTGGCATTTAAAATACCCATTGACGAACAATCAAGAATAAATCCAAGCCCTTGGTTGGCAGGTATTACATCACACGTAATACAGTATATGTAAATAGGTCCATTAGGAAAGAAGTAATACCTTAAATGGTCATAAAAATACTAATTTTACCCCGTTTTTGAAGCTGTTGTTCGTGGAGGTTTATTTGCTGGAGGGCGACCCCATTGTGCTGCAACTTTAATCAACGTATGCACATATTAATTATAACAATGGGACAAGTGAAGTATCCACCAATATTCATATTTTCCATGCTCGATGGGTATTTCTCTATTTCAGAACATGTACGTCTTAACTTCAGCGTCATGCATGGATGGGTAATAATTAATTAGTTCTTTGTGCCATTGCGTAAAATGTTTAGTCACATAACTAACTTTGGTTATTGACAGACTTTATGCGACTTCTGTCCAAGTATGGTTGACAGCACATGACTCTTTCGAGCAACATCAAGCCTCCTTCGGAAATGTGAAACTGAATGTCCAGGAGGTTATTAAACACCCAAATTTCGATAGAAGGTCGAAAGGTGATATTGATTGTGGTTCCTCATCTCTTACGTACAAAAAAATGTTCTTACAATTTTGCATGTTATAGACAACGACCTCTGCTTGTTGAGGTTGTCATCGGCAGTGGACATTTCTGGGACATACTTTGTACCTGTTTGCCTTCCTTCGAGCAATTACGATTTCGCTGGAACAACGGCAAAAATATCGGGTTGGTCGGATGGCAGGGCATACAAAATGTGCAAAGCTGGTAAGAATATTACATTCCGTTATCAACCGTGTTACAAAGCATACTAATCCTAAGAGATTATTGATGATTATTTTTTTAGAGATGCCCATTCTGGATAATAAGATTTGTAATCGGTAAAATAAATTAAGCAATATTGCTTAAAGTTCAATTCTCCAGTAATTAATCATACCAAAATTGTTAACAGAGATAGCAGACACTCTGGAAAAATAACAGGTGATGTCGCCCAATTTTAAGTTATCGGCTTTTACTAACATTCGTCGTTCGAATTACAGACAACATGGTGTGTGCCGGTTTCCTTACGCCGACCAGATTAGAAACTTGCATCGGTGACGCTGGAGGTGAGCACAGTCTCGTCAATGACATTAAAGCACGCAATACAGAATACTTGTCTCAACAAATGCATAACTCTGATGACCAATAATTGCTTCTTCTTGCAGGCCCTCTGGTCAGTCCGAATGGAGGAAGGGCAACTTTGGTGGGCTTATAAACTCGAATAAATATTCAATTAGTAGAAGGATGCCACTAATTCTAAACCAAACTTAACATAATTCATTACAGGTCGGACTTGTAAGCTGGGGTTATGAAGCAAAAAATAAAGACTACTCGCCCACTGTTTACACACGAGTTTCGGGTAAATCACTTTGTCCCTCAAAAATCCATGCAACTTTTTAAACGCTAATTATGCTATTTATTTTGTTACCAGAATTCTCTGACTGGATTTTGCATAATACCCGTGACGCCGACTGGTGTGGAGTGTGAGATGGCTTGAGACCTCATTGTGGGATTATTTATTTGCATATTTATAATATTTATTTACAGCGATATCTTTGTAGTATCTATTTACTTATATTTTTGTACTACTGAAATAAAGCAATGCGTACAGTTATTGAAAATATTAGTTAACATGCACACAGTTTTACGAGGGTTTGACTTTAGTCACATCCATGCATATTTTGCTATGTCGTGATGTGCAATAAAATAATAAAAGTTGTCAGACTGGTCCACACTTTAAATATTAACGGAAACTCGTCTACAAAAATTCATTGATATGGAAGAAATCAGTATAATATTTGGTTTTGAACAGAGTGATTATGATTTTTAAACCCAAATTAATATGAAGTTGGTATTTCAAGGACTCGTTCTAATATTGTCTCATTTGTTGCAAGGCAGTCTCTGTACACAGGTAAAAATGATCACTGAATATGGTCATTTTTATTTGATGATTATACATATTTCACACGGTTAAAGTTTGTCAACTGAGGATTTTTTTATTTTCATTTTGCAGAACGAGAATGTAGAAGAAGTTGACTTTACTCAGTGTTTGGTTCATCCAGTGATTACCAACGAAAGTGTGTGCGACCCTGTGCCATTTAAACCGTACAATGTGAAAACCAAGCCACCTCCAAATCTAGACCCTGCCAGACCCGACTGCGGTAAGGCGACAGAAGAAAATGCGCTCATCATGAAACGATTTGATCTGATTTCATCCAAGTCCAAAGTGGGCACTTAATTTTCCTAGTTTCGAATTTAGCTAACAAGTTAGAAAACCGTTTGGCAACCAGATATTCAAAAATATTTTTAATACGAGTTGTAAAAATATTGGATTATACTAAAGAAAAAAATTCGGTTCGGCTTAAAGTTGAACAACCTGATTGTTGTCTCGCTTCTCAAAATCAGCATTGCACCCAGTCTTGCAAATAAATATTTGTATTTTACACGTTATTTGACTCTGAATGAGTCTCAGGCAGATGCAACTTGCAGTTTTCAGAGGAACAATTGTTTGGTTATTATTTAATCAGAAGCAAACTGTGCACGCTAAAAACCATGAAACCGCTCATGCAACGCTAGCTTCTGAATTGCTGTGTTATGATGACGACATAATATAAAATATAACAGAATCGTGGGGTTTTTGTAGATTGTGGAGTTCATGACTTTGTGGAGACTGATGGGACGTACAAATCGGCCACCCCATTGGTGGATGGTGCCTTCACTGACAAGAATCAGTTTCCTTTCATTGTGGCTCTAATTTACCGGAAAACGAACGTGTCTGGTAAAAAAAGAATGTTATCCTTTAAAAGTTATTACAATTTATATATGTATTTATGTAGCCACTCATTTTTGCGGTGGGACTCTTCTAACAAGCAAACTCGTAATAACTGTTACACATTGCTTGGTGGGAAAGCGGGCCGAGAAGACGGAGGTGTGGCTGAGTAAGCTCAATTTTTATTAAGAATCTAGACGTGGTAGAAATCATGGTACGATGCAAATGTATGTGTACCTTCCGCAGACGAGCGTGATCTTCTGCTTTCTACGGAGACCGATCATCCCACCCTCAAAATTAAAGTGGGCCGATTTATTCCGCATCCAGAATACAATCCTCTCATGAACTACAATGACATATCGTTAATCGAGTTGTCCGAGCCCGTGGACGTGCTGAAAAGCCATCTTCGTCCCATTTGCCTCCCTCCTGAGTCGACATATGAGCCCACTGACCACTGCTCCACTGGGTTCACTGCAGGGTGGGGCCAAACCAAATTCGACGGACCAAAGTCTGACCACTTGCGTCATGTCGAGGTGGTTATGGTTGCTTCCGCTGGTTAAATGTATATTCGAATGAGGACGTTTTTGGTCTTACATAGGTCCCACTCATCACCAACAAAGCGTGCAACGAGGAGTCAGAGCCATACTATCGAAACAGGGTCACAAGTCACATGATCTGCTCAGGCGACCTGCAAAAAGGAGGACCTGATGCGTGTAAGTCGCACTTTACGTAATCTGCTCATGCAAAGTCATGCATGCCAATTGGACTCGGTGATGATGATGTCATCCTTCATTACTCTGTCACTAATTCGGACTTCCATGAGTTGCATAATACTGTTCATCACCCAAGAACAATACAGAGATCTTAATGCATTGCGTAATTGCGTACGTGAATTAGTTGAAATTAGTTCCATGCGTTAAGAATGTTCTTTGATATTCAAATGTTATTCAAAGATCGACGATTAAATGACTGTGAATTTAATATTAGAAATTGATAATCCATCCAGATCAGGGACTGTTTTAACTTGGTATTATTAAGTATGCTCACTTAATCGATATTCCTGTATATTTTTGACAACAATGTCGCTTCTCTAAGTTCTATAAGAAATGTAATCACAAGACCAGGAACTTGTTATTGCAATACTGTATTTATAGTAAAACCAAATGAGAATCCTTTTCTTTGGATTAAATATATGTACAAATGTTCTCATTATGATCATCTGCACTTGTAATTTTAGAGTAATTCTTGTACTTTATGACAGGTCCAGGCGATAGCGGTGGTAATGAAAATAATTATAATTATCTCTCTATTGCATTAATTATCCCTGCAAACCCATAATACTGTCAGGACCTCAAACACAATTTAAATTTAGGACCGCTATTTGTGAAACACAGAGACCGGTACAGACTCGTGGGGCTTGTCAGCTGGGGGTATTTTGTAATCTTATCAATTCAATTTGATCTAGAAATGGCATGATAAATTCTTTTTTGTGTACAGAGAGCGTTGCAGTGAGCCTCGGAAACCGGGCGTTTACACGCGAGTCTCGAGTAAGCTTTTTTCATTTGCTCAAGTCAAGTAAGCGTCAAAGAATATGCGAATAGGAAATGATCCCATTTAAACACTTGACACTCATAAATCAGTTAAATTATGCTTGAATTTTTAAGCGACTCCATATTCTGATTAATGCACGAAATGTTTCATTGCAGAATATTTGAGATGGATTAAGAAAATCAGCGCTGAGACGGATCGAAGTGAGGAGTGCATGGATGAATTAAAATTTAACAAAAATTTCTAGGAAAAAAACACATTTCCTTTGGAAAAACTCCACCGCCATAATAAAATTTTGTATTTTTAGCCAAAAATATGAGGGAGATCGTAAATCACATTTTCTGGGTTTTTTCTCGTGACAAATAAATTAGTTTTTATCTTGCACCCACATCACACTGGTGCTAAATACATGTGCGTTGGTATCTTCGTCTTGTGGTGTTTACAGTTCACAAAATGCAGTTGTAGTACATTAGTTATGTCAAAATAGAGCGATGCTGGGTGAAAAAGTCTCCTTTGACTTATCTTATTTTGATTTCTCCAAGTGCCAACTGGCAAGTCAGTCTTCTTGAGTCGAGAGAGAATCCTGAGTGGAAATATGTACGTACTCGAGAGGGGAGGATTACTTCACCCTGAGAGCAACTGACAACAACACATGCATGATATCAAGACGCGTTGGACAGCTCTTCCAAACAATTAAGTGTTTCATTTCATATGAGGTGAACAAAATTTTAATTAATAATATAATTTGAGCTGATACGTCTTCATAGTCCATGAAAGTTCTTAATGTTGTGGTCGAGTATGTGCGACCCTATTTGCCCCAACTGCCGATTAATATGGTTGATGATCGGTCTACGTACCCATGTGCATACGTGCTTGCATAAATTACTCAACCATTTTGAAGCAAGAATCAAAACTAGCACGGAAGTCATTACGGGAAGAAGTACATTTGTTAAACTAAATATTGTTCTTTTAAAATGATTTTGCACGGAATAATTCGACAATGGAACAATGCGTTAAAATGCATATGGAAGCATCAATTGGTCGAGCATTTTTACAACATTAGGAGAAAAGTGTGTGGCGTAGTTTGCGGCTTTCTGTCGTCGTTGTAATAAACATAATAATTTGATTTTTCCACTACTGTAAATCAAAAGTCGAATTGGGAGGGTCTCATTTTGTTTGCAATTTAGTGAGGCCAAACACATGAATCTCATGCAACGCAACACCGAATCCTTCTTCCGTTACTGGTCTCGTCGATCATTGTGTGGTAATAAAATCGAGATAATCTACCACCAACGCGGAGAGATTCATTGGATACGACGACTCTGTATCAAGATTCCTTAATCGGCATCGCTAACGTAAAGTGGATCTGCTAAACCAGATGTTTCAAAGGGTACAAACTATTGCACATACCTTAATGTCACGATGTATGTATATTGTTCAAAAGTGTGACAATTTCGTGTGCAAAGTTTGTAAGTAGTACGAAATCAATTTTTTTCGATTCTTCCAATCAACTACGGACGAAATATCAATGGATACTTAGCAAATAAAACTCCCTTTTATTTGTGTGCATTGAGTAAACCAACTTTCTTGTGTTTTTTAGGATGCCTACTTTAATGATTTCATGACAAAGCCGTTATTTCTCACCAGTACCCACACCACGAGACCTCGTTTCAACCATGGTTCAACAGTGCGTAAATTGAATGTCAGCATTTTTAACTGTGGCATCGTGTAAAATTCGCAAAAAAACTAAAAGAGGGCAAGTCATAGAGAAATCTTCATTTCTGAGAGAATACTTGCTGGTAGAGGTCTAATCAATGTCGATGATGTGGTGAAGATTATCTTTTATGACTCCAATTTTATTTTTTATGTTGAAAAATCCAAAATAGCACAGAAATTGTCGAGATTACTGCATATTTGAAAAATTAAGTTTCTTGGAACGTCAATAATTGTTCAATGATTTTATGATCAAGAAATATTCATTTGCAAGTAATTGGTCTTCAAAATCAACTGAAAATGTCATCAAGGAGTTTGCAGAACTCAAACATCTAACGCGTATTGTTTCATGTACATACATACATATCTACGTATATCCAAATAACAGCGTGTCACTGCTGTTAACAAGAATTTAATTGATCATTACCAGATACAACTGGCTCAAACAAATTACGTATACACATCTGCAATGAAAGTTTGGAAGTATCTGCATTTATCGACAACACGGTTACTCATGCAGTTTAATGTAACGTTATAAATATCAATAACTTTAACCGAAACTTTCATCTTGCGACTTAAATATTAAAACAAAATTCCGTGATGGGTACTGCATGATTTCATGATTAATACTAAAAATTGTGGGAGGAAGTATTTTAGATTTAAGTACATACGAACTCTTCACGACAATTTCTAACTTGCCGACTTTTCACTTTATCTCAAATTAATGACTTATTGTTGAGGTTGAGAAATCATGTAATATTGCCTGAAATCGTTACTCGTGTCTCCCAACAGCCAGTTTTTCAACATTTTCCACAGGAAGTTGTGCCATCAATTAAAAAATTAAAGTAATAGTTAAATTCTTGGTGGATTTTCACGCATGTCAAAAACCCGTTGTCCACTTCCTTGGCATTTAATTTTCTTCGTTCAATTTCATTTTCACATCCAAGTTGAGAGCAGCCCCTGATTTGCTTCTCATCGGAAAAACAATATTTACAATATTTTTATTTCAAAAGTCTCACGCAATAGAAATTGGAGTCGTCTCACACACAGTGTGTAAATTGCAGTGTTTAACTAAACGCGTCTGCTATTAAAGAAGCATTCCCCTTGATTCCGGTGTTTCTGCGGTTGCTGGGAATTGGGAGAGCTTTTTCCTTGGCTGGTGAGACTGGTGAGACTTTTTGGTTGGTGAGACTGCATTTTGCAGTGGATGAGAACTGGTGAGATTGGTGAGAAGTATAAAAGAGGAGAGTGCTTAATCACGGCGTAGCTAGTCATTTTCATTGGGTTTTAGGGGACAGACCTCTCTCCTCTCAACTTCCGGTGATGTAGTTCTTAGGCTTTAGTTGCTGTCTTCCACAGCGTCTCAATTTCCCCAATTACTTGGATAAACCCTGGTTGTACATCATGCAGAGAAAATTGGGACGCAGACTTTGGGGTGAGTACATTTTAATTTAATGTCATTCTAGAAATGATTTTCTGAAATATGAATATAAATCTAAAAACATTGTATAGTTTCTGAATCTGTATTTGCTGCATCTTCATTTTGTCCCTAATGACAAATTAAAAGGGGATATCTATCAATATGGAATAAGAAATATGGAATCTGGTCTTTCAAAGTAAACACCAAAAATTTGATTAAACTACTACTACGCACATGGTCCACTAATTGATGTATTATTAATTTATTAGGAAATCCTATACCAGAGATAAGTATTAGGGAGCAGAACACCATTTATCGTCCCAGATTTTACGATGCGATTCAACCAATTCTTTAAGAAATCTTTCAAAATTAACCCTAATCTGATTAATTGTAACCTGCACATAAACAAATCTACACAAACACACACAACACACGTTACACAAAGTTGATTACACACAAACACAACATTTGTCACATTCTCCACAAACATAAACACAATTCACCACCCAGTCACACTTATTTGCACATCTCAGCAAAACACACGCAGCCATTATTTATATTAAATTACACTAAAACGTATCAAAAAGTCTACACGATAAGTACAAACAAGCATCATAACACACAGAACGCAATTTTACACACACACATTCCTCATCGACACACACACTTTCACTGCACACGCACATCCACACAAAAAAAAATCCACCAGAGTTATGGAAATTTTTGTTCAAAATGAATATGTAATAAAAACATTAAATTTATAAATTTATTTACATGTGCTTTCTTTGGTTCGTTTATCATGAGTTTATTAATTTACATATATACCCTACTTGAATTAGTATTTCATAACTGAACTTTAATTAGGAATATGATTTTCAATCAAGTTGAGTAGCTTTTCTTTCATAATTCTCGAACTCCAAATTGTTTCACGGACTTCTTTCTGTCCATTGGCTTCCTTGTCGTCTGACACGAATAGCTGAATAGCGGAGTCATTGGTGGTTTTAGGCTCCCAATACATGAGAGGAACAAGTCGCAAGGCGCACAGGAGGCCAATGTCACGGTAAATGTTCCACTCTTTTAGAAAATATTCCCAAGACAGTTCAATTCCATTAAATTCAAGTGGCAACTTTGCACCAAATTGACCACATAAGGCATTAAATGCTTCAAAATAGGAGCGAAGCAACTCCATCATCCGCTCGTTTAAAACTTTTATGTCAGCGCTGATGAATATGAAGTACGATAAATCAAAACACCTGGAACTAATCTGAAAAAAATAATTGAATATATCAAGTAAATTGGATACGTTAATTAGAATTGATTCTGGAGCAAGAAGAGTGTAAATACCAGTGGCATTTGGTAATCCAAAAACTTGACCTCCAATGGATTTTCTAAAATTAAGTATGTGATCACTATATATATTTACATGATTTTCTTCGTAATTGTGTATAACTTATGCATTATTACCTTTGTCGTTTTCTCCATATTTAAAGAACATATTGCACGTCCACAAGTCGCCATGATTTATTACTGATGGAAATTCAGTGGGTATAGTTTCGAAGAGCGAAACTACCTTTGCGAATCCTTCATGTCCCATAGATTTAAGGACTCGGGACACCAAATGTTCCAACCCGTTGTCCTTTAGCATCTTCTCCATCTCAAACATGGTGTTCCTCGTACTGGTTTCCAACCTGCTAAACTTTTCTACAAAGCATGGAAAATCGGCCAAAATACTTTTCCCGTCCCCACCGTATAAACAGTATGTCGAAGCATGCAATTTTGCGAGGGCCTGGAAAATTGCAATTTATTTACTGAAAACTTATACTCAAGGAAAGAATGCTGCACTAACCTGTATTGTCATTAAGGAGTGATCCCAATCAAGTCCTTTTAGACGATCAACCATTCGAAATCTGTACACACATAACATGTAATTGTCTAATCAAGTAGAAAACGGCTTTATTTAAGTATTAATGTATTCACCCGTCCAACGTCAAATCCAGGAGTGCAATATAATCGTCCACTCCATTGCTTGAGGCGTCCAACATTCGTGGAAAAGCGTTGAATCCAAACTCTTGTTTCAGTCTGGGCAACAAAACCTTGTACATTAAAGCTTCTCTGTAAAATAGGTTGGCTTCTGCCACAGTTTTCATCCCCTGCGAATTGTTGAGAGGCACGGTTTTGACTATGAAAAAAGTTTGGAATTGTTCACCATCTTTTTCAAAGTTGGCTTCTATCCGGTGTATTTCAGACAAGTACAATGAGTGCAATAGTTTTACTCGGTACGATGTTATGCGGAGGTTTGGGTCGTATTTTTGTAAGATTTCTCGTAGCTTTTTATCACAGAGTACCGAGGATGCCATAATCCCGTAAATTTTGAACAGAAGTAATTCTCCGACTAAAATATTTTCTGCATCAAGGATTTGAGAGCCACAAAGTGTTTATGTACCCAGAAATCCAGCCTAACGATCAATGCAGGTGAGACGACAGTACTGCCCCGTTATATAAATAGTTGGTTGCCGACTGAAATGAATACATCTCACATAAAATTGCGTCACTCATCAATGGCTTTCTGTTTTGCCTAAACGTTTCATTTGAGTTTCGTTGAGGAATTTAAGCAATATTGCTTGTGACTACATCATAAAATATGAGATATTAATTTACAGTATCTACTTAAGCCTCACATGTACCAGGTTGGTCCGATCGATACAATCGAAGCTGTCACCATGCATAATTAAATACGTGTATGCGAAATGTACTTATGTACGAGTCCTGAAGCCAAGAGCAAACCAGGCCACGACGAGCAAGGTTCATAAATACAAAGCGATAGACAACTTTTGTATGCTTGACAAAAATGCTTTCAAATTGTCACCTCATAGAAAGTGAGTTGAATTGAGGGATGCCCAATAAGCGTGTGCGCTAGATTACATGCTCATATAGTTCAAATAACAAAAACTACTGGCAGAGATTCTTAATTGAGCACAAAAACCTGAATTACTTTCAGTAACAATTTGGTCGCTTTTTGATCTTGATCTCATCACAAAGAGAAACAAGGTCAAAACCACTCAAAAATATAGGAAACAAATCTTTCTAAATACTTTGAGGCGCCATATTTTGCATAGTCCACGCGCCACAATAAATAATTATGCTAACTACTGCTACCTTCTCCAAGGCGGAATATTTTGTCATTTACATTTTACTCGTGACCGTTCAACGGTTTGAAACTGCTCCGAATGGAAAGGTAGGTTCATATGAAATTCTCTTAATAATAATAAAAGCACGACCCGATTCTCGGCTCCTGGAACCTGATTCGAATTATTCTCATAGGATGAGTATGATTTTGAAGAAGTAACGTTGGACCAGGAGGTCACTCCAAGCGTGGATGTAGAATACCACACAGAGGAGCCAAGAACTGCATATGTTGATCCGGCATGGGGTAAGAATAAATGCATAATGTATGCATCATTCGAGATTGGTGCAAAAATACCATGTCAATTACTTTATGTTATGCGCCAGGATAACATAAATCAGGTTGTTTGATCTAGAATGTGGACGATCCCCAGTTTTGAATGGAGTGGACAGTTATCATCCTCCTGATTTTTTGACTGGTGACAATTCAGACAATAATGGTAACAGTCAGACACCTCGAAAGAAGGTTCCGCCCGGTTTGATCATAAACGGGACGGAGGTTCAGAGGGGAGAAATTCCGTGGATGGTGGCCATTACGAAATACCAGTACAACAGGGTTCCCAGGTGGAAAGTGGTTTGTGGGGGTGTCCTGCTAAATGATCGATTCGTCCTTACAGCCAGTCATTGCCTGCAAGGGTAACCACGCAGTTTCGTCATATGTTAATTAACAAGTCAGACCAATAAATACTTGAGGAACATTTTCATACATGAGCTTTGGTTGACCATAATGCAGACGGTATAAAGATACTCTCGAAGTGGTTTTCAATGTGGATGATTCCTCCCTAATCACAAATGATGTCCGAGTGATCCGAAGGAAAATTAAGAGAGTGATCCTCCATCCGGAGTATAATTCGGTCACGATCGACAACGACATTGCCTTGATAGAAATCACGAAACCCTTGGAAATATCAGAGGTTGCTCGAAATGTTTGGCCAGTGTGTCTGCCAGCACACGACGACGAGGACTACTCCCACATTGGCACCGTGGCAGGTTGGGGGTACACAAAATGGATCGAAAACAAAGCAGCACCAGGTATGAAATGCAAAATCTGCAATTGTGTGCAACGCATGAATTTTAATACTAAAACATATTTCGATTGGTTAAATCTACTTACTTACGTAGCAAACGCGTCCGCATATCTTCGGAAAGTTTATATTCCTATCTTGACCCATGAAGAATGTCTTCAAACCAAGCTTCCCAGCAAGAATAATGTCACGGAAAATATGTTATGCGCTGGATATGTTGAAGACGGTGGTAAAGACTCGTGTCTCGTGAGTTTGATACATAACAAATTTACTCGGGCTTTAACATCACGAGGCTAATTCTAACGTTTTCGAAATGAGTAAATTAATGACCCGCATTTTGAACTATTTGTTGTGAACAGAATGATTCAGGCGGACCGTTGACCGTAGAAGAGAATGGCAGGACTCGAGTCGTTGGCATTGTTTCGTGGGGGATCGGGTGTAAGTATTTTTGAAATTAAGTATTTGAGCGAGTTTGAAATTATTGTGCATTGTTAAGCAATGATTATCCTTCTCTTGTAGGCGGTCTGAAGGGGTACCCAGGAGTGTACACAAGAGTCATGAGTATGCGAAATTGATCAGTTGACAGTATAATTCGACTATTCAAATGATTTAAAAGGTTATGAAACTTGTAATTACAGAATATCTAGACTGGATACATGGATATATTGGGGATTCCAGTTACAAAATTACATAAAATGTGGAATAACACTTCTGAACAAGACATATTTATTTAATAATTGATATAATTATACATACTTCACAGAACAGCGGAATATAAATAAAATGCACTCTTGTGGGCGAAAAAACACTATAAGTGCAAATAAATAGTAATTAAATAATAAATTAATCAGAGATAATTTGCTACATCTTAATATCGGTATTTTCAGAAAATAACTGATTGAGTAATCTTTGGGTAAGTCAACAATTATAGATCGATTGTGAGAAAAGTTCAAATACAATCATAAGCCAACTCTACTTATTTATTGCTCAAACCTGTCTTTATATATTATTCTGTAGATATTCGTAATATACATTTTATCCACATTTCATCTTTTAGTTATCATTAAAAAATAACCGACAAGGTTTCATCAAAACAACACATGAAACTGATATCACATAGAATACATTGAAAATAAATGTGACAAACGATCCTGATTATTGCCAAGTACTACATAATAATACTTTTTGATATCGATAGGAATTTACTACTATTTCAATATCTGAAAAGAAATTCAAATCTGCTTTTGTGTTAGAAATTCATAATGCTGTGCGTGTTTGTTCAAAACTTGAATCAATTAAAATTCTACTGCAAATTGTTTCAAAGTAGAGCGTTACTTGTATGCATAAAAATGTAGCAATATGCACAGCCGACTTGTTTATTATGTATAATAATACCTGTACAACCCGGGACGTTCACGATACGGAAATAATGGTTTACCAAATGGTTATGTGAATTTTAGTAATACATGGTGTTACAATAGTTTTAAATATCAATAGGAAAACGACATGATGACCATCCACTAGTTATTTACGCAGATCAATTAGAATTTTTATGGACCACTTCTACTAAATGTTTTCTATAAGCTTCTTGATTCTTCCACATTTGTGCTGCCTTAACATTTAAAGGACTTTCAATATTTGGCTCTAGAAACAGAAAGAAATGACATGTTGATTATATGTAGACAAGAATGATTATATTTATAATACCGAAGACAACACTTACCGCTTAGGAGCGACTGCATTGAAATCAAAATAGTACGAACATCCAATAATGCTGACCACTTGTCCTTCAAAATATCGAGGCATATATTGCCAGCAGTGTCGACATTGGGGTGAAAACAAGCTGAAGTAAATTTGACGGTGGGTGCGGTATACGGATATCCACTGGGAAACTCTAAGGACAGCTTGAACGTCAAGCCACTAAAAACCTACAAAAAATACAACAAAATAATTTGATTTAATTCTTCAATCATAAATGATAGAATAGGATATTCCTAACAGTCTCGTCAGGCCCTGCTATAGTGCCAATCCATTTAAAAATATTATCGCCATCGGGAAAAGCAGAAATCCCTTTGTCCCCTTTCATCTGCAATACACAATTCATAGTTCATTATTAATTATAATTCAAGTTGGACATATTTCATAGTCATCAACCAATAAGTTTAATATGAGATACAATAAACGTACCATCAGTGACATCAGTTCTGTTTGCAGCCTAAACCAAATTGAAAATAATAATCTTTATAATTAAAACGTTTCAATGTATTTATTATCAATGACAACCTCATGGTTTTGGTTACCTTTTACTAACGGAGTGAGTATCTTTGGAGCTTCCAGTGTTTCCTTCGTTAGTTTTACGACTTCCACTTGCAACACCATTACGTGGATTTACATTTTGAGCCATGGCTATTAAAAATAAAGACGCTGCGTTAGAACCAGCGAGATGAAGTATCCGAAGAAGGATGAATTTCTAATCCGAAATTTATTTAGTGATGATGGTGGGAGGAGGAATTAATTATTTCCTGATCCTTGAAGTTTCAGTCGTCTAAAATTCAAAGAAATAACTTAATTACTGATTGATTCTGCCAATTTCGCAGTTATAAAAATGATTTTCTGAAAATGGCAAGTTTCCATATGAACTCAAAAACAACGCCTAAAATTAAAGAATTATGGTGAAATTAAATAATAATCGCCCATACGGATCGAGAATGGGTGACGGGTGTGGTTTATTCAGATGTTTGCTCTTTTAAAATTGCATTTCGAAAACCGAACGGTTCAAAATGTACAAGGACATATGTATATAAATAAAGTAATCAGTAAACGTCGCTTCAATTTCGACATCCTTCTTTATATTGATAACTATTCTATACGAACTCTGCGATATACTAATAATCTCATGAATAGAATTTAGATTAGATACATGTATAAAATTTGAAAGTAATCGGCTGACTCGCATATTCAGTCTTGAGTAATTGATCCATGTATTATTAATTAAAATCCAGTATTCAGTGTGAATTGCACCCTACTTTAGGAGTCCTAAAGTAGGACTCATGCTACACCCAAATTAAAAGTATGAAGAATCGAATAACCTACTTCTAGATAGATTAGATCACATTAAATTTAAAAAGCCTAAACCAGTGTTACTACAAAAATTATACAGCTAACTCACTTTGAGATTATTGTGTACATACTCATCCAATAAAAATTAAACCTAAGATAATTTCTGTCGTCCGCGTAATAGTTAGTTGGTGATATTCATTCACAAAATGGATGCAATTGGGTTACGTAAATAAAATTGAACCTTCACTTAACAGGACTGCCTAAATTACTTTTCTGTCATAAAGCAGCAGCAGCAACACACCTATAAACCTATAACTTACTTATTGATGTGCAGTGATAAAAATGGGTGCGGAAATACTGACAATTGATCCGATAGAACTTCAAACTTCAGAGTAAAATAATTGCTTTACATAAGCAGTTGTTGAGGCAGTGTTGTGATGATGAGTTTGTGTGAAGGAGAGAGCATAAATAAAATTTGGTCGTTGATGATTTTCCTGCTGTCTCGCCTGAGCCTCTAGCTCAATCTCAACCCCATAATCTCAAACCCCCTCCTGAGAAGTTGCAGTGTCAGTTGGCCCCGGTCCCAACGAGAGGTCTCCCTTCGCAACCTCCCTTCGCAACCTCCCTTCAAGGGACCCTTCCTGACCCACGATTTTAGCGTGTAGCCCTTGGTCAGTTCTACCATAAGGATTCGCTATAGCCTTCTATTTGTGCAACTTTTTTTCTTTTGTTCCATTTTATTGGGAAAATTAACGGAATTTGTGTATGTAAATAACTAGCTAAACAAGGGTTTCCTTCTTAAGCACGCGAGTCTTGGTGGTGCTAAAAGATTTGGACCTCCAAGCAATTCCCCACGAATTGATGGAGACGTGCAACTCGGTTCTCCTTGTGACGGAGAAAGCACTGCATTTCTGGTGATGGTCGTAGGAGTAACCGCTCTTATTCTCTTGACCCAAGATGTTAAGTTTTTCTGATGTCTGTGCCAGGAAGTGGTCGTCCCCGTGATGACATGCATGGTCCCCTTGCCCATGAGAGCTAAGGTGGTCTATCTCAAAAGTAGTGAAATCTCCGCATTTCCTGGTGGCTATTGTCGTTGAGCGGAGGGGGTGGGTACTGCTGCTGTTGGGTCCTTCAGAGATATTCTCAGGGGTGCAGTCTGGGGGCGACGACGTAGGGTCGGGAATAGTGGACGTGGGGTTCTTTGAGAAACGGATCTTTAGTGGAGAACGACCTTGATGTCCAACAAGAACCGTGTCCATGATGTGGAGAAGGAAAACAAACAAAATCTGAAAATCAATGCATTATGTTCATAGTCGATTGTTGAGTTGAATGATAACTAATAAAAACATTTTAAAGTCAGACAAACCGAAGTGATCAGTCCAACCAAAGTGAGACCAAGGACAGTTCCTGCATATTCATACACCATGTCCAGTTCTATAGACAAGCATCCATCTTCATGCACTTGACGTCTTGAGGGATATATGTGACAACTAGATAACTGCATACATGGCAGAAATTGCATAAAAACATTGTTTTAAACCTGCAAAGATTCATTATTATTTTGCGACATAACTATTTTGTTGCAACAGCTCATTGGATATCTTGGATTGACGTCGCCTTGAAAAATATGAAATTTCCAGTCTGTAGCATTATGGATTCCACAACATTGTTTCTGCAATCCGAGCAAACGTTTTTAATGCAATAAATAATTGTTCACATAATATGCTGATTGCTACCCTATCCTGTGTAAGTTGCCATTTGGGAGAAATGTAAAGCGGGTCATGTACGATCTTCATGTCATCCCGCATCAATTTTTCAAAATCTGCTTCAAAAGTTGAAGTACTCCCAAAGTATACACAATGCATGACAATGTTCCTCACGGTGAACAGCACAGTCAAGATTGACGACATCAGCATCTGATTGAAATTTATGGCTTGCATATACATATTATATTCCAGAAGTAGAAATAACGTTTTTTTTCTCACCGTTTTAAACGCAACGTTTGACTGGAAGTTGAAAATAAACTTTTCTACGGGATAAAAAATGGCGGAGAGGGTGACGCTGATGGAGACTGCGAGAGCCAGGATGGGAACGAGAGGCGTCGAGTGGTAATATTTACACCCGGATGAGGCGTCAGAGACTATCTGGATAGACGCCGAGGAGCTGGAGGAATGGTCCTTGCAGTCATCGTAGGTGGACCCCAAAAGCTGAACAACGACCCCCCAACCAAACGTCCTTGCCACAAGGTTGTCTAAGACATGGGATATTTTTGCCCATAACGCCAACACTACCTGCGATGGAGTTGGCATATAAGTAGTACAGTTGCCAGCAATAATAGGACAAATGTTGCCTCGTTTTTAGTACCAATTGGGCGAGCAGGAGAGCAGAATATGAAAATGTTGAAATGGCCACAAACCACGTCGAAAATCCAGTCAGTATTCGATTGACATCGCCATTACACGAGGGAGGGTTGGGAATACGAAGGTTACTTTCTCCATGGTTGGCATTCTTGTTTTCCCTCCGGTCAAACTGGACAACGTGACCTGACTCCATTATCCAACATATGCAGGAATATACCACAATAATTGTAACACCGACAAGCAGTATGATAAATAAGTAAAATTACGGTGGACGAGTCCACGATCTTATTATTACGAGTAAAAATGCTTGACAACCTAACAGCGATACTTTAATTTTGTATGTGCACGTGTAAATGTGTGAGATGAGTATGTTTTTATTGACATCACTGACAATTTGGCAAAGCACTACAAAAACTTCCAAGCTTCTTCAATAATAAGGGTTCCAAAAAGATCACGCACGATGCGTAAATTGTCGACGGGCAAATCTCTTGGAAGGTCAATAAAGTCAGTCACTTTTAATGCAGGTTTTTCAGACCTTTCTGGACGTTCTCCTCGGATCTATATGCATACATTTGAAATATATTAAACAATTAGATGTTTTTTGTTTTATTCAATTATATTGGTTCTTACAACCAATCTTCGACTTCCTTCCAAATACAGTTTAATGTCATCATCTAGAAATCCAGTAAAGTCAAAGTAAAACCTTCTACGCCCATTAAACTCTGGATTCGTGTCTGAATTGGACAATGATATTCTAATGCAAAAAAAATATGCAGTCAACAGACCTCAAAGCTTTACATATATTTTGCATATGACAAAACAATATTGCGAAAAATATATACCTTAGATCAGCTGGCGTTCCGAATGTGTTGATCTCTGGCTGAGTAGTGTGCGGTGTGGGGACGTGGACAATTCCCTTCTCACAAAATATTGGCTTCCTCGCCACAATCCTTCGACGTTTGCGGATGTTTTGAGGAATTCCGCTGGACAGAAGAGGATCTGGTTTCTCAAACACACCCTCCTGATACCGCCCAAGTTTCATTTTCAATGCAGTGATATCGGTCATAGACACATAGTTTCCAGCCAGAATTTGCGACTTCATGTCATGAATTTTTGCTACAGCATCTGCATCCAGAGAGTGCATCACTTCACCTCGCTGGGCTGGGTCCCTCTCATACAACAACTTGTTGGCGTTGTTGCTTGAAGAGGTTGAGGCAGTCATGTCGATGATGGTTTTGTAACCACTGTGACGAATGGGAATCGACTTCTCCTTTCCAGGAATGCGAAAAGAGGAATGCGTCTCTGAAATCAACTTCTTTTCGGGTAAAATCACTTTCCTTGGACCTTTGGGCTTGAACTGATGCAAAAGTTGGTGCGAGACTCCCAGATTGCGTGACTTAATGTTATCTTCGTAGTGTTTTTCTTCTTGTTGTTTCAGTAAAATGGGACGCGGGACGTGGCTAAAATTTTCAAAGGTCACCCGTCTTTGGTGTCGGAATGAAGAACTCTTTGCAGGTTGGACTTCGAAATCCGAGTTGTGTACGCCGTTATTCTCGTAGCTCAGCGTTTTATTTCCAAGATGGATCGGACCACCCCATGGCTTCCAGGGTGGTCGTTTGGGCTGTCCAGAAAATTTGGAGGATTTCATCATAATAAGAAATTCAGTTAACCCCTCGTAAGATGCATTTTACAAAAAACATGATGAGGAGATTGATTTGGAGAGACTGCTTTCGATACTTTATCACTACCCACAAACGTTACTTAGATACTAGAGATGAAGTACGGAACGATGGAGATAAGCACGATTGCTTGACAATTTAAAGATAAGTGAGCTATGCTACTAGTAGGATAAGCATCGACGAGATCGAATAAATTGTGCTACATATAGCATCGGGTCTGGAATGTTTAGAGTAGAAATTATTTATTTATTAGAATCGAAATATACTTTTGCAATTCATGTCGAAAAGTTTTCTATTTTTAATATGCATCGATCTAAGTAGTATCAAAATTGATCAAGCCCTTTATAACACTGTACTTTATATAGGAGTGAAGTGATTTTTCCTAAGTTTGATTGAATAAAACAACATTTTTTTACTAACTGAAATTATCATTTGTCACATTTCCGTTGGTCTTAATCTAATATATCAAAAAAAATTAATCTAATATAACGTCAGTTCCCACACCAGCCACGGGGTCTATCTTCACGTCCTTAGGATTTCCATTGTTCTCAGTAACCCCATTTGCCTCCTCCTTGCCATTTATCGGTGTTTGCCTGCTACTCTTTTCTACACCTATTGCAAACAGAATTGTTACGAATTAGGAACATATTATATGTTATAATAAAATAAAGTAATAATTGTTGAATGCACTGTCATACCATATTTCGGTATAGGCATTCCACAGAGTCTCAAGTAATGTGTTCGGTCACTTTTCTGAACATACACCCTCAGGGATACTGCACCCTTCCATCCTACCAACTCCAAGTAACATCGAGGTCCATTACCCTCAATGGGAAAATCGCAAATCAAAACAAGACTTCCTCCTTCCATATCCTTAATTGCTTCTTGGGTTTTCTCTGTAAATTGTTCAAGTAATGGGGCCTTGTCCTCTTCAGTTTGTTCCAACATAACCATCAAGTCTTTCTTCGTAATGTGTAGTCGTCTCCCTTTGATTGATGAACACAAGGACGGCAACCCCTTTATCATTATAGTGAAAAATGTAATTTAGTCTTCACATTGTAAAAATCAATCAGTCAAACAATGTAGCAATCATACCTCTTGGGACAAGCGAAAATTACACTTACTCCATTTGTTGTCTATTCTAACCAATGCCTTCACACCAACGTTAACAATCTGACAACAACATAAAAATATAAATAATCATGATGGGCAAATGGAATTAGACTTGTGACGTGACGTACTTTCACTGATTTGTCATTGCTCATAACAAAATTACGCACGCCGTCTGTGGTCAAGTATAAATTTTTAATTTTTCCCCCTTCAGTTCTTCGAATAAAATTCACACTTTTCATGGATTCGTCCAAGGAATAAAATTTTCTGCGAAAAAACAATGCAACTAATTATTAAGTTTAGGAGACTACGAGACTGCCCGGTTAATTACACCCAATGAATTATCAAAAGAACCCCCCGTTTCTGTTAACCCAGTGCCATTTAATGAACATTATCCGTCGACTCATTTTTCTCAATGAAAGCCATGTTTCCGAACACATATTGAGTAATGTTTGACTATCTTCGTTGGGTGGAGGGGGTTACTTGAGGCAATTTGGGTATTTAATTCTAGAAAATGCTTACTTAATGTCCTCCCAAATTTCATGATCATCACTCATAAATATATACGGATCTTCTTTATAGCCCTGCATTCTTTTGGGTTTTTTGGCAGGAGGGGGATCAGAACTTGTTGAACTCGACTTGTCCACGTTATTAAGATCGGAACCGCTTTCTATAGACAAATTTAAAAAGTAGTTCAAAAAATAGCAGAAGCGTAGTTGACTGAATTTTTTGATATCATAAATTATATCTTGCCAATGAGTAATTACCTGAATTCATTGTTAAAGACGCTTCCCAAGGAAGTGATTCAGTTTTGCGTAGCAATGCGACAAAAAATCCTCCAGTGTCCTGCTGATGAGGAAGAATCCTTAGGCTATAAAAATTCGAGGCTTAACAAACCAATGCCCTAGACTTTGATAATCTAGAATATACGTGACTGCAATTAATTACCATTTATCTAAATGCAAGGACGGGGCTTCTTCTGGTGAAGGCGGAAATGCACCTGAGTGAATAGTTGTAGCCCATTTTTGGGGAACGTCTTCGAGTTTCTCATAGACATTTAAGTCTCTGTATCGATTAAAAATATTAAAAATATATTAATATTAAAAATTAGCTGGCCAGAATTACGCCATTCGCTTTATAATGTTGCTTATCGAAAAATATTAATATTCTGATATTTTACCTGTCACATACTTTCCAGTGCGACAGACCTTTCAAGTATTTCAAATGAGGTAAATCAATGTCCATTAATTCAACTGAACCCTTTGCTTCTTTCAGCATTCTGCACACTACGGCCTCGTCTTCCAACGGATTTAAGGAACAGGTGGAGTAAACTAGAAGACCATTTGTGGCCAAGAGTTCCATTCCACGTTTCAGTATTTGATATTGAACTCTAAAATAGTACAATGTTATTATAAAGTATACACACAATGGAAAGAATTGATAGATTGAAATGCAATATTACTGCTGAAGGCTTAACGAGTTTGCACAATTCCATTTTTTCCAAATGTCAATGTTTTTTCTTATTGTGCCATCACCAGAACATGGAACGTCACAGAGAACGCGGTCAAATTTCAAGGGCGTTTTTTCGCCATCTAGATTTTTAAATGTTGAGATATGTATTCATAAAAAATATTACTATAAGTGCTCCGAAATAATTAAAAATGCATAATGGTACCTGCTCCCGTATAAAAAAGTTCTGGAAATTGGGATGCATCATGATTGGTCACAACAAATGCCGGACTTTGTAGACGTTTTCCTGAAAAACGTCAAATTATGTTTACCAGTATTGTCATTCTTGGTTCTAATAATACACTTTTTATCAGAAGACGCAGCAGAGATGGCTTGGCTTTTGTAGTGCTCGGTTCAACTGTAGTGTGCTAACACTCATCAAGCAAATGTCATCCTGAACGGATACGACTTTGTGCACCGATTTTACATACGACTGAATATTATATTTACCCAAGAACTGATTATCTATCGTTGTTTGAATTTGTTTTGCAATTGATTTCTCAATAAACTGTTATTCTTTAGTGATTTAACTTATGTTTCATCATTTTTCTTTAGACTGGCGGTTGGATAATTAGTCACCCTTCTTACCTTGATGGACCAACATGTAACATCTTTTATTATCCATGTCGTTTGCGATAACGTAGCCTTCGGGTGGTTTGGAATCTTCAGCGTGTAGCATTTCAATTATTTGTGCAGTTTTACTTCCTGGGCTGGTGAAATATTGAAAAATAAGCCAGTAGGTAAGTAATCAAGTGTTGATACAATGATACAGAGTGACTCGGGATATAAGAACCCTGCTCTGATTGTTTTATTTACCTGGCACACATATCTAGTACTTTGTGATGAGGTTCTACTTTTAAAGCTAACGGAGGGATCATACTGACCGCTTCTTGTCGGCTAGTATCTGAAATAAACAGTTTTCAAGGAACTAAAAAGCCTAGCGTAATCAATTTAATACTTACTCCCGCTTTCAGTTTCCCATACTAAAAAATTGTGAAATCGAGCATATGCCTCGTTTCTTCGGATATCATTCCTCGTTAGGTTAATTTGCCAAGCAGTTTTTCCAGGGTACCTTAATTACACAAAACACTCATCAAATTAGAAGCATAATTTCATGAACTTGTCTACAAACTGACCAGCAACAGGGTAGTTGAGATAAAGATGTAATTAAATTTAACATTATAATGAACAAAATGAACCAACCAGGGTAGTGCAAATGGCTTGATTTCCACTTGTTGATCTTCACTTTTGCCAACTTCGATAATATCTTTGATTAGACAGTTTTCAACGATATGGAGCATTGCCTTAGCTTCCGAGCGAGACCCAGTAATTCGAAAAGATGCTGGAAGACTTTGCCTTTGTAAGGAAGACATTGTATGTAAATAATTAATTATCATCAAATAAATATGAAAAAATATCAATTTCAACAGGTGAAACTTTCACCTGTTGAAAATTTGGAAAAAATAGTCAAATTTTAAATTTAACTTAACTGACCTACACATAGCCATCATCTGATCAAATTCCTCATCTGGACAAATATTTTGCATCTATAATTCCCAATTTAAAAAATTACAATTAATTGTACATATACCAGAAATTGTGGTAAACAATTATATGTCCTATTATTGTCAGCTAAGGATAAATATATATGCTTCATTCAATATACATATGCCGTGCCGTCATACCAGTCGTGATATAATAAATTTGTAAATCTTACTCGATAGTATTTCTCAAAATTGGCATTCTCTCTGATAATGTCTGGGTAATGTTTTGTTACTCCTTTTTCATTCGTCTCACGATTGTCCCAGGCCTTGCCCTTATTCTTCTGAAATAAATTCATGGTTATTTATATTTGTAAGATACTTGTTTCGAATTGTCAACATCCTAAAAATTAATTTACTACCTTAAACCGCTTCTTTCCCTTTCCCATATTGTATGCTAATACGGCGGATAGTCGTCTAATTCGAATAGAGGACCACGTGGTCACGCCACAAGTCCTACTCGAGGGGATCTATTCAGTTTAAATAAATAGTTATCAATCATTCATATGAGAATGAAAGTGATTTAAAATTAATAATAAGACCAGAAATATCAAAATCAGATAAATAGTAATAAATAATCAGTTGAGTAGCTGAACCAGGTGCAAAAAAAATTACCGAAACAGGGAAAGGTATAAATGCCTTATCGCTTTTCGATGAGAGCACGTGTGTCAGTAAATTAGAAACTGATGAATTTATAGGACGACGAGACAAGGTGACACCGGACGGACGGTGTGAACCACACGGTGAGGATTTAACAGAGATCACAGCCGCTCAAAGGGAATAGTAGAAGGTGAGACAAGGATGATGATGGGGACCGATCCGGAGCCACAAAAAAGGTATGTTTTTGTATCAAGTTGTTAAATTGCTACAATTGATAAGATAGTATTGTTGCATTTGGAAATGTGCTCCTCGACATGATCGTTCCCGTCGAGGGAGATTTCTTGGACAAAAATGGACTCCAACCAGATACCACAACTTTAGCAGAAAACGAAAGCCATTTACGCATTTTTGATCAAGTACAAGATGGAACATATGCAATACAATATAGTCCTGGGGGTTGTGCGGCCAATTCCGTTCGTGTGGCTCAGGTAAAGCATTAAAGGTTTTGGTATAAATAGTGGCCAGCTTCATGGTTTGTACATACATATACCGAAGGTAAAATTAGTGTAATAATAACTATGCAAATTACGTAAAACAGTGGATCTTGAGATCTTCGGCTACAGTATTCGTTGGGGCTGTGGGAGATGACGACGAATCGAAGAAATTGGTGGATTTGCTCCGTCAAGATGGGACCATTGTAAAATGCCAACATGTGACAAAATCGCCAACTGGACGCTGTGCAGTATTAATAAATGGCACAAGCAGAACTTTGGTCACCCAGTTGGGTGCCTCTGTGCATTTCAACTTTGAAAAGTTTATGAATGACGATTTCAGTTATGTTGTCGAAAATGCTCGTGTGATTTATATTTCTGTAAGTGCTACACATATTTATGCAAAGGTCAACATTTTCATGAAAACACTGATTAATATGGATTTGTCGAAAAGGGTTACTTCCTACGAGTCTGCATCCGGACGGTGAGAACAGTGGCAGAAATTATGGCCTCTAAAAGTACACATTTAGTGGTTAACCTCAATGCCGTGTGGGTGGTAGAAACGTTGTTTGACCAAATCCTTGAAATTTTTCCGTACATGGATTTTGTTATCGCGAACCAACTGGTACATATGTATACATACAATTTGAGCTTCCTTGAAATTATCATCCTGTGACCTTCAAACAAAGTTTTATTCAAGGAAGCAAAAGCTATGGCCAACATGTTAAACTTAAAGTCAACTGACGTGGCTGAAATTGCAAAGTTCATTTCACAGATGCCAAAAAAATTTGCGACGTCTCGAGTCGTGCTAATTACGAGGGGAGAAGATTCGTTAGTGGTTGCTAAAGGTAGGTTGCACAAATTCCTTTGCTTCGATCTGTCAATGTCATGAAATATTGTAATTGATTATTATTAGATGACCAAGTCCTCCATTTCCCTACAGTTAAGGCGAATATCGTTGATACCAATGGAGCTGGTGATGCATTTGCTGGAGGTTGTTTTTTTACAGCATATAATAAGATACGACTTGTGTACAAATGAAATGAGGGTAGATTTATGATTTATGAACTGGTAATAATTTTCTAGGTTTTTTGGCCGGCCTTTTAAAAGGGGATGATCTTTATGAATGCGTCAAATGTGGACTTTGGGCTGCTTCAAAGATTATTCAACAAATTGGGTGCAACTTTCCAAAAGATTTGTCCTACCCAGATTGACTTTTATTAATGCATTTTTATGATTCGTACACTTACTACATTTTCTACTATTTCGTACTATATTATTTGACACTACATTCATTTCTACATGTTGACTCCTACAAACCCAAATTGTCAGCTCAATACTTCAGATTCGATTAAAAATGTTGAATATTTTTTGTTTTTTCACGGGTGCTTCTTTTGGCACAGGTTTTGTAGTCATTTTGATGCCTTCAGGTTGCCTTGCTTTTTTCACTTCCTCCGGTTTGTCGCTCAAAGGGTGACCCATCACATCCATATCACCTGAATCATTATCAACTAAGCTGGGAATCGACAAGCAATCATAGCAAAATTTGGTGCAGTTCTTGTTGATGGACTTGGCAAGGTCTGGAGAGAAAACATGAATGTTACCAAACTCGCTGGAGAATAAGTTATACTTTGACGATGATGGCGATACTGAGGGCGGATTGATGTCAGAAGATGAGTCTGTTGACTCCATTTTTGTTCCAAGGTTTTGTGGTGTTTCAGTTGGTGGTTCAACTTGAACAGATTCTTTCAATGTTCTAACTTGGGGTTTATTTTTGGACAAAATTTCAGAAGTAGTTGGAATTACGACGTGTTGAAATTCAGGTCCACCTTCGGCTCGTGTGATTTCCCAAGACCTTTCAATTACTCTATTTTCCCAATTGGAGGCAATCTGGCTGACTCTTTGGTGTGGTTCGAGGGGAAGATTTAATGATTTGGGTATTGCTGCAGCACGCCGATCGAAAGCTGTTCCACATTTATTTTTCATAGTAACGTCCTCTTTTTTAGAACAAACTGAGTCTTTGGTATTTTGGCCTTTGCCCTCACCAGATTTTGGAATCATCTTCATGACATCACTTTTCTCAGGTTTTTCAGTGGCAGGTGCAGAGGGTGGCTTGTGGGATATTGCTTTAACCTCCACTTTCCATTTTGGCGAATCCGGCAATGGTTTAGTTGCGAGTTGTTTTTGCTTCATTGTTCCTCCGGAAGAAGAAGAATGTAATTTTGTGGAGACTTGTTTTACTTTAGTAGAAGAACCATCAACGGATTCAACTGAAATGGGGGCAATTAAGGGAGGAGTTTCTCCCTGTGCTTTAGGTTTCGACCCTTGTTGATCTTTGTTGAAAATCTCAGGAAATTCGCCCACTGCCCATTTTTCGCTGCCATCATCCGTCAATTCATTGACTATCCACTTCTCATCGCATGCTTGAGCTAGAGGATCTCCATCAAATTCGTCGTCGCTGTCTTCGTCCTTGGTTGAATCGTTTTTAGATTCGACAAATTCATCCCGAATCCACTTTGCCACACGCACCTCGGCCAATTTGTTACTAATCAAAATAGGCGAAGCAGAGTTAGCAAGTGTGGTATTATTATTCGGTGTTTCCAGTTTTGCATCATCGGAAATGGGTGTTATCGCGGTTGGTAGTGCTTTTGGGGCTTCAGCTAATTGATCGCCAAACACTGAATTGTCTTTTTTCTTTTCTACATTCGTTGCGATCGTGCGATTTTCTTTTGTTTTTTGTATGTTCTTCTTTTTCGCGACAGGGTCAACTTTAAAATCATTTTCTTCAGCAATAACTTGGATATTGTGAGGCTTGCGAGGTTCAGGAGTAAGTGGAAGTCGTGTGGCGTTATTTCCATCCGAAGGGATCTTGATTGGAGATGCACGAATCGCTGGCTTCAATTCTACAAAGTCTTCTTCTTCTTCCACACATTTGAGTTGTTCCAGTGGCAATTTTCCCGATTTCACTACGGGTCCTAATTTCTTCGGGACCGTTCCTGTGTCTTGGTGATCTTTGTCTTGGGCTCTTTTGACAGTTTTATCACCTGATAATGCGGGTTTCTGATTAGAACGCAGAGGAAAATTTTTCTTGGGTTCAGCAACTAATGAATTTTCAATGTCGTCATGAATCGATTGCGTTGAAGCTTCTTCAAGATCGTCCTCAGACACGGCTTGGAGGTGTTGGCCAGAGGAGGAGGTCGCGTGCTTAACTTTTCCAGGGGTTGGTAATTCTTGAGTATTACAAAGTCTAACAGGGGTTGGTCGACTGGATTCAGCGGAATCAGCTTTGCCCGAAGATTTACCAGGAGGTTTCAAAACTTGCTCAATAAGCGAACTTAGCGTAATGTCCTTATTTGAAAAGGTGAATACTGATTTTTCTCCCACCATGTGTATGTTTACTGCTTTCTCTGAATCCTTGTCCTGTGGTCCACAACTCATGTCTCTAGTTGAAAAGGAATCTTTTCTTGAAACGATGTTGGTTGTGAAACTTTGCTTAAAATATGGAAAGTGTTTGTTCAGACTTGTGGTGGTTTCTAGTGATGAGGATGGTCTTTCCACAAGTGTCTCAATCTTCTCTTCTGGTCTGGCAGAAAAGTGGTGTCCATCTTTAAAATTATCCGAACTTGTCATTGGGTCCGTGATTGAAGAATTGCAAGTTGAATGTTGGTCGTCATCATCCTTGAAGTCCATCATCATGATCATCTCACCGCTGATGCCGCTGCTGGGAGCGTCGTGAATGAGGTCACTCTTATTTACTTTGCTAGCTGAGGCCAGTGCTAAATTTCCAGCATTAAATCCCACTTTACGAGCATCGTCCAATTTTTTCTCTACTGCAATTATATACTCTGTTAGCAAACCTTCGCCCACTCCAGTTGGGATGTTGCAACTCATTCTTTTCTCGTGCAGATTGTGTGGAAGGGGAAGATCGGGCAAAATCCCAGCCATTATCATGCTCGCCTCGGCTAAAACTTCTGCGCTCAAACTTTTGACCCCATGTTTGCCACTTGGCGTTGGTGAAATTGGGGTTGAGGTCCTTACTTCGCTTGGCTTTTGATCATTTCCCTTAGATTTGAGTGCTTCCTTGATGAGGTCGCTGTCATAGACGGAAGTCGAGTGATGAATTTTTTTGTGTTGATGCTTTGCTTGGACGGATGCCGACGCTTCCTTTCTCTTCGTCTCCAAGTTTTTATTGAAATAAACCTGAATATCATCATCTGACTCAAAGCTCGGACGGTCTGTTGACATTTGTAATTCTGGTGATGACATTGAGCGATTATTGGAGACGGAGAATTGGGAATGCAGTTCATGTCCACCCGCAGTAGTTGAAGTCGGGATTATTGAGGGTCTAATCGTGGCGTTGGGCATTGCAGATGTGTAATTATTAGAAATAGTTGACCTTGGCGTGACAATTGGTTTAAATTGCGGTTTGGCTCGAACTGAGGAAGTTTGAAGGGATGAAGCAGCTACTTTCTGGTTTTTGGAAGTAGAGGTACCTAAGCGATAATTAAGCACACGAGAGGCTACACTTTATGGTTTGTACTTTTTACCTACAAGGGAGGGAGGAACGTGTGTGGTGTTTATACGGTGTTATATACCGCTTGATGATGGACTGGCCATGCTAAGGGACTCCGTGCGGTCAATGTGTTTGTGAGATAAGGAGTTTGGTGAGTTCGGACGCCCAATTCCATCCAGAAGCTTGGCAGTGGGGGGAGTCCAAATAATGGTCTGCACAATACGACAAAAGGCGTGAGACTGCATTTTACTTGTCACAAAATACGAATGAAACTTGCCTTGCTGTAGTATTTGGACAGAGGAACTCTCGCCTCTCTTCCAAGCAAATAATACGTATACATTTCTCCTACAGATTGGAGGGTTAGATTTATTAATTAGATTTAATTTAACTAGACCCACAAGTGCCAAACCCATTGTTGAAAAATTACCTTTCCCCTTCACCTGAAATGGAACAATAAAATTATAATGCTCCACTATGCTCAATATAAAGGTATGTAAATATAAAGACTCACGTTGATGGTGCCTCGAAGTTCGACACTGTACAAGGGAGAGAGCAAGTTTTTGCAGGCCTCGGAGATTTGGACCCTGCCCGGCTCGCTGGTTGACTCCATTCTTGAAGCTGCATTGGAAGTTTCTATTACCTAACATATTTATGTGTAATATCTTGTTCGACTAATCACCTGTATTCACAGTGTCGCCAAATAAGCAATAGCGTGGCATTTTGATTCCGACCACACCTAAATATGGCACAGATTTTATACATTGTGTGCATCTTATGGTTTGTGCGATAAACCACTTACCGGCGACGCATGCACCACTGTGGCATCCCACTCGAACCCGCAAACCATTCTCTCCTAAAACCATTTACTTTTAATCGCTCAAAACTTTACTGTTTCAACTGATTTTTCACATTTAAAAAAAGTTATACGCACTTCCAGATGGATCATCAATTGCTTCGGACGCGTCCTAAAAATAAACTGTTTCAAACCTCGTATTGAAACACGATAATGGAATAAATGAGCATTACAATAATATCCAGAGCCATGTCAGCACAACGCTCAGCTAGAAACGTTAATGTAAATGTAAGTGGTACAAAATATCAATTATAACTAGTGAATACAATGGCATTACAATGATTCGTATTTGAAACAGGGGCGCCGGACACAATCATGTAGCTGTCCAAACATACAATTGATTAGACTCTGAGGAGGTAAGTATATTAATTTGGGGCGTGAAAGCAATTTCACCTGTCTCCCACGGTTTCGACCTTGTACACGCCGTTCCTCTCGCATAGCTGGTCGAATAAGAAGTAGATGTGGTTTAGCATGCTGACCACTTGCAACGGTGTAATGACCTGTTAAAAAGTTTGGATGGTAAAATTAGTAAATCGTGCCAGAATCTGTAATGCAGTTAATTATAAAACCGAACCGAGCAAATATCCGTGAAATTGACCACGTCTGCATGTTTAGTGGGTTTAAATTATATTAATATGAGTTGATATTATTATCAAAGTACGAATCATACCTGTGAAAAGGATAGAAACGCTGTCGAATGTCTGCATAACCAATAAAATTTATTATAATTGATTATGCAAAGTTAAAGTTAACCGGATATTGTTACCTGGCACGTTTCTACAGGGTTTTCTCCTTTTCGGATACGGTCAGCCACCTTCACAATTATCAGTTTAACTCAGAGTGAAACAATGCCCAAGTGTAAAATATCTACCTGTTTTGGTATCATTTGATAGAGCCTAAAATGACGAAAATAATGAGACTCTACTTACAAGCTGGATTTACATATTATTTAAAACCTACAGTTCATCGGTGCGTTTCATTTCAAGATCAAGCTTCATCATTGATTGAACCAATTTCTTTGATTTCTGTTGCTCTAAAAAAGATACTTGGGCTTAGGTAATAATTCAGCATAATTCTTAATCGGTCTCAGATTGCATTTAAAATGATGAAAAAATCACCTTGATCAAGTGCCAATTTAAGTTCGACAGACTGTTGAGTTCCAGCCAACACTATGCATTTTAGTTTTTTATACAATTGTTAACATCATGAAACTCAAGTTGTTGTTTTTCTAACCTAAATCTCTGCTGCAGTCGTGCAAGGAGAGATCGTTGATGAACAGGCTGCAATCGACCAAGCCATTCAGATCCGGCATGACGGGATTCGCCTGGATTTTAATTGCAATAATTAGTAACTCAGTATTTATCATGATTATTCTTAGCAATAACGATTCACCAAGTATAACATCATATTCCACTCCTCCATGAAAAGCATTTGGCCTAAATAAAATAATAAATGACTGCAAATATATCTTAAAATGGGAAGAAACTCCTCCAGACCTGAGTACATTTACAATTACGTAATTGACAAACAACCTCTCAATCGCAATCGAGTTCCTTCAGTTTCCACGTCAGTTTCTACGCTGTCGGTAGCTCCAAAGAATTGATTTACGTCTGTTGAAGTGCAATTAATAATTAAGTTTCTACCCGTGAGACACATTTTGTTATTATTTTTGATTACGCAAATGCATAATTAGGAAGTTACCATGTATGGGTGCAACTGTTACCTATTTATAACGACAAGTTTTTGTAACTAGTGTTTTTAATGTCCAAGAAAAATAATATGTACAACGGTTTTACCAATTCGAAGATGTTATTTCGTCGTTGCATGATCTAATTATAAAGTAATTCAAAAAGGAGCTTGTTAATCCAATTTGTTTCATGGGAATTAAGTGCATGGTACATTAACGTACGTACTATGTACATATGCAAATTACATATGCGTACTCACCGCACTGAAGCAGAATGGAATCAAGGGACGGGTCATGTCAAATGCCTCTGAAGAGATTGGAACAAAATGAATGTTATTACAGTACAAGTCTATGTAATCAATTGTGCTGTCTCAAACCTGTCATAACTTGGCCGACTAAATCCTTCAGAATTGTCATTAATGTGTGTCCTGTGGAAAGTTCACCACAGTTAAAAAGGGTAAAAAGAAAGTGAGGATCCCCACTTTTACTACCAGCCTCACCTGTATGAGTAATCTCCATTTCACTGTTAAAGACGATGCAAAATGGGAACTGTAAACTTTCAAAGTTACATTTGGGTCTCTGGGATTTTTCAATAAACACAAATTCCTGAAAGTGATTCATTTATTTTTGGGTGTGGATTGACTCCGAGAATAAAAGAATCACTACTTTGAATCTTGTTTTTTTACGACCCCAAAAACCCAAATGTAACCAGTTCGAAAAGCGTTGATGCTTTGACAGGAAGTCGCAAATCCTTCCCGATTAGCGTCCTTAGTTCTTCGGCCTCAGAGAAAGCAGAATTGTCAAATGCCAGCTACGAGAGATATCTCAATGAAATAATTTATAAAAGATTGCGTTGTAGGTTTGTTACACTGGAAAATGTACCTCAAAAACTACATGAATTGTCTCTCCTGAAATTTGCCCACAGAAAGTTAATGTGTTGTTTACAAGGTTTTTGAAATTTGACATACCAACAACTTCTTCATTAAGCAAGTGTATATTACATTCTTGGTTGTAAAATTGTTTGGCGACCTTTACAGCATGAAAATTTTATTACACATGGACACCCTATTTTAATGATAATAAAAAAACCTGCTTAATTTGACCCATGACATAGTAAACAAATCCTCGTCGCTTGCTGCGGTAATGCAACTTTAATCCACTTTCCGTCTCATCATCGCAGTAAAAGCTCGGCTAGAATCATTTGTTTCAGAGAATGTATTACATATTTTACGGAGTTTGTCTATGTTGCTCTTACAGCTCTCATTTTCTATAAATAATCAATTAATGAAAATTAAGACTATGTATGCATCTGTTATTTAAGTACATAATTATTACATAACATACTGGATAGGAAAACTTGAGATATTCATGGAGATTGTCGAGTCCTGTTGCGCATGGGAAATTATTTTGTGGAAAGTACATCTTATTAATTACAGTTTTACATGCATCCACAAAGAATACGAATGCTTTACCATTGAGAAAATCTCGCAAGTGTCTCCCCAACACGGATAAAAGCTGGTCGTAGCCATACTGAGAAACGTACTGCAAAATTTAGTATTCGTGCATGTTAGTCGTACGTATCTTCTTATTCACGGAAAGATGAGAGAACAAATGTGTATAATATAAAAAGTCGTGATTGGCTAAATCATAAAATATGGCGTTCACATAAAGAATCATGGCAAAAAGAGAAAAAGAATTGTGTATGCCTGCACAAAGTAGACTCCCATCGCTTTGAAAAATTGTCTCTCGTCCACCCCCAACACCTTTTAAGGGCACAAAATAGTAATAATTAAACATTCCGATTATCTCAGGATTTCGAAAAAATGCTTCTCATTTACTGATCAGAGTAAAGCAAGGCTTACTTGGAAGGCAGACCTGGCCAGTCGTCGCATCAATGTCTCGGGGTAGACGTGATGGATTGAGAAGGCCACGAGGTCGATGCCTGCGTGTCTCCTCACTGACTCCCACTTTCCCTCCCCCCATTGCGCCTTGATGAAGGTGGCGAGGTTTTCCAGCAGCAGCCCGTACATCTCGAACAAAGGTCTTCCTCTCAGCACGTCCACCGGAAGTCAGTGTTCCACTCACCCGATTCGTCCAAGGAGGTTCAATCGAGTGGCGAAAGGACTGGGGAAATGGAGCCATTTATATGAGTCGAGTATTTTTGACCTGTCCGAAACCCTATAAATTGCACCAGGAGGACATACATAATTGGTTATTGGTGAAAGTCGTTGATGAGAACAATTCCCTTTCCCAAGCGCCCAATCTGCTTTTAATTTAATATTGTCATGCAAGCCCAGCCACACGAGGTGAAATAATGTTATTGCGTTCTCGTATAATGAGATTGTCCTCAAATGAGAACATGCATGATTAGTTGGAATAATTGGGGTTAGATATTAGATTCAAAGACCATGATTGAGGATTACGTGTGCATGACAAGCTAGAAATAAATTGCCAAATAAATTGAAATCGTTTTCAGTGCCAGTGGACACAATAAATAATTAGAATATTATGCAAGTGGTTTTATTTATTTATTGATTTTTAGATTCAGACATAATTATAGAATGACCAGCCAGAGGTTCTGATTTGCTTATTGTTCTTTTGTATAATTTTGACTGGTGGTGGAGGATACAACGTCAGTTCCAGGATGGCATTTTCCAATGCGGGGAAAGCAGCAATTTCTCGTTCCACAACTTTTTTTGTATCGATGATTAATTTTGCTGTTGGACATTGACGCATTACGAATTTGGACAATATTTCTGAACTCGAGTGGATCGAATGTTTCCAAATTGTCCCTTTCAACCAATGCTTTATTTTCCTGCTGGAGCACATCGACATCATCATTTTCATCATTTGCTTGACCCAAATTCAAAATTTCCTTTACGCTCCTCTGTACCAATGGGAAAACGCATTGCTCGATAAGCTTTGGGTTCTTCAACGCCAATTCTAAATTTTGGACGAATAATTCGCTATTGTTGCAAGTGCAGTCGACGGCTGGGCAATCAGAAAACCTGTCACGTGGTGGTGAGAACAATTCCCCCGTCTCGTCGTCCTCAGTAGAATTTCCAAAGCGAAAATTCGTACAGGTCGAAACAGGTATTGACATTTGTTTCCAGAAACGGTTAAAGTTCGCCCTGTTTCCACCATATGAAATTGAAGACGCTTTTTGAACAATTTCTCTACTTCTACGTAACTTCTCCAATGGTAAATTTGGAATTGATTTGGTATCCAAAGTCTCGGCGTCATCTGAAATTGTCGTGTACATATATCTATTCTTCTATTTTGCATATTTACATAAGCAGTAGTGTCTTATTCATTTTTCCATACACAATCAATTATGCATAGTCTTAAGATTAGGGATCTGACCAACCAGTTGGAGATGATGTCAGTGAGACCGAACTCTCAGAACCACTGACGCTAACTCGGTGGTGGGATAATCCAATGCCTGAAAAAATATTTTTGGTCTTTGGCATTGTCCAGATGATGGATTTGCTATAGAATTTTGACAACGGCACTCGAGCCACCCTTCCAGTCAGCCAGTACGTCTTCATTTCCCCTTCGGAAGCAAGTTCTAATTAACGTCTGCATATGTCCAAAAAGTGATCATGTATTTACCCTTCCCCTTTACAAGCACTGTTCCACGAGGTTCACACTCGTAAGTGTTTGGAAGCAAGACTTTGCATGCTTCTGAAATTTGGATTCTCGAAGGCTCGGACGTGCTTTCCATTCTGCTAGCTGGAGATTTTATGAAAATATTCATAAGCCTCTGTAAATGCATTTTTATTGCACCCATTGACGTGTATGTACCGATATTGACTGTATCCCCAAACAGGCACCACCGAGTCATTTTGATTCCGACGATCCCTCCTGCAATGTTGCCTACGTGTATTCCTACCCGAATTTGTATGCTGGTGCCAACTAAGAAAGCAAACGTGGGCGAAATTATCTTATTTTATTTTAGGTCGATTGATTATGTATTTACTTTCTGAGGGATCTGAAATTGCATCGCACGCATCAACCTGTAATACATACAATGAACCCTGAGTATCTCTTGAGTGGTTATACACACGCTAACGTCTCACCATGTCTAACGCCATGTCACAACATCGTTCGTGATGGTTCAAACTTTGAACGGGAGCACCTTTGTAACGTAACAATAGGAGATAAGATAGAAGAATGAGGAATTATAAATTGGTGGATTTTATGTTTCACCTGCCACTACCATGTAACTGCGTAATTTGAGATTTTCCCAAAAAGAGATATTTTATTAGATCACTGTCAATTCTAACTTGCTTAAAATAAGTGTAACCTGTCCCCGATTGTCTCCACCTTGTACACTCCGTTGATTTCTGTAAGCTGGTCGAAATAGCTGTACATTTGGTTCTATGTAAATTTAATGAAATTACATACATACATAAGTATGCATTAGATACGAATACACATTTTAATCAGTAAAATTAACTGCTTCGCTTACAAGCATGTTGACAACTTGCATAGGAGTTAGTCGTGAACAAATGTCGGTGAATCTGACCACATCGGAGAATAAAATTGACACGCTCTCAAAAGTCTGTATTTTTAGTGAAAAATATCCATCACTCAATACATATATTCTCTTCATAAATAGATGTATTTATTACCTCACAAGTATCCACAGGGTTTTCCCCATTACGCAGACGATCTGCGACCTACGTACAAAAAAAAACAATGAAAAGGATCTGAAGAAACGCTTAAAACCTCAACTTGTACACCTGCTTTGGAATCATTTGATAAAGAAGCTCATCCGTTCGCTTTATCAGGTTGTCCAGCGATTTGACACTTTCTCTCAACTTCTTTGATTTCTGTTGCTCTTGGTCCAAGGCCAGTTTAAGCTCAACAGATTGCTGAGTCCCAGCCAACATCAAATCACTTTTTTGCAAAAAAATACATTTGTTTATACTGATAATGATACTTAAATAGGTTATCCTTTTTACCGACTACAGTCATGCAATGCAAAGTCGTTGATGTACAGACCGGCACTCATTAGGGCCCCAATGTCCTTCATGACAGGATTCGCCAAGTACAGCATCGTATTGTTTTCAGGAATATGTAGCATTTGTCCTATGAATAATTAGGACGGGATACCTCGTTATTCATGTTTACGCATTTGACAGGAGGTAATAATGGGCATGCACCTCGTAGACGAATTCTTATCCCCTCGGTAGCTTCGTTCCAGTCCAGATTGTCCATCCTGAGCCGCGCCGTGTCCACCAAATTGGGATTACTTTGGATTGGTGCAATCGTTACCAGTTCGAAAATATTGTTCCTTCGTTGCATTATCTGTAGTGCTCAATTAGAAATTAGGCAGACATAATCTAGTTAATTGAGCAAATAAATTATGTACCTCGTTGAAGCAAAATGGAACCATGGGTCGCGTGAGATCAAATGATTCTGGACATAATTCGCCAATTATTAGTGCCAAATTATTTATGATAATTTGTTAGTATTATTACTGTCCAATATGCACGGAACCTGTCATAATTTGTCCCACCAAGTCTTTCAGAACCAGGTTGAGCGCGTGACCGATGTGTTTTATCTCCATGTCCGAGCTGAAGATGATTAGAAATGGGAAGAGCTCTTCAAACTTGAGACTTGAGATTGGGATTTCGAAGTCATTCCCCACACAATCATCCGACGACTGCATGACCTGGAATGAGTGCGAGCATGGCAATTTCTTCAACTGATCTATTTTATTAAATGGGTCAGAAAGTGCAAACCTCAGTAAATGCATGGTTGTCAAAAGCCAGGTCGAAAACTACGTGTAAGGTGTCTCCTGAAATTTTAAGACAATAATTTTATGCAATTGTTCACATACATTTATTTATTTGAAATTAAATAACCGTCCATCTCTTCACTGACGAGGGTTATGGCACATTCCTGGTTGTAATATTGAAGTGCGACCTGCATGAAATAACTTGCTCTTAATTAAATGCATATGCATTCATCCGGTGAAAGTGCTTCTACTTAAACCGAATTTACTACTAATTAATAATTAGTATCTGGTCTCCGACCTGCTTAATCTGACCGACGACGTAGAAAATTAGGCCTCCTCGTCTCTTTGTTCTGTAGTGAAGTTTCAGTCCCGTCGCGGTCTCCTGGTCACAGTAGAAACTTGGCGCTAAAACGTTATTATAAACGTTACGCTATTATGCATGCAGTGTAACACACGCGTGTCCAATGGATATTATTATGATAATCATACCTCTCATTTTTGGATAAGAGAATTTCAAATATTCATGAAGATTGTCCAAACCTTGATAAGCAATTTTACTTATTTAGTAAACTATTAAACTGCAACTAAATACATATACTTCACCGGTTTGTGAATATAACATTTTCTAACCGTTTAAAAAGTCACGGAGTTGGCGACCCAAGACGGAGAGGACTTTGTCATACCATTGCGACACATACTGCACGAAATACACGCCCAATCCCTCGAAAAATTCTTGCTCATTCACCGCGAGAATCTAGACCACCACATAAACACCAACTTTTTACTGATGCAGATGCAGATATTTTTACACGAGATAAATATGCAGCATTTGTGTTGAAAATTTACCAGGCATGCACTTTTCGAGAGGCGTTGCAGCAATGTTTCTGAATAAACGTGATGAGTGGAAAAGGCGACGGTGTCAACGCCAGCATGGCGACGCACGGATTCCCACTTTCCACTTCCCCACCGGTCTCGAATAAACTCGGCTAGATTTTCCAAGAGGATTCCGTACATTTTTTCAGAGCAAGTTACAAAGGCGTAGTGGGTGCCCGAGTGAGATGGTGAAAGTCAGAGAAAGTACTGGACAAGGCTAATTTTCCCCATTTTCTCTTTTATACCCAATTCCCAGGCATACATGATTGCAGCCCGCAAGCACACTGGGTAAATATATTATCCTCAATTTCTAACCATGCGTCTTAATTGAATTTGGCAAAACCATTCGATGCAGTGCGCACCTCACTCGCGAAGAGAATTCCATGACTCGACCATTTTGTAATTCACATGGCTTGCACAATAAGTGCGGACCTGCTAATATACAAGAGCACACATTGGCGTATAATTTAATCACAAAGTATCGGGTCCTATTTTTAGATTCAGTGCCAGAATGTTTAAACTTTATTGCTCATTTCCTTCATTAAATATGATGACGTTAGCATTGCTATTTCATTTTATTATTATTACATACACACGTATTTTGACAAGAATGAACCAAAATCAACGCTTTTCTCGTTGACTGCTATAACAAATAGTGTTCTATAACAATACGCATGCCTGACTTATAATTTCCTTTTGTTTAACAGCAAACTCTGCACATCCAATGTCCGTGATGGCTTCGACCGTGACCGTGGTCAGTTTTTTGTCCTTTATTTTGTTCCTGAAATCCCGACTTCCCTTCCGAATCCCGTTTATTCCGTTTATAAATGCATTTGTCGATTGTTGTCCATCTGAAACACGTAAATATTCTGGTGAAACTCAATTGCATGTCAAGCCGGTATTGACGTCATGTGACATGTTTATATGTGCATGGGCAATTACCGTCCGTGTTACCGTTGACTGGAACATCGGTGGGATCCAAGTTATTTACAGAAACTTCTACCGTTTCCTCGCTACCATTTGGCAAAGAAATTGTAATTGAATTTTGTGGAGCTGCTGCTGGTGCTGCTGGTTGGGCTGCTTCATTCGTGTCCTTCCCACTTGGAGGGTTGTTACTCGTTGCAGGAGGAGGTTCCTTGCTGCTGAGGTTCGCCGTTGTGGTGGTGGTGACTACTTTGGGAACACTGGGGGCTTCAGCCACTTGTGGACTTGGGGACGGGGTGGACGAGCGTCTAATTGTGTTTGCTGGCAAGTCCATAGATTTTTGTGGAGGCTGAGGGCTAGACGGTGGTGGGGGCGGCTTGGAAACGGCAGCGGCAGCAGCGGCAGGAAGTGCGGCAGGGGCTTTTGGAGCTGGGGGAGTTTGCTGTTTAACTGGGGAGGGTGGTTTTGCGGGGACTGGTTTGATGGTGGGGGCTGCGGGGGCTGGTGCACTTCCGGGAGGTTTCCCTGCAAATGCTGATTGTGGGGCTGGCTTGACAATATTGGCGCTTGCTTTGGCAGCATCTCCATTCATTTCTACGGGTTCATTAAAGGATGACTTTGGTTCATTCTGGTTGACAGTGGGTGGCTTTGCCTCTAAACTAATCTTATTAAGGGTGGGCTGTCTGACAATTTTTTTTGCCTCCACTGCTGGCTTCTTCGAGCCATCTAACCAGCCAAAAGTCCTAAACTTAAACGTCGTAGAATTTCATTCTTAATTGCACACAATTTTGAAATACCTTTGACTAGTCCGGAGGAGTCCTCGGACGCAACGCTCATCTGTTTCGGGATTCCAGTGGGAACTTTTGTGGGTTCAGCGCTTGCGGCACTGGCTGCGGGCGCTATCCAGTTAAACGATTTTGAGTTTGCCTTGGATAATGGGACTCGAGCTTCTCGTCCCAGCAACCAAAAAGTGTCCATCTCCCCTAAATTTCAACGTCAAAATATTATAGAACGAACGACCCATTGATGTAATATGTGCACATAAAGTGTGGTGATTTCGAGCCGCACCTTTGCCCTTCACAGCCACCGTGCCACGTTTTTCCGTTTGATACGGAGTTGGTAACAGGTTCTTGCAAGCCTCCGAAATCTGAATGCGCCCCCCTTCAGAAGACGACTCCATGCGACTCGCTTAATTCAGTTGCACAAAAACTTATTCATACGACCGATTGAAGAATTTTAGCCTAGTTTGCAAGTTTAGATTTGGTTACCCGTGTTGACAGCATCGCCAAACAAGCACTTAAACATAAAAAATCTATAGATAATGTATTTTGTCGATTTCAATAAATTGCACGATCTCGAACTCACGTAGCGTGGCATTTTCGATCCAACGACTCCAGCTACGACACTTCCACTGTGACATCCAACTGGTTTAATACACTTTTATTAGTCTATTATTCATCAGTCAAGTTGAGTAATTTATGTGGATTGGCCAAATTACCTCGAATTTTTAGAGGTTCTCCATCTAAAATATTTTTGAAATTGTTACGGAAGGTCAAAGCCAAATTCCATACAAATAATTATTTTCGTACCTCGTGATGGGTCACCAATGGCTTGCATGGCATCAACCTGCACAGAATCAATCCCACAAAAACATGGGAGCAAGTAATAGAATCAGAATCATCTTAGGATTTAAGACTTTCGACACTCACCATGTCCATGGCCATGTCCGCGATTCGCTCTGCCTACAAATTTTCAGGCTTATTAAAATATTGTCGGTATGTTAATGTATATTTTGTACAAGGAATGCATACATGCTGTGGCATTGGTTCCGGAGCCCCTGTAAAAATTTGCTAAATTATTGCATTTTTAGCCAGTGGTAAAAAAATATTTGAGATGATTGAGAATTTACTAACCACTCACGACCATGTAACTGAGTTAATTAGAAAAAGTCGACATCAGGAGTTTGCCAAACATGTGTATGTACACATAATTACGTGGATCAACATCTTTAATATGACAAATTAAATATTACCTGTCACCGATAGTTTCAACCTTTCAATAAAATTCTTGTATTACAAACTGTACAGCATGAATATTTTGCATTTTAAGGTTTATTAAATGGCTTACTTTGTAGACGCCACATCCTGAAATGAAAGCAAGCAATTAGGATTTTATGCAGTAAAAGGAATACAGAAAGAATTGGGATTTGATTTGAACATGAAAACATCTTACGATCTGTCAGTTGGTCCTACTCAAAATGAGACAAAAGGGTTCGTTTTCATTATTTTTATCCATTAATTATGTATCTTTATAAACTTACAAACAAGCTGTACATGTGATTCAACATTCCGACAACTTGGATTGGAGTGATTCGAGAACAAATGTCCGTGAAGGTCACGACATCCGAGAACAGAATTGAGACGCATTCAAAGACCTAAAACAAGTGGGTGAAACTGTATCAAAATAATCCGAAAGACTTTATAATCTCCCTGCTTGTCACCTACCTCGCAAGTATCGACGGGATTTGCACCTGGAAAACGAAATGCGACAATATTTATAAGCGTGACCTTAGCATTATTTATTATTGTTAGACTTGTTACCATTTCGAATACGGTCAGCAACCTTGTGCGGTATCATCTGGTAAAGCAACTCGTCCGTACGTTTCATTTCAATGTCTTTAAGAGAAAGCAATTTACATAGGATTGATACACATTTGATTATTTATGCTACAATCGATTATCCTGTTGATACCCAGTTGCTTCATGGAGTCTTCCAGCCTAAGCGATTTGTGCTTTTCTATTTAAAAGAGTGGAACAAATTATTGAATTATAAATAATTCACCATATTCGATAATTTTTACCTTGTTCGAGTGCTAATTTAAGTTCGACGGACTGTTGAGTTCCAGCCAACACTATTGTAATTTTTAGAAAATAGTTATGTATAAACTGTTATAAAATTCAGGAGGGAGGTTTTCTATGTACCCAAATCTCTGCTGCAGTCGTGCAACGAGAGATCATTGATGAACAGTCCAGCGTGGACCAAACTGTAAAAACATTTTCATCAATTTTTGATTTCTGCCCATTTGAATTTGACAGAAAAACGCAATGTGCACCTGTCGATGTCCGGCATCACGGGATTTGCGAGGCTGCACATATACCATGTAAATTATGTAAATGTAAACTTAATATTTATGAAATAGGCAGAAATCTAATTATTCTTTACAAGATCATCATGTCCCACTCTTCCATCAACATCATTTGGCCTTTGTAAATGAGTTTAGAGAAACTTCATTAAAATATTTAGAAGGATCGCCTCCTACAAAAATTGTACAAGTATTTACCTCGAAGCCGTAGTGAAGTTCCAGTCTCATCTTCGGAGTCATTATCAAAGCTTCCAGTAAGAGCTTCGTCGTCCTTGATCGGAGCCACCTGCCAGACATACATACGCCCGTAAATTTAAGCAATTAGAATTCTAAATAAATGATGTACGGAGTGGCATGAAAATATATTTTGTACCGTGATCAGCTCGAAAATATTATTTCGTCGCTCCAATATCTATATCCAGACAATTTTTTTAACACCTTGATGGTCGAGTTAACAATGCAAAGCTTGCCGGCTTACATTGGAAAAGCTGAATGTAATCAGCGGCTTGACAATTTCAAACGCCTCGGTCATCACTTGTCCCACAAGATCTTTCAGAATGATGAGCAAAGCATGACCCGTGAACTTTATCGTCATTTCCTGCCTAATTAACAATGAATATCTCGAAATTGAAAGTTGTCTTTAAAAAATGAATATGTAACACTACTCACGTGAAGACGATTGAAAATGGAAATAATTCAAAGATCAGAGAAGCACGGATTGGCAATTGTTGTTCCTTACGAATCATGCTTTTCAAAGACTCGGCCTAAATTGTTGGTTGCATTGTTTATTTTATTCATTCCTTTTGCATAAATGTGACACTGTTTACCTCAGAAAACGCCTGGTTAGAAAAAAAACATGCACAATTCAGAATTTCACTTTGCTTGATAGATGCACATAGCACAACCACTTTGATATTGACTGCACCCTTACCTCGTTGTCAAACGTCAATTGGAAAATTGTATGCATTGTGTCACCTGCAAGAAGAACGCTAATAAGTAAACCAATTTTAGTCCTATGCGAATGCACGCTCCTCTCACCATCGAGCACTTCACTCAAAACTTCGATTTCGACGTCTTGATTGTAAAAATGCTTTGCAACCTAAATGAGAGGAAATCCAGAATGAACAATTACTGACATGCCAGCGGGTACATATGTATTAAGCGAAAGGGCTATTAGACAGATTCAGCTCAAAATAAATTGCCTGTTTAATCTGCCCCATGACGTAGTAGACAAATCCTCGTCGCCGACTTCGGTAGTGAAGTCGCAAGCCTTGAGCCGACTCTTCGTCGCAGTAGAACGATGGCTAAAATCATTTGAATCAGAGAGTGCAATAAATATTTTGCAAAGTTTGCCCATTTGTTGCTTACAGCTCTCATTTTGGTGTAAGAGAACTTGAGATACTCGTGAAGATTGTCCAGCCCATTCAGAAAGTCTCGCATGTGGCGACCAAGAACAGTGAGCATAGCATCGTAACCTATGTAAAACAAGACCAATTTGAGTCTCACCTGCCCGAATTAGCGTCGCATTTAATTCTGATCACCATAATTGCCAACAAACTCGACAAAATAAATGCCCATGGCTTCAAAGAAACTTTTGTCGTCCACGCCCAAAACCTTTTCGCCAGAATTATTAGAAACAGTTCAATGGCAAAATTAGAAGTAAGAATTTGTTTACCTGAAATGCGCTCCGAGCAAGTTTATTAAGTAGCGTCTCTGGATAAGCATGATGTATACTGCGCATTCAAATCGTCATATATTTTATGAATGCAAATATGGCTTTTAGCAAACTTTCTCTCGAACCTAAAAGACGGGGCATCAATCCCTGCATTTTTTCGAACCATGTCCCATTTTCCTTTACATTACACATGCAATTAGAGATAGTCCACAACTTTAATAATGATCAAATTACTACCTTCCCCCCACTGAATCCTAATGAAGGATGCCAAATTTTCAATAAGAAGCCCGTACATCTTGGATGGATCACTTTATGGCACACACTTTTTCTCACAATGGTTAAACTTTTGCTTCTGAGGAGTTTACATGTACCGGCGGAATTACCGAATGGACCATTTCTACGCAAAATGCGCCTTTATAAAAGCTCTGCGCCCAAATCGATCATATGCGTTACGGAATAAATATGGCGAAACTTAATAAGCGAACAATATCCTCCCCTCCTCCTGCCCAGTGCAATCGTGGTTCATTCAGCATGACACTTAACAATCAATCAATATTTATGCCAAAACATTGGGTCGTGAATGGGCTTTGGGCATGTTTAGCACAATTTTCATCCGTCTTAATGTACGAGCAGTGATGGATTTAACAATTATCCACCCAAGATTCGGAGCAATTACTTTAATTTGACGGATACGTGCTGTCACGTCGTGTGCCCCACTGCACTCAGGCAGCTTTTTTGCCATTCATCTCGGCCTATTTTTAAAAAGCGTATGAATGTGTATACTCATACTCTCATTTTCTAATATATTTAGGAATTTTCTTGTCCGATTTGTAATGAGATTTCTATTTTTGATTCTACGTTTCCAAGAATAGCCTTACACAAAATAATTCATAAATCATGTTTTATTCATGTGTGCTGTATGTACAACGCGTCATAAACGAATCCAATAATAGCTAAAGAAAAACCTCAAGGACTATATTGTATTGTAGTCAATGGTTCTTTAATCCCAACTTTAAGATACATGCATGATAAGCGCAATAAGAAGAATGGCATTAATTACTCGCTACACTATATTATTCTTATGTAGTCTTAAACATATATTACATATGTACATACGGACATTTATAAAAAACAGGATATGTACAGGTTAAGAGCAATATTTTTAAAAACACTAAAACTTCTAATATTTTACTATACGTTTAAACGGATACAAATAGCAAATAAGGAGGAAACTAGGAGTGGGAACATGTCATAATTAAAACTAGATGACGATCCCCTGTTTTTGGTAACACTTTGAGATTTAAATTTAGACTCATTGCTGGTATCAATTTCATTATCTGCGTTGGATTCTGGTTCTGGTTCCGGTTCTGCGGCTGCTGATTCTTCGCTGGGCGGCTGGTCAGACTGGACGTTCGAATCTTGGTCCTCGTGTTTTTTTTCTTCATGGTTTTGGGCCAGATCCAATTCTACAAAGATTTACGTAATTTGAGTAAAATCAAATTGTGATTTTATCGCTTGTATAATTATTAGTTGCAGCGATGATAACAATCAACATTAGTTATCAGTCATTCCAAAATGCAATAATATTTGTAAATTTTAAAAAAGCCTTTCCGCACATTGTTATCTTTGTACCCAAACAAAGGTTAAGTACAGGCAATTAGTAACCTTCTATAAATGTAGATAATTGCATCCATGTTGTGTGAGTTAAGCAAGATGCAGTCATATTAACTCCATGCAATCCTGTCAATTTTTTGGCTTGCGTGAGCATTTATGTATGTATTCACATATTTTTATGTCGTTCCATTCCACGTAGTTTGTGATCTTGGTCTTGACTCGATTAAAAAGGATGTGATGTGATCACGACTATTAAATTCTTCTCGTTATGAAACATCTCTTAGCAAAACGAGTTGTATAGCATTACTAAATTGCTGCAGCTTATGAAAAACATGCGTCGGAATTATATGCATGCCTCGATCATTAATTAAATTCTGATAAATACAAATTGTCACAAATTGTGCATGAATGTAAACTTGTTTTAATGGTGCCACATATCGCTTGGTTTCGTCAAAATGTAGCTATTTTGAAGTGCAATGTGTGATATATGACTTTTTTTTACCCTTGATGACGGGCTTCTCGTCCTCCTCGGACAGCTTCTTGAGATCTTGTTTAAGTTTATCAATTGCACCATCATCAACAATCATCCTCTGCAAGAGAACAAAAAATAAGCTTTTGTTATGTTCCGAATTAAGGAAAACAATTCCAGTTCGTTCCAATCCATCCCTTTTGTGCCATTCTCGTGGATATTTTCGCTGCACTCAAGGTGACATTGGCATTTCTCAGTAAAAGCACTCTGCTCGGCTGCATTTTGCTAATCATCTACATACGTCGCGATAAATGGCAAATGGAAGGGGGTTAACTTACCCGTTCAGTGATGAAAACAGGGACAATCATGAAAGTCGTGTTGCGAAATAATTCCACATTGTCCAACGGTCGAAGTTTGACATTGAACTGGAATTTTCTCACTCCGGACACAATCGTTCCTGTCGTCTACGTAGAAAAATAATAAAAAAAGGACAAATAAAAACTCCAACTTTATGAAAACTCATTAAAGCAATGAATTCTCACGGGTTCGACTAAAAACTCTGACTCGTGTTTTTCAGGGCGAGGTTTCATTCCAACCAATTTTTCCCGATACTCGTCGTCAGCATAAAGAAAATGTGGATATGACACCAATAATGGAGATTCTGTAACATGCAAATTAAGCTTTTTTAGTCGTGATCATTACATTAATTGCAGAAAACTTGCTAAATCTTAGGAGAACGCTGTAATAATTTCGATATTCATTTGTTAATAAATAATGTCAGCTCGTGCAGGAATTCAAATGTCAAAAATGCTCATAAAAAATAAAGATTTAAACAAAGTGACAAAAAAATCACGTCAAAATTACGCCATTCGATTGTTATTATTATTGACAAGAAATAATACTTGTCTTTATAATGCCTCATGCAATGCAATAACAGTATTATTATTGCGTGCATTGCAAAAAATCTAGAAGACGTTGGTCGTGAGTGAAACAACACGGATTTTTTTTATAATTCCCCATTTCTACATACTTATCCCCAAAAAAGTACATTTGGATGATTAGTCGTAATGAAGAAATGGTGCAATAAGATGATTGGAAAGGTTCCAGTTCCGCACGGAATAATATTCTCTCTCTAATGGATGACTATTAATAAGTAAGAATCGATATGCGTGTGTACCTTGTTTGCAACCGGCGTAGTCAACAAAGCCCTTTTTTAAGCATCCTTCCCTGGTATTGTTCGTTGGTGCGATGGGTTTGGAACAAAAGCACTGGTTTTCACTCTTCACCTCCGAGTCTTCCAACATGTCCTCAGGAAACATGAATTTGCCCACTTTGATCCCATCCACCTTTTTCTCCCCCGTCCACTTGAGGTACACGGAGCGACAGAGTTCGGGATAGAATATTTTCAAAGTCGACTTTTCATTGACTCCAGGCCTGAAAAAGTAGCCGTCCGTGCCATCAATTTTGTTACAAAAGTCGCCACCCCAGTATTCCAACTTGGTTTTATTGTTGAATGTCAGAATGTCGCCCATTTCCTTCCCTTTGGACCGCACAGTGAAGGTGCCCTCGGAGGACCCATTTTTCTAGTTGAAAAATCGTAATTCCCATAATTAGCTGGGCTGTATATAGTTATTATTATCGAGAAATGAATTATTAGAAAAACGCACCCCTTTCAAGAGGGCGAAGATGCCGTCAGAAAATTCTGGGGGCACATTTCCTTGAAGAACGTCCGAGAGTATTTCCGTATAGATGCTGACATTCATTCCGTAGTAGATGATGTTCCCAAGCTCTTCGCTTCGACGGACCAAGGTCTCTCCTTTCTCGGACAATTCCTCCACTAAAATATCGTTGAATGCTTTCGGGAGGCGTTTAGCGGACAATTTATTTGCCAAGATCTGGTATTCAGAAATATTTAAAAATGACCAGATGCGCTGTTTTTTGTAGTCAAATTTATGCAATGTGCATCTTCTAAGTAAATGAGAATAATGAGGGCGGTATGCATGCACTACTCACAATCATCGGGATGTTAATAATGTTGAACTCGTCGGTTTCCTTGTGCCCTTCAGACAGTTCAGGTACGAATTCCCAATATCGATCCAGATTGTAACTCATCGCGGATTCTGAGATCTTCTTCACGTCATATTTTCGCCTCGTTTCCCTACAAAAAGAGCAAAAAGTCTCAAAATCTCATCTCCCTCAGTCATGGTTTGTTAACCGTCATCACTGCATTGCACACACCGTCAGACACTGTGCAAAACCTGAATAATGATGATAATGGGACAAATTATTTAACTTTAGTGCAAAAAGCTACCTTTTACACAATCTACATATTTCGAAGTATATAACATCGAATTAGGCCTTTATTTTGCCATGCTGCGAATTTATAAATTCATAAACCGAACATATCATGTAATTGTACACATTACGTATACAATCGAATTAACATTTAAAAGTCATCCCATAAAAATATCGATAATAAGGAGTAAAAGAGGCAAAACAATTAAAGTTACTGGTTCGTTTGGTGATTACTCTTGAATTTCCACAACGAGACGAGAGATTCATTAGTGGAGGAACGCACCTTTGTTTGTCTGACCCTTAACCCAATGGTTTTGCAAGGAGATCTAGCACTAGTTCATGGTGACATTCTGCGCATAGATTCGTATGCCCTAATTTTTTTTTTCTTTTTTACAAGCACGGCTGTGCTATCTCTATTTTTTGCATACTTCCTGCATTGCATTGGCCGCTGTCAAAATAACATGCGAAACTTGATTGTTGTGCACCACGTGCATTGTACAAAGTGCAAACAAGTTGGTAATCAGTGTGGACATGCAATTCATTTTGTCGAAGCACATCATGCACGGAATACGTAAATTGCATAACCTTGCCTCAATGTGTGTAAAATAATGTGTATACATGTGACACAATAAAACATCACCAGCAGCAATTTTAATAGTAAAATCGTGCAAAATGGAAACTGGATGGATTTGAAAGCTATTCTGGTCATTTTGCAACAAATATTTCACGTAACACAAAAATATGAAAATTCGTACATGTAAACTGCACCTTCCTTAATACTTTCATTAGCAAATAAATAATGAGTGGGGTTAAAACTCGACAGAGAGCTCGGCTCAATAATTCTTTCGAATTGATTGAGATGCGAGATGATAGCCGTTTTCGCAGCGTTATTACTTTCACTAACCCAATTTCAATGCATCATTATTGCACATTCCTTCCTATACGCAAGATGCATATGAAGCAAGCAGATTGATGCAAATTATTTCAATTCATTTTTTCTTCATTTTGATGCTAACAACGTAACAGCTATATTCATGCAGGCGCTGCAGGTAACGAGTGTATCCACTTTTTTCCTAACGCTATTTTCGCAACTGGCATTCTTTCTATTAATTTCCGTGTAGCGTCTCTTAGAAAATAAACTTGCAGATAAGTCAGTTGTGTCAATACTGTCACTGCTGATAACAAATCTGGCCCTAAAATAGAGATGTCATATCCATCCATCTTCCCATTCCGATTAAATCAACGTTAAGTCACTTAATTAAGAAATCATTTTCCCATCTTCTCAACACGATGAGACGCGGTTTTGGGTGCAGACATGTTATTAGAAATAAAGGTAAATACGTGTTAGTGCATGGCTATCCTGCATTTTCAAAAGAAGTGAAAAGATTTGTAGGCAATTGGTCGTCCGTTATTTGCAAGCGGTTGGATTTCGCTTGTCACTCTCAAATGATCAGAGAACAAATTAAAAAGTTAAAAATATCCATTAAGGAGAGAAATTGATTGCATATGTGCGAGTGTGCGTACGGTGCGTATTCGTACGATGTTGATGTGTGAACTAGGGCATGTAATCTCGATATTTCGAGATCTCGAAATATCGATATTTCGATACTGGAATATCGAATTTTCAATATCGAAATATCGAAATTTCGATATTTCAATATCGAATTTTTACTTTGTCACTAAATACTCCCCACAGTTCTTATACATAAATGAATTTTTAACCTCATGACAACCCACAAGTTTTCAAAATTTACTTTTGCCTTTGTTACACCCTACCCTCCAAATTTCCAAAAACGCATTTTGAGTTGGTTACACCCCTAAATTTTCGAAAATTGACTTTTGACTTAGTTCCACAAACAAAAATTTAAAAAATTGAAATATGTTGGATACACCCATGAAGTTCCCATAGTGGGAATTTGAATTGGTTACACCCCCCAAAGTTCCCAAAACCGAATTTTTACTTGGTTACACCCCCAAAGTTCCCAAAACTGAATTTTTACTTAGTTACACCCCCAAAGTTCCCAAAACTGAATTTTTACTTAGTTACACCCCCAAAGTTCCCAAAACTGAATTTTTACTTGGTTACACCCCCAAAGTTCCCAAAAATGAATTTTGACTTGGTTACACCCCCAAAGTTCCCAAAACTGAATTTTTACTTAGTTACACCCCCAAAGTTCACAAAACTGAATTTTGACTTGGTTACACCCCCAAAGTTCCCAAAACTGAATTTTGACTTGGTTACACCCCCAAAGTTCCCAAAACTGAATTTTTACTTAGTTACACCCCCAAAGTTCACAAAACTGAATTTTGACTTGGTTACACCCCCAAAGTTCCCAAAACTGAATTTTGACTTGGTTACACCCCCAAAGTTCCCAAAACTGAATTTTGACTTGGTTACACCCCCAAAGTTCCCAAAACTGAATTTTGACTTGGTTAAACCCCCAAAGTTCCCAAAAATGAATTTTGACTTGGTTACACCCCCAAAGTTCCCAAAACTGAATTTTTACTTAGTTACACCCCCAAAGTTCCCAAAACTGAATTTTTACTTGGTTACACCCCCAAAGTTCCCAAAAATGAATTTTGACTTGGTTACACCCCCAAAGTTCCCAAAACTGAATTTTTACTTAGTTACACCCCCAAAGTTCACAAAACTGAATTTTGACTTGGTTACACCCCCAAAGTTCCCAAAACTGAATTTTGACTTGGTTACACCCCCAAAGTTCCCAAAACTGAATTTTGACTTGGTTAAACCCCCAAAGTTCCCAAAAATGAATTTTGACTTGGTTACACCCCCAAAGTTCCCAAAACTGAATTTTTACTTAGTTACACCCCCAAAGTTCCCAAAACTGAATTTTTACTTAGTTACACCCCCAAAGTTCCCAAAACTGAATTTTTACTTGGTTACACCCCCAAAGTTCCCAAAAATGAATTTTGACTTGGTTACACCCCCAAAGTTCACAAAACTGAATTTTGACTTGGTTACACCCCCAAAGTTCCCAAAAATGAATTTTGACTTGGTTACACCCCCAAAGTTCACAAAACTGAATTTTGACTTGGTTACACCCCCAAAGTTCCCAAAACTGAATTTTGACTTGGTTACACCCCCAAAGTTCCCAAAAATGAATTTTGACTTGGTTACACCCCCAAAGTTCCCAAAACTGAATTTTTACTTAGTTACACCCCCAAAGTTCCCAAAACTGAATTTTTACTTAGTTACACCCCCAAAGTTCCCAAAACTGAATTTTTACTTGGTTACACCCCCAAAGTTCCCAAAATGAATTTTGACTTGGTTACACCCCCAAAGTTCCCAAAACTGAATTTTTACTTAGTTACACCCCCAAAGTTCCCAAAACTGAATTTTTACTTGGTTACACCCCCAAAGTTCCCAAAAATGAATTTTGACTTGGTTACACCCCCAAAGTTCACAAAACTGAATTTTGACTTGGTTACACCCCCAAAGTTCCCAAAACTGAATTTTGACTTGGTTACACCCCCAAAGTTCCCAAAACCGAATTTTTACTTGGTTACACCCCCAAAGTTCCCAAAACTGAATTTTTACTTAGTTACACCCCCAAAGTTCCCAAAACTGAATTTTTACTTAGTTACACCCCCAAAGTTCCCAAAACTGAATTTTTACTTGGTTACACCCCCAAAGTTCCCAAAATGAATTTTGACTTGGTTACACCCCCAAAGTTCCCAAAACTGAATTTTGACTTGGTTACACCCCCAAAGTTCCCAAAAATGAATTTTGACTTGGTTACACCCCCAAAGTTCCCAAAACTGAATTTTTACTTAGTTACACCCCCAAAGTTCCCAAAACTGAATTTTTACTTAGTTACACCCCCAAAGTTCCCAAAACTGAATTTTTACTTGGTTACACCCCCAAAGTTCCCAAAATGAATTTTGACTTGGTTACACCCCCAAAGTTCCCAAAACTGAATTTTTACTTAGTTACACCCCCAAAGTTCACAAAACTGAATTTTGACTTGGTTACACCCCCAAAGTTCCCAAAACTGAATTTTGACTTGGTTACACCCCCAAAGTTCCCAAAAATGAATTTTGACTTGGTTACACCCCCAAAGTTCCCAAAACTGAATTTTTACTTAGTTACACCCCCAAAGTTCACAAAACTGAATTTTGACTTGGTTACACCCCCAAAGTTCCCAAAACTGAATTTTGACTTGGTTACACCCCCAAAGTTCCCAAAAATGAATTTTGACTTGGTTACACCCCCAAAGTTCCCAAAACTGAATTTTGACTTAGTTACACCCCCAAAGTTCCCAAAACTGAATTTTGACTTGGTTACACCCCCAAAGTTCCCAAAACTGAATTTTGACTTGGTTACACCCCCAAAGTTCACAAAACTGAATTTTGACTTGGTTACACCCCCAAAGTTCCCAAAAATGAATTTTGACTTGGTTACACCCCCAAAGTTCCCAAAACTGAATTTTTACTTAGTTACACCCCCAAAGTTCACAAAACTGAATTTTGACTTGGTTACACCCCCAAAGTTCCCAAAAATGAATTTTGACTTGGTTACACCCCCAAAGTTCCCAAAAATGAATTTTGACTTGGTTACACCCCCAAAGTTCCCAAAACTGAATTTTGACTTGGTTACACCCCCAAAGTTCCCAAAACTGAATTTTGACTTGGTTACACCCCTAAAGTTCCCAAAACTGAATTTTGACTTGGTTACACCCCTAAAGTTCCCAAAACCGAATTTTTACTTGGTTACACCCCCAAAGTTCCCAAAACTGAGTTTTTACTTGGTTACACCCCAAAGTTCCCAAAATTGAATCTAGAATTGGTTAACCTCCAAAGTTCCCAATATTGATTTTTCCTGGTTACACCCACAAAGTTTTTAAAACTGATCTTTGGCTTAGTTACACCCGCAGAGTTCCCAAAATTGAATTCTTGGCACACCCGAAAGGATATAATTAATTAAAGTAATTCATAAATTGCAGGATTCCTATTTCGATATTTCGATATTCAAATATCGAAATATCGAAATATCGAAATATCGAAAACGATATGGATATTACATGCCCTAGTGTGAACCTACCACCGTCATTAGTTTATGATGCGTGCATAAAAGCTCAAATTAAGAATAGGATTATAGAGATTTGGGCGTGAATTTGTGTTTTTCATGTGTTTTTCTTTCATATCGTACTTATTTACAAGTTCCTTTAAGTAGAAATGGTTGCATACAATGTGCTTTGTTGTAACTCTTGCAAACAGCGTATACATATCCGTATTCAATTCATACACATTGTTTTAATTGGTAAAAAGTATGAATATTTACTGCATATCTTTGGAGGAATAAATAAAAGCTGTAAGCCTTACTTGAAGCAGTAGGGTCCAATTTCTTGAAACATGGGTTTTTCCAATCCAGCCTCAAATTCGTCAGGATTGGTAATGTTGTACATGTAGTAGAAAATATGATTTCCTTGAAAAGTCTCCTTTCCAGGAATGAGATCCAAGTGCGGCTCATAGCTCGACCGACCCTGTCACATTGTTTTGCGAATATTTAATGCGAAGGAACGCAAACTTATTGATACAGTTCAGCCCATTGTTGGATTATACGTGTGCTTACCGTGTGATGCCTACTGGACGCGGATGACACAAACGTTAACATGCACATAAACAATGGCACAAACATCAAAGATTTATTGCCGGCCATAATTTTACCACTTCAAAACAGTTTTCTGTGAGTTTTCTTACTGTCACGAAATACACTACGCCAGCAACATAAATTTCTCGACCGTTGATTCTCAATAGCTTTCCACTTTAATTTTGAGCACTATTTGGTCCAACTGTGCTTACACATTGCTTCAAGGCATATTCCGTCGCACAATGCGTCGAATCTATTAATATCTGCGTATCTTAATACACAGCAGTTGTACAAGTATTATAAATCGCTGCCTACTTTGTGTTGTTGTCGTTGCTTGGAAGGAATAACGCCCCTCACACTGCTTTTAAAATATGCAAACGACGTATCGAAGACGGGACAGTTTGGAGATATGATAGAAGCACAAAGGATACGCTGTCCGTTCAGTTTTTGCTAAGACTCATATTAGCTTTAAGCACTGCTATTAATTCTTCTTGACGAACAATCGATTGATCACAACTCACTTTCTCAAATTTGTTGAGACTGCTGCAGCCCAACTTTTTCTAATGATTCGATTTTTATTCTGTGCCAATGTCCAGTTAAGTGTGTGACAGTGAATCAGCCTCTTACTGGTCCCACGCACAAACTGCGACTACGAGACGACTTGCAGATTTAACACCTATTCATTGTCCAAATGGACAGCGATGGTATGATAGATTGGCAATATTAGCAGCATGGTGAATGGACGTACTTAGTCAGTGGCATACGTAACAATACGCACACGTACATGAGTGCATATACCAAAATAATGGTCAAATGTTAATAAAGCCATTACCAAAATAACTACCATATCAAATTATTCATTGAATGTGGAATAAATCTTTGTTAAACTGATAGCATCTTGTGTGCAACAATGGAAGGGTAGTTCAACTCCCATGCAGCAGCAGCATCAGGTAGAAATACACAATGCTGTATCTATTCGCGTGGGTTTGACTTCGCATAAGAATTACGGAAGGTAAAGGTGAGCGAATTGTTTGTTTACTTCTTATTACGATACTTTATTATCAATTTAGTCAAAAAACGGCATGCATGAGAGGTGCGAGTTGCTCAATTGTGACGATGCACGTTGTACGTATTGTACTTCATCAATAGCACTTGACTCATGGCTTGACTTGACTTTGGCGTATTATGCATGTCGCGGTCAAAAGGTGGGCCAAAGGCTGCAAAATATTTGCAATCGGCATGCAGCCTCCTGTCTGCGAACCCTTAATGTTATCTGTAATCGAGAAACTTTGGCCAACAAAATCCAGTCGAGCGAAACCTAATTTTGCGCTTAATTATAAAAATCAAACAAATTTCAAGATCATCCGTTTTCTTTCTGTTGGTACATATGTAATTAACATTTCGTTCAGAAATGATTGACGGACCAAACCAAACCAATTTTATTGCAGTTAACCAACTGCAACAAAAATGTGTGTGCAGTGCAAAAGCTAAACTTGAAATGCAATTTGATTTATTTACTAAACGCGTTGCATCAACATCCAAACAAAAGATCAAGTTGAATTGCATAAAGCTGTCAACGGCTGGTGGTGGTTGTGGTTTGATTTTTTATGGTTGCACCAAGTTGCAAAATTGCCTAGTTTAGCAACTTGTATCGACTTTGAATAAAATGCAAGTGACATAATTTGTCTATTTGCAACTCAAAATATTCTAATGGTTATGTTTACAAATTTCTTGAAATTTTTAACAACTTTGATATTACTTTGCAAAATTATTTATTAGATTTTCTTATATTTTACTTTTGTAGTGTACATCCAAAGTATTATGAGATGATTTTGTACAGGTCTCCCCTCTCTGAGAGGTCGTTCGGAATCCGATACTCTGGGTTATCTGAATTTTATGGTATCCAAGTAACGAGGTTTCTAAAGGGTTTCATTTATAAATCTCATTTCATTTCATGTGAAATAATTTGTCTGAATTTCATTTCGGTGCATATCTGAGTGCATATTCCTGTGATACGAAAATCGCTCACCAAAAGTCGTCAGACATGGCCGAGTTCTTCAATGGGATGGAAACTTATGTGGAGGAAACCAGGATTTTTGAAGTATTTGCAATTAGTAAGGCAGAACTGTGCAATCCTTTGCGTACTAATTGTTGAACTTGTAGGCTCAACCTCGCGTACTGGACTTTGACTTGGTGCCCATTTATGAGACAAAGACGAAATGGTTTCGCGTATCTAACCGAGCAGAGACCTACATGGAGGCGGAACTCATTGTACGCTACAATCAACCTCTGACACATTAGTTGTACTGCAGTAGATGTTAAATGCACACATGTCATGGGGCCTGACTAAATAATTGCAGGTGTGCCACGAGCAGTGGCTCAGAGATTTCCCACACTTGGTAAAAATCAGTCCGAACGTTCTGAAACTCCAGCCAAACGAGTCCGTAATGGTGAGTTCTACTACTCTTAGCGAGCTTGCTATTTATAAGACTAACCAATTTCCTGGTTGTGGCAGATTTCCGTATCCGTTCGCCCAACCAGAGCAAACATCCAGAATTTCTTTGTCATATACGAACCAATTTTCAATGGGGAAGTGGTGGACACGGTGCTGGACGGCGGTGGGGGTTATGGCATCGAGGTTCACGACAACGATATCCACAGCAAGCACCTGATTGATGTCACCTTCGTTGGGGATCATGCAATTTTTGAAGTGTGTAACATAGCTAAATACATAGCTTTTTGTCATCGAATGATGCATATTGGTTGTATGATACTCATGAATTTCAGGTGACGGACGTTCTGTTCGTAGCAAAGCATCCCGTTTGGAACGCTCAACAATGTCGACACATGTTTTCAATGGACCTGTAATACTCGTAATTTATACGCATTCTTTCAGTGATTGAACGTGTATTTACAATTTTGTGTAGTGAAGGTTGAACCAGTGCTTGAACCCGTACAGCCACACGGCAGGTGACGACGGCAGAGTTCCACTGCCTCCGATTGTCCAATTCCGATTTCCTCCAGCCACCGTGGGGTCAGAGACCTCGGTTTTCCAAGTCCAACTAAATAACTCCATGGACCTTAAGGGCACTTGGGAGATTTTTACAGCCCCGCCTCTCAACTGGCACAAACTACTGCAGAACAAACGCAAACGTCACAAAAGCCTGAGTTCGAGACTGATCATAAGTAATGAGGGGCGTGTAAAAGATAGTCCCGAGCTATTGGCAGCGCTGTGGGCTCGGAAATTTGGATTCAGCCGAAAAACGGATTGCAGCAAGAACCGGTATCGCTCCAAAACGAATAAAGAAGAAATTGACAAGAAGCAAAAGTGCGAAATCAATGCGAAACTGGATGCGGAGCTGTTTAAGATTTCTCCCCTCCGTGGAAGTCTGAGTGGAAAAGAGACCAAGACAATCACATTCAAATACAGCTTCGAACGGGCAGGTCATCACCAGATGAGCGTCTTGCTCCGTGTTTACCCTGGTAATTATGACATCTATTCAATCAATCTTATTGGAGGTACATAAACATAACTTCAATATTTTCCAGCAATCTACGTCTGGATTGACCTCACCTCGCAAACGTTGGATGTTGACGAACCGTTTATTCAACTAATGGAACACCGCGTCATGAAATTTAAGCCCATTTCCGTTGAAGACTTGGACCCTCCTATTCAGGTCAGTAGTCACAACTACACATGTACACAAATACATGAATGTACCACATATGTAGCATTCCAATTTTATTTTTAAATTTATATATACAATAAAATCTAGATGTTGTGGGCGTACAATGGTGGTAACATTCCTGCTGGATTCAGGTAGTTAAAACGCATATGTAATTAAAAACTAATAAATAAATAAATAAAATGAGCCAATAAATAATTTATAAATCTTTAAATCGAGCATGCCTCAAGTGAAACTGGCTGAAAGCTCCAAGCAGACGGACTGAATATTTATTGTTTTTTACAGTGTGGACATGGAACCTTTTCATAAATTGAAAAAGGAGAATTTTGACCACGCAGCCATCGAATGTTTGACATCAAGCGGCATTGTCCCACCGAGATCATGGTTCCCAATTAAACTTAGATTTTCTCCTCTCGAGTTCACCGACTACTCCGTAAGCACATTACAAGAACAAAAAAAATATTAGAAGGGTATTGAGGAAAATGCTCGTAATTGGCGCTGGTGTCATCAACAGGTTCCACTCCGCGTGCATCCAGAGTTTTCTGAAAAGCCGATGGAAGTTGTCCTCAAAGGGAGCGCCTTGTTCGCGACGGCCACACGCTTGCGACCGGATGCTGCCATGTCCAAGTTAAAATCCTTCGCAATGACGGACGCCGTTCCGGTGACTCTGTCCCCCACACAAATATCCTTCCCACATTTCGTTCCTACGAGCCAAAAAGCAACAAGGTTTCTTCACATCGGGAAATACAAATTCTAAGCGATACACGGAAAAATAATTGCTTAACTAAACAGACAAATATTGCTATTTTTTATTTTCAGTTGTATTTTTCTTACTAATTTGCATGCCACTCATTACATGTCGTTCCGTTGGCCGGTTGTTCCAATTGAAGGGGGAGGAACCATTAGATTTCAGCCGGAAACTGGCAAAATCGCACCCAGCGTAAGAATGCTTTCTTGTAGTAAGAGCTCGAGAAATTTCACTAACTTGAACTTACTTTTGTAGGGGAGTGTCACGTGTCTCGTCATCGTTCATGCTGGAAAGGTTCCAGTCACTTTCTCCACCATGATTCGATGCATGCTTGAAGATGAGGACGACAAATCCAATTACAATTTCGAATTTAACCAGTGGAAAATTAAGACCGAGTTCATCGACACGTCGAAACCACGAGGAACACGACGACACCCACCGGTATGGTCAAGTAGTCCTTCATTGTTCTTACGGACAATTTGGCTTTGTCTTTTTAGCAACTTTATCATTGTTGCGACTACTTGTGACCGTATAATTCAAGGTTATCCCACAACAACCTACTCCTCCAGACCCATTTAGCTGTCTTTTGGCTGTGTCCGTATATATTGGAACAGTTTTCGGACTTTATGACATCATAACGCCAAAGTAAAAGTGCATTCACAACTCATCCTCAGTTGTTAAATTCAATTTAATTATGTAAGCTGAATTGAATTGAAAACCGTTTTCTGTTCAAAATTCCAGAGAACGATCCCGAATGCCACACGTGGATCCAGTCGCTGCAAATCTGTCAATTCCTTCCAACCCAGATTTAGCGTCGGGTCTCATACTTTCAATGTTTGAGCGTGACATGTGCGAAGAAATCATCTCCAATCTTATGCTGTGCGTACCTCCTTCTATTTCTAAGCGATACTTTAAAAAGTAAAATATTTCGTCCATGTGTAACTTTTGACTTTGCCGATCCACGCAGAGACATTGTGACAAGTCCAGGATTCGAGTCCAGCGTTCGCATATTGACCAAGCGTCAACCACCGCTTTACGAAGAGTACAAGGAGAGGTGGGATCAAGAATCGTCACCCAACGACACTGCCGCCGCCACGACCGTGAGCGAAGCACCCGAACTCCACCAACAAGCAGTCGAGGAAATCCTGGAAGCTGCCGTTTTTAACCTGATTCAAGAATTGAACTCCAACTACGTGGATCCCGAGACACGAGACAAATGGCATGACCTCACGCCCGTTCAACCCACCGCGTTTGTCAACGTCAACGAAAATAAGGAGTGCTTTTAGACATAAATGAATTTACATTTCCGTGAAACCGTATTAATGAATAATTTTCTCCCAGTTTATGCACCACGACTAGAAAGTTCTTCAACACGTGTAAAAAAATCCACATTTGATCTCGACAAATTCTGAGTTCAACTTCATTTTCGAACAGACAATGGTATTTACTTGGCGCAATATGTGTATGTACGAGTATTGAGTATTTCACATAAGCAGCTCCGACGTAAATTTCCGATATTGATATCAGAAGTAGATAGGCAGTTATATTTAGTTGAGAAGTGTGCATTTCTTGGAAATATTTTTTTCTTCTTCTTCTTCTTCTCGAGTAATGTGCTATTGAATCATAAAGAAAATATATGTATGCGATCCAGCTACAACAATAATCTCCTCGTGCACCTTAGGCAGGCTCCTAAATTGAATTGCAACTGAAAAAGATGAGCTTTCTTCTTTTATATTTTTTCAAATCTCGTCTCGCCCTCGCTCAAACCTGAGCCAGATAACATGTCTCCTGAATTTCCAAGTGAAAGCACACTCGAACAACATAAAATAGCACTTCCATCTCAGGAAACATTAAGGAATCGCAACTCACGACAAAAAATTGGATTTAGAACAAGGCTTATTACGTATTTGGACATGTGTGCAGAGAAGGACTCGTTCTTCTGATCCTTTTAATGACACAGAACTCGGCTGCAGATTCGCTTTCTTGGGATATTTTGAGATCCTCTCTCTCAATGAAATTGCCATTTTATTGAAATTCTTCGGTATTATTGTCACTTTTCACTGGGCAACTTCAATCCGTTGATTCATATCCTCCAGACAATGTTCAGAAGGGATTGGCGCACTGAATTTTTCATAATGCTCCAAAAATATAAATAAATAATAACCCGTCAATACGTACATGTAAAGAAATGACTGAATCGTGTACGTCCAAATATTTATGTGCATTTCAATTAGTAATCAGATTTTATTTCACATCGAAACGTTATTTATAAATACATAATTTTCTTTAAGTTTGTTTTATCAGATCACATATCAGCTTCGTATTTGTAATTATATGTCCAATTGATGATGATAATAGAGACGATATATTTAGTAAGGTACAGTCCATGCTTGTACTTCTACATACATACGTTTTACAGTTACGTAAACTTGTTTAACTGATTTTTTTAACTCGTAGAAATGAGTAGATAATTTGTTAAATTTGTGGATTAATTCTAGAAACATATAGTTTTAATTCTCAGTAGTCACATACGTGCATATAACCTATTACAGATAATTATCCGTATATAATACAACTACAACTTTGACATTGAATATTAAACATTAGATACATTTTTCTACCCGAAATACCAGTAGATTCTGGACTTCCCAATAGATATTCAGATGAACGATCGACTTTATGGTTAATTTTGTAGAAAGTTGATCAATGGAGCATAAGAAACATTTCATGTACATACGCAGAAAGCAGTTTCAGAGTTAGATAAGTAAGTAAATTCATTCACCATTGCAAGTGAGGACAGATTATCTTTTTCATATTAGAAACACACAAATTGTATCGTGATATAATCTACGACGTAGATATTTACACAGTTGAGGGTGACGTATTACGGAGGTTGATGGCATGATTTTGGTCGATTAAGACTTGCGGCTAAGAGGACCACGTATGTAATTGCACAATTTAAGCTTCGTCATTTTGAGTATATTTTTAAAAACCAGCTCTTATGCGGCCATTATTTTTGGCATTTCTGTATCATTTGCACATCATTTACTATGCAACGACACAGTCCCCCTGGGCTCCGCTGCTGCCGGATGTGTCCCTCATTTGTGGCTTGGATTTCTTGCTGGAGCGTCGAATGAGACTCCTGCTCCGTGGCTTGCTTCGACTCAAGCTGCCCCCCGCGTCCTCAAAGTCGAAGTGGCCAGAGGACCCCGTCGGAGTGCTCATCGTTCCTCGCAACAAGCTCAGCCCTCCGAGCCGCGGACTGTTGCAGGCGGACGAGGGGGGTGTGGCAGGTTGTGGTTGCGCTCCTTTCCCGCCACTACCTTTCGTTCCCGCGTACGCGCTCGACCTGCGCCGAAGTCCGCCCCCAGCCCCAAAAAATCCACCCGGCGCTGCTTCCGCCACACTCGCAGTCGGACACAGTTGAGACAGTTGGAGAAAGGTTTTAAATAACTGCGAGAAAGGACAAAAACTCGATAATGATAAAAGCACATGGTGAGCAAGCTATCAAATTATGGATGCTGTTGCATTTGTGAATGTACTTTCGTACATAATTTGAAGTGGGAATTTATAGTGGAATTTTCCCAGCTAGTCACCTCGTCTGCATATTTTGACGCGTTAGCAAGAGACATAGTCACAGAGTGTTTATTCAACATGGAAAGCCCGTATCGCTGACAATGGCCACAGTGAGATTTATGCAAATGAGGTGACCCGCACGAAAAATTCAACTGTACTATGATACATTTATGATGCTAATAAAATGAGCTTACTTCCTTCACGTTGGCTCCCGTCTTGGCGGAACATTCCATAGCTTTTCCCCTGAAATAATAAGAAAGTAAATAGTTACACTACGGGAGAGAAATTATTGATTGCGCGAGACGCTTTCCCAAGTTTTTGACATCTGCCGGATTGAAATTGGGGTTCTGCGTCGTTGTGCTGCCTATGCCCACCAATCCGTATCTTGGAGATGAAACCTGTCATATCTGGATTTGAATAATAGGATCTTTGAGATGTGTGTCGGTCACTGCCAAGTCGACAACAAGCTTGAAATGTTTGAAGCTCAACAACGTCAGAAACTTTATTTGATAGCTCAACACTTTTTGTCACCTCTCATCAGTCTCGAGTCCTACATGTCTAGATGCCCAGATCCATGCTCATACATTTCGCCTGGTTTCCTGGCTACCGGGGATCTGTATCCCATCCGACGAGAACTCTGTTCACCACTCATAATCATCTTTCCCAGTTGTTATGTCGTTTTAGCAAGATCTATTGTTTCCATTTACTTCTTGGCCACTTTCCTTCTCCTCCTCATTTTGGCACTCGGGTACTCGACGAAGAACCGCCTTAATCCAGGACCATTTTGAAAGACAACCTGCTTTTCTCCAACTCGACATAACATTTTATAGGGCTGGATCTACCGACGGCTTTCATTGTTCCATTTAACCACATCCCGTCAAGTTCTTGAGCCATCTACTAAAAGTACGGGAGCAAGTCCAATGAACTCATGTATGTGAAACGCCTCGATTCTACTTCTCAGCAGCCGCAGACACACAATATGCACAAAGTTGGGGAGTGAGACATATTTATTAGACCACAAGATCAAAAATGTGCGTATACATAGAATAGCATTATGTACATATTCCTCGTTGTCCCTAAAAGTCGGTCGCTTTCCTCTGAGAAAACCTGGACCGGCCAAGGAGCGATGAACATGTTGCAACAAAAGTTAGGAAAAAATTATTATCTTGTCTTTTCTACGTACGTGCCTTGGAATTGTGTGTATGCATGAGACGAGAGTTGAGGAGTGCAGCCAGGCGTGTTTCATACTTTGATTACGCCAACTTTCGCAACCCACTCTGCCTCCTGCGCATTTTACAAGGGAAATAATAAATTGGAAGGATGTTATTTCTTTGTTACGACTAGAAAATTACAACTCATTCGGGGAATAGTTGTCGGGGTGCTCCTTCCCCAGTGAGCAACCAAGTAATGATCTCGTTTGTTCAGGGACGGTTGGAAACCCGATCATCATTATCGTATTATCCTCACAAAGAGGGCATAACTTTAATGGGATGTTTTGGACTCTGACATTCAGTGAGTAAACGCCAACTCTCCTGCATACGTACGACTTTCTCTACATGGTTGGTCCTCCTCTTTAATTCCTACGTAACTGGACGAGTTTCATGAAAACTGTAGCAAAATTGTTGACAAAATGAGAATAAAGTTTCATCACTGATGATTCCAATCAACATTGTTTGTCTCCACGTGTGCTGGATTTTTGCAAACTTTTTTTGCCTTGAGTGCTTCAATTATTCAAGGTTCGTCTCCGTCTCTCTTTGCTTGTTCCACGAAACGATTTCAAGAAAAAGAGACAAGTGGGCGCGACGACAATTTTCCAATTTACTCCTTCCTAGAAATGTTCATGAAAGTATGCAAAGTTTCCAATCTCCAACAAACAAGCCTTGCAAACATCACAATTACGAGCATCACTCAAGTGAAAATTTCAGACCAATCTAAATGCGCCAACGATCCGGCGGTGGTGTGTATTTATTAGGACGGTCTTTCTATCTTTCGCAGAATTTCAATCTCCATCCTACTGTGAAGCAACTTTTGCTTTGAAAGTCTCCCAATAATTAACAGTCGTCAGTGATCAAACACTTTTAACCTTGAGGGAAAGCATGAAAAGTAATCGGAAACGTATAATTGTGTATCCCAGGATCATGATCGTGATGAAAATGAAGTCTCAGTTGCAGAATGTGAAGACTAATGTTTGGTTGTGATAAGTATCTAGGTGGGCGCATAGCTGAACCACGAATTCAGTTCTATACAGCTTCAACTTTTTAGCTATAGATGATCTACCACGTTTATTAGCTCGATAGTAATTCCGCCAATGACAAGTGGAATGTTGAAGGCAGTTTCTTTGGAAAGCTGTATGTACATAAGTAGTTCGTTATGCAGTGAAATTGTCAATGTGCATGCGCAATAACAATAATTGCCATTTCCTTGAATGTGCAGGTGTCTTATGTACCTGCATAGGAACAAACATGCTGAATAATAATGGTCAGAATGGGTAGGTAGGAAATATTGGTAGTTTTGGATGTTGGTGTAATTTATGAGGAATTGCATAAATCCTTAATCCTCTCCTGCTTAGAGAGGTCTGGAGGAATTGTTTCCGTAATTAGGACATAAGTCGGACTTATGTATAATTTAATCAGAAACTCCTTAGATTTTTATGTCGTAAGTGACCTTTTGGTAATTACGCTCTCGAGATAAGAGCTCGTGCAATAATCCGCATCTTCACATCAAACGGAAGGAGAAAGCAAGCAGCAGCGGCATGTTTCCAACAACTACTTGGTCAGAGTCGTAAGTATGCAATGCGTGGCAAGAAGAAGGGCTGCTTGTTTGTACACTGCTTGGATTGGTTGGTTCTCTCTCTTGATGAGAACACGAAGGAAATTGTGGTTTGTTGTTGTGTGTGTGCAAAGAGACGAAATGAAAATTTTATTTGTGGGAAACTTTCTCTCGTCGCTGTAGCGAAAGTTGATCAAATTTCAGGCCCCACCTGGTTTATTTATACAAAGAACAAGTCCCTCGACTAAATCCCTCGTTCCCACAAACTCTTCCCATTAACAAGGACCGACTCCCTTGAACCACTTCTTCATCATTCCCCCCGTCATGGCGTGCAAGCATCCCATTAACGTTCCTTACCCTATGCGTGTAGACACCTTTGCCCCCACTTCTACATATCTGCATAAGTAGACACACGTATATCTGCACGTGTCCGATTCGTTGTATTAATTTTGCTGCATCAACTAAGAAGATGTGCATGGCTACCAACACGAGTCTGGGAAGGAATTAGTGTGCACACACGCGAGTGGAGGTGGATTGTAAAATCCTCCTGTCCCAATTGTTCCGACAGATTCATATGCAAACATGTAAAAGCTGTTTTGTGCCCTTCATTTCATTCCATCAAAGAGGGGGAAGTTCTCTGGGGAACTCGGGGCAAATTGTTAAAAGGAGTTTCTCCAAATAAAACTGTGTTGTTCAGAACAACTCCTCGCAGTCGGCTCAGAATTGGGTTCGAGCATATGCACGTTGAATTCTTCTTCTTCTTCTCCTCACACCATGGGCTGGAGGTATTGCAAGCCTTCTAATTCCGGTGGGATTTCTTGGCTAATGTTATGCACGGGATTTTACTGCAGGGATCGTGAAAGGTAGAATAAAATTTATACGCACTTAAGAAATTGTATTTAGTGAGAGCCTGCGATTAATTTAACTTCAAGATCAATGCTCCTGTCTCGGAGGATATGTATTTAGGATTAAAGAGAAAATTTCAAATTGGTAGGCAAAGATAACATTCTTTTTGGCTACGTTTTCTACTACGCAAAATAATTCGATTGGCCTAGGTCGAAGCCAGAATAACAGTAGTAAATATGCAAATTACTTACAACTTTGCACACATGTAACAAAATAACTGCGTATATACTTTTTTGCAAAACAACTTGATTGATTGATTTCAGACTGGATATATGTATGGCTTCGGCAGATTGTTGATCCAAATATTGATCGAGAGATACTCATTGCTTACCTGATTTTTGGTAAATGGTCGTGAATCCAGTCGCAAACCTCGTCAAATTCGACATCCCTCTTAATGGCAGGTAAATCCGCTTTATTTCCCGCAATGATGATTGGAACCTCCTGGAAATCGGATCTGTGCTCACGAATCTCTTCAAAGCAGCATTTCACTTGTTCAAAGCTCTCTTTACTGTCGATGCCGTAGACGAGGAGGAAAGCATGAGCTGTCGTGGAGTCAATAAAATACATAAGTCGCATAAATAAGAGCACTTCTTCCAGAGCGGCTTTGCGAACAATTAGATCATTCGGTAATATCTTTTGTAACCTGTTGTGATTGATAATCTCCGCATCGCAGGGAATTGGAGATCACCTGCCTGAAAGCACAGGAAACACAAGTCTGTAAAGCTTTGTAAGACGATGAGCCCATGTGAGAGACTTACCGTATCCAGTAAGTCCACCTTAAGCGTCGTTGGCCCGATGTCAAACTCCTTTGTATACAAATCCTCCTAATGCACAAAATGAGTCAATTGATATGTAATGTCCAGGGAGAAAACAGATTTTGTCTCACTGAACAGTGAGTGGGAAGGATTTTGTATCATGGAGGAGGTCAGTGGACGCGGAAGCTCTGGGGACATTAACATTAGGAGATGGTGGGGTTTACATAACATGGGCAGACGATTGGGACATTGAATAACGATGGGGACATTGTCCCCCTGTCCCCACACTTCCGCGGAGGAGGTTAAAGGACGCGGTAAGTAGTGCTTACCACCGTAGGCTTGTGTTTTTCTGGATATGTGTTAAACAAGAATCGTTTCACAATGGCGGTCTTGCCGACCCCGGATCCTCCCAAAGTAACGAGGCGAATTCTTCCCAAATCCCCCATTGCCACCCGATTAAGTGTGCTCTTTGAGAACCACTTTCGCCGTCTTATACAACCAACAATTAAACAAAGAGAAAGAAAAATCCTCTCGGAAAAGATTCCAACTGTTTCGGACGCTCTATTATTAAGGGCGAATTATTTCCCTCGTCCAAAATATCGCTCGGAATGGACAAGCCCGTCAGAACTCTGTTTGATTCCTTCTTGCAATTTAACGCTGTCTGCTTTCTTTGATTGCTAAATCAATAGAAAGGATCGATCGTTGACCTGACTCGGTCGTTTTTCATCACCTCAAAAGATCTCGGCTAATTGGGATAATGTGTGGTTACGGGAGAGGAGGTTGCTGGAAGAAATCTCGGTCGTCGGCACACCTGAAATTGAAAAGATTGGGTTAAACATCGACTGGAAATTGGTGTACAACTCTTCATGTCAAATTAGTCCCGTGAGAGCTAATTAGTGACGGGCAGCAAGAGAAAGTTAGCCCTTCGTCAGTGGATATAGGGATCAAATAACATTATGAAACACAGATTGAGCTGATGTGCTCACGGAGATATCCACCAGGCCACGCATGTGAAAAAGTCAGCAACATCAGTACTTCCACTAATGAGGTCCAACTAACTGCATTCCCTTATGACACCCACCACCACCAGATTTGAGTCAACACCCATAACAATTTCTTCTGCTTCATAAGCCCACCCCGAAAACATACTTTTTCCAGCCACCATCAAAGACATGACCATTTTTATGCCGTCGTATCGTGTGTGGATGTGTCGCACACACGTTTTCTTCGCACCACTCAAACGAGAAATATTGTGTTACTGGAGTTGGGCAAGGAGTGAAAGGAAATCAGAGTGGAGAAAGCCACGCCGCACATCAGGCCAAACTAACTAAGAACAAATACACTGAACTGAAATCGTTTGAATGCATGTACCACTCGATAATAAGCATGTGTCTGACAAGGTGTGAACTTGTATTGTCGCAATTTCATCGACTTTAATGTAAATACCAAATATTTGGAAACTTCATGCATCCCATGTAGCTCCAGCACCCTCGAGAAATGAGAAAGGCGGAGATTGGAGAACAGTAAACGTGACAAAAAAGTCACACGTACATACGACGCGAATCTCCGTGTCACACACATGGCGACAATGCGCTTGGTGTAAAAGGTGTAAAAGGTTCTCTCAAAAAGTGGTGATTTGTGACGTCGCTGTGGGACATGGACCCGATTCTTGAGTGATTTTTCACAAGCCTCGAGCCGTTCGAACGGCGTGAGCAGAGTCCTCAGAGACTTGTGGTGGAGACAGATTTCTTAACAGGAAAGTCTCCTCTGGTGACTCAAGTACCATTTCTGTTTGTCCATCCAATTCTGTCGCCACTTCCAAGTTCCCACTGCCATACAACCAACCTTCAAAAGGCCGGAAGAAGGCGCACAGAAAACCAAGTGCAGCTTGTTCAAATATCTCAAAAACCTCCGCAGCATGATTTATTAATATCGCGGTTCTCGATATGAGGGTGTAATTTGTGTGTGCACTTTCTCCGAAACAATCAGGCAGCTGCAATAATTTGTCCGCTTTCACCAATCCAGTTAACGCAACGTTAATAACGTTGCTTCCCCAGTAATCCCATGTCAAGAGGAGAAGTCCGATCTACGATTTCGGAGTGGAAGGAGCAATATTGTGCCGTCATCAGCCCCGTATATCCAACTCCACTCGGAGAAGAATTGAACTTCAACTTGTCTGAAAAAGAAAGCCCTGGTCTGCACGTTCATTTGTATTCCAGGCAACCTCTGCCTGTCTCGCCGTCCTCGTGTTATTGGATTGTGGGCGAAATTTGATCCCTAAATTAAATCGTAGAGCTGTAATGGCGAGAGAAATATCTGTGCATGTATTTATATACGTCTAATATCTAAACGAATTAAATTCTCGTGAAAATATTAAAACTGGTCAACATGCGATTCTATGTAGAAATCAAACCAACGATTATCTTATTGAATAAGCACTTTAAATAGTGGAAAGTGAGAGTATTCATCTTAAATTTAGCAAAAAACAGAAATTCTACTTAAAACTCATTTCCATTTATCCCAATTATTATGCCAATTAACGCCGATTTCAGATCTAACGTAACTGTTCAAAACGGTTATGATTCTGATACGCAGAGTTGTTTGACTCAAGATGGACATGCAGCATAACAAATGTGGGCCGACATTTATTCCTTGTCTCGCATGGTGGGCTTTGCGGAATCCTTGTTGCAACATCCAACTTGAAACCTTCTAACCTTACAAATCCTTCCGGTTCGTGTCGTTCAGCTCAGAAGTGCACAAACGCGAGCAAATTCAGTTTACGGGAAATGGCTTTCTCCCTTAACCGTCAAGCGCCTGGCCAAGCAATAAAATGACATAAGCCGATTGCTGCATGTCAATCAAATAAAGTCAGCGCCCACCCAACACAAACGCTTCGTCCCTGAGCATCTACTTCCTGTGAGGAATCCAGAAGATGGAAATGTATACCAAGTTGCGTATCAACAGGATTTCGACGTATGTAGAAGAACGTGAGAAGAAAAGATGAGTAAATGGGTTGGAATGCATTTTCCATGCTTGTTTACGACTTCTCAGGACGAGTACTACTTTCCAGATTAGTTAAGCCTGGCTTATTTACTACCCCGAATTTTCGGCCATTGTTCTTGTTTCGGGTTAGACTTGTACTAAACAGTCGCTTCTTTGGCTGGTGATGATTTGTATAGGACAGATTAAACCGGTGTGGATGAAATGCTTTGCTTGAACTTCTCTGAGGGCTTCCTCTTTATTTGCTTAAATTTATAATATGGTAATCAAACCGCACGAAAGGAATACTTTCTTCCACTCTAGATTCTCATTTGGTTCACCTTATTTAGCTTTCTGGTATATGTATTTACATGCTTTTAATACTATGTTAAAATCAGGGCGAGGATTCGACAAATTTTGGCTTGAAAACATCCCGAGCGAGACAGATTAATTTTGGGAATGTGTTTTGAAGAAAGTGCGAGCTAGAGTCATGCCTGGCCGAGTGTAATATTACTTCTCGGGTGGGTGTAATTTTAGCCGGAGCACTTTGTGACTGATGACAATTTTCATCAAGAACAAGTATCCCCCCCGAGGCACTTAATAAATGTCTCATTTATGGAGCCACCAGGAAACATGGAGCCCACTTCCCAGCGGTGAGAACTTATTTGCCCTAATTTTGCTAATATATCTGCGCAACAACCCGTCATACCAATCATTCAATTCTAGTCCGTGGTCGTCGTCTTATTTCTCACTCCCCACGAATGGTCCCATATTTCACTGTCCTCGAGCTGCAATATCACATGACGAATTTAACGTCATGTGGTAGCAGCACCGTAACAAGGGTGACAAGCAGTACAGATTGATTTTGATGTGTCACAACCAAGCCAGTATTTTCGGCTGCTGCTAATTGTTGAAATTAATTGGATTCCTGATATTCCTGATATTGGATATGTTTCAAAATAATAATGAACTTGTCGAAGTTATTAATTTGTTTCGTGATTACACATTACTTGCGGTTAAATTTCAAGTTCTGCGACAAAAGAGTCGAAGAATCAGGGAAACTATGCAAGGCTGGAGAATTTGGAGAGTGTACATAAGATTTCATTTACAGGGAACGAAACAAGTTTCAAAGTATTTAACAAATTTGTGACCAAGTTACTACGTGGCTGAATACTTTGACTAGCTATGCAGACCACGTTGTGCAGGGAATAAGTGGTGGGAGTGGGACCTCGCGATAGGTAAAACTTTTTTCTAAAAAGGAAACCGATGCTCATTTAACACCTCCAGTCACGATGTTTTCGGGTTGAATAATATTTGAGCAATTATGTGAATATACTGCATGATAAGTATTGTGTAATCGCATAGAGATTTAATACAAGTTTGAGTACCTATTTTGCTGTCGCCAATTTTAATACTGAAATTGCAAAGTTTATCGGACTTTGTAATTGCGTGGACGGAATATAAATTATGGTCTCTCAATGTACACCGTGACGAATGAAGATTTTGATTGGATGCGTATGTATGTACATAAGATTGAAAAATTACTTCATCTTTGGCTGAATTTAATTACACGAAATAGGTCATTCATTCGCAGGGAAGATCATTTTTGAGATAAATTCTGAGAAGTTTATTATAATAAAGTTCTAAGCCATGTTTTTCATTCCGTTCAAGTTCTGATTGGAAAACCCGTGTTCATCATTTTTCTGGGAAGTCGAATCACAAACATCAGCATAATTTCCATCCTCCAAGCACCGCATTACATAGAAATGAATACGAAAGTTGATTAAACTAGAATTACATAAAACGTGCTGGTATAATTGGATGAAGATGAATTCATTCCCCAACAAACATTTTACAATTTTAATGATCACTTTATACGTGGGCATAAACTAGCGATTTCCTCCCATAAGTTGGATAAATCGAGTGATCCCCATTGCCCCACGTACATATCGCACAAGAACCAGACACGGTGAAAGTAGGGCAGGAGTAAAATGGTCACAATGTTTATCCATGCTTCAGCCAGTGGTTTCAGTACAAGAGTAAATTCGAGGGATGACATATTTAATAATGTTTGTTGACTTGGAAAGAGAGGCAATGACGCAGTCCTGCAAAAACACATGTTCATCGACTTTCACTTTTAGTCGCAATTATGTACACGACGAGAGTCGCGGAAATCACCACCATTTGCACACTCTCATTACACTGCATGACAACAAGACGAGCTCCGTACGTATGCTGACTTATTCAATATGCCGTCTGAACAGAAGACAGAACGAGAAACTGGGCTCATTAAATATTTACTGAATAATAATCATATGCGTCCATTTAAATCCTGCTTGCCCAACTTTGACGACTTTTTCAGAGAGGATGCACTGGAGTCGAACCTTGCACCGGAAAAATGCTGCTCTCTTGTATTGCGCCCCAGAAAGCTTTGCAGTGTATCGTGCCGTTTGGAAATGAGTTGTGAAATATTTAGTGGAGATGAATATTGTTATTAGCTTTTGCATAGGGATGAGCATATCTGTGAAACCTGTATGCACTGAGGTCTCGCTTTTCTCCGCAGAATCGGGACTGGAACTTGAGCTCAAAAGTCTCCTCTCTGATCACAAGCAGTGCCGGAGCAGCCCCTCGATTACACGGTGCGTATTGATTGTCACGTCCTGGAGGAAGTCGTCTCGTTTCAAGTATTCATGAGTCCACTCGGAGGGCCAGTTATCCAACGGTATTTATGAGTGGGCTTTCTAATTGGGTCCCCCGGTGCGTGTCTCATGATCATGGATGGTTTCGTGAAATGTGAAATAAGACTTTCACCAGGTTTCGGAAATTTTCCAT